TATATAAAACTATAAATTATTCTTAAAAGGAATTATAAACTTATAAAAATATATTTAAACTTTAATATCTTCTTTTAATTAAAGATTAAATAAAATAAAATTAGAAATCCTAATTTATATTTATAAAAATATAAAAATAAAATCCTTTTATATTAAACTTTTACCTTTTATAAATATATATAATATAAATTAATAGAATCCTAATAGTAAATATATACTATACCTTAAAGTATCTATTTAAAGTTTTAATATTATTTAAAAATAAACTTTAAACTTAAATATTATAGTTATAAAAACTTTAATATAATATATTAGTTTTAATAATTAAGTTATAATAAGTATACTAACTTAAATATAAAGTTAGTAAACTAAATTAAATAGGTAGAGCTTATAATAAAAACCTTAAAATATTTATATATAAGTTAAATAATACTATTAATTTTATTCTCTTTAATATTTTTAAATATAAAATAATAATAAAACCTACCCTTATAATTAAATTTAATTATTTTATAATTATAATTATAATTCCTACTTAATACTTAAAAGATATAGGTAAAAATAAGCTTATAATACTACTATTAAAATACTTAAACTTCTATTAGTTAATTTAAAGTTTAATTTAAATAGTAAAAGAAACTATAAAAATAGTAAAGAAATTAAAGAAATTAACTATAAATTTAACTTTTATTATAATTATAATTATTAAAGTAATAAAGTATATATATTTAATTAAAAAGTATAAAACTATTTAATAAAATTAAAATATTATATAATAAGGGTAAACCTTATTTAAGTATAGTAAAATAGGAATAATAAAGCTATATATTAAATTAAAAACTTTTAAAAGTAAAGGTAAGAGTAGTTAAAAAGGTATATTAGAAAACTTAAATTAACTTAACCTTTAAAAACTTTTAAATATTTAAAATAACTTTATAATATAAGGTTATAAATACCTATTACTACCCCCCTTTAATATATAATAATTAACCTATTATAAAACTAATTTATAAGGCTAAGCACCTTTAAAATATAATTTTATACTATTTTTTAATAAAAATAATATTAAAAACCTTTAAAAATTTTAAAACTACTATAAAACTCCTTTAAAATTTAATAGTATTAATAAAAAAGTTAGAGTAAATTATATTTAAATAAATAATATTACTTTAAAAATAAATAATATTATAATAGTTTTATTTACTATAATTTGGATTTAATTAAGTTTTAAATTATAGTATTTTATAAAATATATTTATACTTTAAGTATTATTTAAGGGAATTTAAGATAATAAAAGTTATAATAATTTTAAAGTTAAGAAAGTTAAACTATACTACTTTTAATTTTATTAATTAATTATACTTATTAACTATATAAATAAAGAGCTTAAATAGCTAATAGTGTAGTAAATAATAAAAATAACTTTATTTAATAAACTCTTTAATTTTTAATATTTTAACACCTTACCTAAATACTTAATAGTAAACCTTATAACTTTCTTAATTTATAATATTAAAAGGTATTTAATAAAAGACTTAAAGCTTTTTTTTATAATAATATATAAAGGGCTTTTAACTTAATTTTTTAATAGACTAATTAGGTAACTAGTAAAATAAAATAATTAACTAATATTATAAAATAAGTATTAAGTTTTATTATAAGTAGAAAAACCTAAATTTAATTTAAGGGTATAATTATAAAGAATAAAAATTTAATTTATAAACTTTTATAAAAATTTTTAATATCCCTATTTTATTTATATTATATATATAGCTACTTTTATTTAAAAATAAAAGTAATTTATATATATTAATAATTTTTTTAAAATAAATAAAAGTATAAATAATATAGTATAAGCTTTTAATAAAAGGATTATTAATATACTTAAATAAAAAGAGTTAATATTATAATTTTTACTTTTAATAAATATAAACTTATTTATTTCTTTTAAAATACTATTTAATATAATTATAAATATAAGTAGATTATAATATAATTTAACTAATAAAAATAGTAAAATAGTTAAAAGTTTACTTTAATTTAAAACTTTTTTTTATAAATATATTAAAACTTAAAAAGTTAAAATATATAAGGTTATTTTATACCTTAAAGGCCTTAATAAAATAATAATAAAAGCTTTTTTTAACTTATAATATTAATAATAAATATATATATTCTCTTTATAATAATATATAAAAGGAAAATATAATAGTAAAACTAAAAAATTTAATATTTAAAATTTATTTAAAATAGTAAAGTTAAAATAATAAATATATTTAAATATTTTAAATAAAGCTATTAAAATAGTAATTAAAATAATATTATTAATATAAAAACTATTTTAATTTTAACATTTTATTAAAAGTAGGAATTTTACCTATTAAAGTTATATTTAAATAGTAATAACTTAAAATAATTATAAAGCTTTAAATTTTAAATTAAAATTACCCTTTTATAAAAAGATTAGCCTTTATTATAACTTAAAAATAGAAGGATAACCTTTTAAATTAAAGGCTAATTATAAAAGAATATTAAACTTTAAAAATAAATACTTTATTAAAATTATATAAAAACTTATGTTAATATTAATAAATTATATATTTAATTTTAAAAGGTATTAATAATAAATATATATAAATTTTTAACTTAAAAGATTATTTATATTATATAATAAAATAATTAAAAAATAATATAATAAATAAAAGCTATCTTTTAAAATAATAATTATAATATATTTTAATAACTTAAAAACTATAAAATTACCTTATAGATATTTATAATATATTAAAATAGTACTAAAATTATCTATGTTTAAAGCTACCTTTAAAAGGCTTATATTTATAATAAAAAATTAAGGGAACTATAAAAGAAATTATATAGGTATAAATTAATTATAAAAGGTTTAAAGCTATAAAAGTTTATTTATATATTAATAATATATTAATAATATAGAGTATTTATAAAAATACTTTTATAAGTTTATAATAAAAGTTTTTTATTTTTAATATAATTAGAGGAAATTAAAAGGTATTTTAATAAAAGTTAAATAATTATTTAGGATATTAAGATTTAAGGAAATAAATAAGTAAATTAATTAATAGAAAAATTTATTAAATTAAATTTATAAATAGAAGTAAAAAAAAGGAAGTAGTTATTATATTTTAAAAATACTTAAAATATATAACTAAAAATAAAAGGTACTTAATTTTTAATAGGTTATAAGCTATTTAATTAAATATTAAATATTAAAATTTAAGTTTTTAAATACTTAAAAACTTACCTTTTTCTATATATCTCTTTATAAGCTATTAGTGAAAAAGAGTAGGTATAAAGACTTTATAGAGTATTATAAGTATTTTAAATATTTATAATATAATAAATGTTATAAGTATAAATAATTAAAAGTAGGAAATATATTACTTATTATTTCCTAATAAAATTTACTTTTAAATTAGTTAAAAAGGTTATAAATAAAAGAACCTAATAAATCTAAAAGATTTAATAACTTTTAATAAGTTAATTAGGAAGAATTAAATATATAATAGTAATTTTAAAAAAAAAATAATAAAAGGTTTCTCTTTTTAATATATTAACCTAATATAAATTATTAAATACTCTTAAATCCCCTCAATATATAAAAATATATTCCTATATATATCTATACTTTTATTTTTATAAAATATTTATTTTATAATTAGTATAACTAATATATATATTTTACTCTTTTTTTTATTAAGTAAAATATAAGGTATTTAATTTTTATAGTTTGTAACCCCCCTATCCTAAGGGCGCCCCTAGATAGACTAGCTCTAGATAGCACTGGCCCAGACATAATGCAATAATCTTCTCTTAACTGACCGCTGCAAGATTTGCGACTCGTTTGGCGGCTTTGTTTTCCTTCCGACTGCTTCCCGCTGCTGCTTCGACTGCATCGAGAGAGCCAGAGCTACGCGGGTTGTGTCCTTGTTCGGCGTCAGCAAGGCGGCGGGCGTGTCAGTGGCTAAGCTGAAAAAGGTCTACCCCGTATCCCGCTCCCTGCCTGGAATCTATTCCTTGAGAACGATGCATTACAAGCGCCGCATAAATCTCCTATCTGCAAACAAAGCCCTTGAAATCCTCCAGCAAACGGAACGCGCAGATCCGCACATCATTCTGGAAAAGCTCCCTAGCATACGAGCTTGGAGACATATGATGTCGACATGGCTGCCATTTGTCAGCTCGGCGGCAGATCATCCACAGCTGGGAAGATCATGTAAAGGCTGCCAGGTCGCTATGGAGACCGGCAGAGATACGGATGCTTTTTTTCGTCGAGAAAGTTCTTTTTCAGATGATGAGTTCTTGGTTCATTTTCGGGACTGCAGAGAGGCGGAGCAGCTTTGGCACGCCAGCAAAGGCGGGACAGTTGAATTCGAAGAGCCAGAGTGGACGCGGCTTCGAGCCTTGCTAATAATGGAAGAGTAGAAAATACGACCTACTACCTTTTGGCCTGGAACACGGCATGGAATTCTCACTCGCTCACTTGATTCCAAACGAGACCAACATAGAATTTTCCAACCTCTTAAAATTGAGAATAGCGCTACCAAATGTGATCGGGTCGCGAATGTCTGATCTTGGAAACTTGTAATTGCAATATCCCATAGACTGAATGCCAACCTATCCTTCTTTTCCCTCCTCCGGCCCCGGGTCTGTGGGGCATTTTGAGCTTGCTCTCCACGATGTTGGTTGGTGGCACCAAAGAGATACAGAACCGTCGCTCGGCCTTTTCGAACCTATTGGCTGGCTGAGTGCTTCAGATCAGGTGGAAGATCTGCCAACATACAAAGTCAAATAGTTGTCTGTAACGTTGGTACACCAAAGCAGCTGGACAGCAAGCTGGTACAGGCCTATTACCGTAACAACGGCTGTGGCTCAGTCACGTGCTAAGTTTAGACTAAGCGCCGTACCTGATCCCCAACCACGGCAGGTTTCTTCTTCCCACCAACAACCCAATTCTTGGTCCCTTGTTTGCAGTCTTTTTTAGCTCTTACAACTTTGGAATTCATTTTCAGGCTCGATTTGCCTGGTATCGAGACATTAGTTTGGTCTGCTCATACGATTTCTCAAGATGGGATGCAACCCGCAATCGCCTCAGGTGCTCTCTATGGAGGCGGACTCAATGGATGACAGCTACTTTCGAATCAGATGTGGTGGCAAAGTAAAATACGTTACCGTCGCTCCCGGTACATTGGTCTCCGAAGACCTTTGGCTGCCACTTTACTCCCTGCCTCCGCTTCCTTACAACGAAGACGGATGGAACGTCGCTCATGTATCACGAGCCGAGGGGAGCCAGAAACTGCACTCATCACTTGAACTTCAATCCCTGCCGGGGGTGACGGAGATATGGCACCCGCAAAAGATCGACGTGCTCTCGCTGGAAAGGGTCGAGATCCTCACCATGTCCACGTTTGAGTGCACCTGGAAGGAGGAGCCTACACCTTGCGGGACATATGTCGCAAAGATTGCGCGCTTCGAGTGGGAGATCCCCCGCATTGAGCGTGAGACGCACGCATACCGCCTCCTCCAGGACACACACATTGCACCCAAATTTTTAGGCCATATCCACGAGCAAGGGCGCGTGATTGGTTTCTTGCTTGAGAAAGTCGACGGTCACTTTGCTGGCATCGATGATCTGCCCCGCTGTACCGAGGTACTGACAAGCCTCCATAAGCTGGGTCTACTCCACGGGGACGTCAATCGCCACAACTTCTTGATCGGCGACGGCTGGACTAAGATGATCGACTTCGAGACTTGCCGGGAATCTCAAGATCAGGGGCTGAAAGAAGCTGAGTTGTTGAGTCTTCCTGCAGAATTGAAAGACGAAAGTGGACGCGGTGGGGGTTTCATCGCGGTCGATGAGGAGGATTCAGATCATTCATTTTGAAACATTTGAAATTAGTCGAGACGGCCTGCTAGAACCCCAGACTCGAGATAGACACCGAAAAGAAACTCTAACTTGTTCCCGGCTCACTCAATGCTCCATGCTATGTTGTTAAGTACACGCCTTAGGGATCTGGGATTCGTGCACTTAGTTATAAAACTGGAGCATCAGTCTCCTTCCTAGGGTAGGTACCGATCTGACCTCAAAATCGTCTGCAAACTAGAGTCACAGACTTGACAACTCGTTGGGTTCGATTCTCCTGACCCGCCGCTGGCGCGTAGGGGGCAGACATCTGGAGCTGGTCTGATCCCTGGGTAGACCGAAGAGTGGAGTTTGCCGGTGATGCTTCAATAGTTACTGTCAATCCTCTTGCCACCGATACACACATATCAGTTGCACTCCAAGTTGACGTCGATAGCTGCACTGCACCGCAGCCTGCAACGCTGCAGTCCACAGGATTCAATGCGACAGGTCGCGATAGTCTTCAGGCTGGTTGCAGCAGTGAATGCCTGCTACTGTTCCATCGCTCGAGCGGGGCTGGTGTTCATTTTTCACCAACATTCAACTGCGCCCCTTTCATTGCAACCTACTGCCGGCACGAGGGTGACGCCCCGATAATTGGCGTGTGGGGATGGGTCACACTTGCTAGAATGGGTGCACGCCGCATGACAATCATTTCCTTCGTGATCCTTGCAAGTGATTGTTGGTTGTCTGCAAACAGTTGTTGGTAGCCTCACAGATGGGTCATTGGGGCCATGCAGTATTCTAGTATCGGTGGTCTAGTGGAACATCGCAGCCAACTTCAGCCCGTTAGTTGAGTCTAATGCGCCCTGAAGCCTGTTGTCGTCATGTTGGTCTGCGGCTCAGCGGTGGGTAGGCCAAGCGGCCCGGAGAATGTCCGGTCAACCGAGGTCCGTTGAGAGATGACCTGTGTGCTTATTTGCCCATGCAGTAATTGGGCCCCAAGGCTGTGCAGCCAAGCGACTCTAGGGTCACACTGCATATGCATTGATTCCAAGGTGAATTACCGGCAGGCCAGAGGCTGCACTGTATGAAGTATGGTGGATGGTATGTAAGTATTCGAAAACATTCATATTACGAGGCTTTGATGGAAGTGCTAGGCTGATCAAACGACTGCTGCTTGCTGTTCTCCCACCCATGCAAAGATCTTTGGTTTCTAACCCACCAAACTCGTTGCTTTCTATCTGCAAAGTGGTTGGCCATCCTCTAGGTGGTAGTCATTTCGGAAGCCAACGCTTTCCGATACTCCTGCCTCTCTCTTTTCAGGTTGCTCACTTTCGGCGCCATTGCAGCATGGGGTTCATAGACCGCACACCATGGGCTGCTATTGCATCCACGGTAATCGCATGCTTCGTCGGTCTCGTCTTCTACCGCCTATATCTGCACCCTCTCGCCAAGTTCCCCGGCCCCAAACTAGCAGCCATCACGCGTTACTACGAGGGTTACTACGACGTCATCCTCAACGGCCAATACACGTTCAAGATAGCCGAGCTGCACCAGCGATATGGGCCCATTGTGAGGATTAGCCCCTACGAACTCCACGTAAATGATCCAGCATACTATGAGAAGCTGTATCGACAAGAGGGCCAGTGGAACAAGTATGACTGGTCCTATGATGCGTTCGGGGCACCGATGTCTGCCATTTGTGTAAGCCATTTTTTCTTCGTGACAATCTTGGCCCTTCATGAACAATCGTCTGCCATCTGTGGCCTGTGGCTCTCAGGTTTAGTACAGGCTATCGCCGAACAATGGTTCTTTCCATACTCAATGCGTATGAAATCACTCTAATGGTGCTTTATTAACTGAATCCAAACGCTGCAGTCAGTGGATCATGAGGCGCACAAACGCCGCCGTGCTCCACTGAACCCCTTCTTCTCCAAGGCCAGCGTCGCCAGCCGCCAAGACTTGATCCACGGGTTCGCCAACAAGCTCTGCGATCGCATTGCGCAGTTCGAGGGCTCAACCGTAAATATCACTGCTGCGGTCAGTGCCTTCACGAGGGATGTTGCCATGCAATTTGTTCTGTCCAAAGACTACCGGAATCTGGATAACCAGGACTTCGGTGTCGGAATGACCAACGTCCTCCGTAAGCAACCCTGGGAACAGTCTTGTCCATCCACACCTCCCCGGTTATCAGCAGTGCAGCACTCCCAACTCATTTTCAGGTGACTAACACCCAAAAGAAAGCTCCGGGGCGATTTGGCGTGCTACGAAGCACGTCAGATGGCTCGGGCCGCTGATGAAATCACTTCCGTTGGATTGGGTCGAAAAGGCGGGCGATGCGGGAACCAAGGCCTTCTTCGGCTTTCTGAAGGTGAGTCTTAACGTTTCGGCACCACTTATTATCAGTATACTAACCTAAGAACGTAGGATTGCCTGCAAACCACCAAGGAAATTGTAGCTGCACCGGCCAGAAAGGTTGGGGGCGACACCGATGCGTCATCAAAGACTATCGTGCACACGATTTTGGAATCAAATCTGCCGTCGACCGAGAAGACGGTGGAGCGCATCAACGACGAGGTAGGCACCATCACAGGAGCCGCCTTCGAAACAGCAGCCCAGTCCATCCGCACTATTCTATACTACCTGTACAGCGACCCTGTCACCCTAGCGCGTCTGCGAGACGAGCTTTCACAGGCGGTAGAGAAGCATGGGGGTGAGGGTAACCTCCCCCTCTTCGTTCTTGAACAGCTTCCGTTCCTAACCGGTTGTATATGCGAGGGTCTGCGACTGAGCCCAGGTCTTGCAACTCGTCTGGCGCGTGTCGCTCCTGACCGTGATTTGTACTACGGCCAGCAGCGTATCCCCGCAGGAACCCCAGTAGGGATGACCGTTCTCCTGATGCACATGGATGAGACTCTGTATCCGCAGCCAGACACCTTCAACCCTTCACGTTGGACCGACAGCGCGACGAGGTCGGATAAGACCTTTGCGCCATTCTCCAGGGGCACGCGAAGTTGCCTCGGCATGTAGTAAGTGACCTGCCTTGTGATCCCGGTGCTTGAGATTCAAGAAAAATGCTAATCGAGTCTCCTAATGCAGCCTCGCTTGGGCTGAGATGTATATCGTCATAGCGGCACTGGTCCAGCGATTTGAGTTCAAGCTGATTGGTGCGGGCCTGAAGGACGTCAAGTGTGCAAGTGATCAGTTCATAGTGGGAACGGCAGATACCACTGGTATTAAAGGTATTGTTAAGAACTATGCGGCTTGAGAAATGGGGTTTTTCACATAAGCCTTGAACACCTACAAGCTGTGGGAAGATGATTGGTCGTGAAGTCTACTCTTACTCAGGCACAGATGCGTGTATGGGGTGTTTGGGATAGGGCCCATATGCTGTTTAGGGGGTGGACTTCTAAGATTAATTAGGGCATCTGCTCGGTTGAGCATTACTCTGTGTCATTCTCGTGTCTCAATGCTGTGGAGTATATATAGTACAGCGAGGCAGGACGAGACCGACGAATGAAAGCGATTTCGAAGCTGCCCAAATTCCAACGTACCTAGGTAACTAGACGCCAACGTCAGCACTAACAACTGTTTGATGTACTACCCTCGATGACACGTGATATTCTGCAAGCTCCTTCGCCCTGTTTTGTCAGCCTGTATGGTTCATTAACATCGGAGTCACTCTCCAAGGTAAAAGATGGTACCGTTTGAAATGTTAAGGGCCGTGAAGGCACTCGGCCAGTCCCCTATCAATCAGTTTCGGCAACAGGGCACAGGAGGATAATTGTTCAGCAGAGGTGGAAGGTGTGGATATATACCTCCTCGTGGAAGGAAACGGTAGTTGTTGGTTGTGTGATGGGTATAAAGTCACAGCATACTGAAGTAACTTGAAACAGTGCAAGCCAGGTGCTCTCCAGTGGTGTTGTTTATCGACTGGTTATTTGAACGGATGATATCATTATTCCATTCTTGAATTTGATCTGATCAAGGTGTGCCAGATGCCCCCGTACTAGCCGCCGCGTGATACTAGCCGAAAACTGCTGGTTTGTGGCGGCCGGGGAGGTGGTCTGTAGGATCCGAGATAGCTATCAGCAACAGGGGCTACCCAGATCGCTGCGGCATTGACTAGGCTGTAAGAGGGCGCACACCGAGAGCCGGCCCGGATGATCCCCAGGAGTTTCAAGGAAGGCCCTGCAAAGCTCCCTATCGATAAAGCTCACTGCCCCACCATTGCTTGAATGCAGTGGGTCACAGAGGGGTTCTATGTTTTTCTCTGCGACTCCAAGGCCATCCTACCGATGAGACCCACGTAAATTTGGTGCGCCCTCCGAGCCGAAACCTCCAGTCACACCGCAGCAGGACCTCAATGAGATCTCAATCGTGAACTCCATGGGTCGTACACGCACCATGGTCCACCCGGGTAGGTATTTCAAGTTCCATTTGGTACTACGCGAGTGGCTGGCCCGCAGGTGGGCAACTGGATGAGGAATGCATGTGCTGGTGGGTTCAGTCAGGCCAAGTTTGCGTCGTTCAAGTAGCTCCAGAGAGCTCTTTATTTGCTCTATATGTTTCCCGTTGCAGACCTCGTATTCCTCCTTGCGGTCTCAAACTAGCTCATATAAGGTGAGATGAAGGGGGCAATGAAGTCACGCTTTCCGAGCTCAATGCCCTCCTTGCGCAGAATGTTGTAGGCGGTCGTGACGTGGAAGTAGATGTTTGGCAAGCTGTAGCCAGCAGCATAGTCCTGCGCCTTGAGATGCCCGGGGGGCTTGCCGGGCCCCATGCCGAACTCGACGAGCTCGTTGCTGCGGCTAGCGATCTTAGCGGCGTCAGCAGACGCGACCACGGCAGCGGCAGCGTCGATGCGGGCGCGGGCGTCGGCAACCGTCTTGAGGGAGTCATGGGCGCCGAGGCTCTTCGGCTCCGTGCCCTCCAGGCGGGCAACGAGCTTGACGACCCAGTCGGCGACGAAGTGGAATTGGCTGGCCAGGGGAAGCATACTCTCGTGGAGGCGGGCGGCTAGGAGGGCCTCTGGGCTGGGAGAGGTAGACTGCTCGACCTTGTCAAGGAGGTGGGACAGCACCTTGACGGCGGCTGTGGCGTGCGGGAGGGTTCCGTCTGCGAGCGTGTAGGAAGACATGATGGCTAAGACTGAACGAGTGGGTTAAACTGGAAGGATATGAACTGCTGATGGTGGAGAAGGGGGATCTTGAGAGCTTTTATATTGTGGTAAACATTGGGCAGGTGTAACGGAAATTAATAATATAGCACAGGGGAGGTCAGCAACGGCAGCTAGAGAGACCGACACAAGTAGCATCCGATCGGGCTGATTACCAATACCCGTGGGTCCTCCCTTCGTTTATTCTGCACCACCAGCTTGAAGCGAGACAGGCCCACCAAACGCGAACCAAGCTTCACGTCCCGAATTAAGCTTGTCTTGGAAAGGTGGTCTGCATGAGCTGAGATAGCGATGACCCGACAGGGACCCCCTTGTTGTATGACGACAAATGGACAGTCTGCCAAGTCAGCCTCTCGTCTCCCTTCAACTTGAACCTTTCTAAGGTTGGCTCGGAAAACAATCCGAATATTTTATGACGAAAACACACATCGGGAACAGGGGACACACACAATTGGCATGAACTTGCTAATGCCCGGACGGAACGAGGGTGCTAATAGAAGGAGAGTTGGAAGCAACTACCTAGGTACAACCTTAGCCTCCACGGCACTGAGGATGGTGTCACAAGATTCCCGCCCGAGCCATCGTGAGTTGTGTCTAGGTACTTTCCGATTCAAGGCGAGGACTCGAACCTTTAAAATGCAGAATCTGATTTGTGCGGCGGGTATCTTTACGTCGGCCATGCGAAGCCCGCAATCCTCAACGACCATTTTGCACATGATGCTTTTGATGGAAAGCTTATCGTCCGGTTCGACGACACAAACCCCGCCAAGGAAAAGCAAGGGTTTGATGAAGCAATTCTTCATGATCTGGATCTGCTCGGAATCAAGCCGGATCAAACCACCTACACCAGTGACTATTTCTCCCGACTCTACGGCATCGCGGAGAAGATGATCCGTGATGGCCACGCTTACGCCGACGATAACGAACCGGAGGCCATAATAGCGGAGAGAAGGCAAGGCCTTCCCAGCAAGAGGCGAGACCGGCCTTGCGAGGAGAGCCTTGCCATGTTCAACGAAATGTACACGGGGACGCCACTTGGAGGAAAGCACTGCATCCGAGCTCGGATCAAGTTTGACTCAATCAACCTAACTCTGAGAGAACCCATTATAAACCGGTTTCATGGTCAAAAGAACATGCAGAGCAATCTTCTGGAAAGTTCCATAATACCTCACGAACGGACGGGCTTGACCTGGAGGATCTATCCGACGTACGATTTTGCCTGCCCGGTAGTTGACTCGATCGAAGGAGTCACACATGCCCTCCGGGCGTCAGACTATGCCGAGCGGAACGAGCAGTATGCCTGGTTCCTGAACACCCTGGGCCTCCGTCAAGTTCATCTTTGGAGCTTCGCCCGCACCAGCTTCACTTGAACCATTTTGTCAAAACGAAAGCTGACCAGGCTCGTCGAATCCGGCGTTGTATCCGGGTGGGACGATCCTCGCATGCCCACAGTGAGAAGCATGCTGCGTCGTGGCTTCCAGACCCTGCGTGAGTTCATGCTACGGCAAGGTTCAAGTCGCAACCCGGTAGTTGTGGACTGTTCGACACTATGGGCCATGAACGAGGAATTTATTGATGCAGTGGCGTCGCACCACACGGTAATCAAGAAAGACCAGATGCTTAAGGCGTCTATCTTGAACGGCCCTGACACACCCAGGGTTGTAAATTTATTCCTTAATTTCTTAATCTAACTAATTAGTTTTTAATTTAGTTTAGTTTCTTAGTCTTAATTAAAGGGTCTAACTAAGACCTACTAACTAAGGAATAAGTTATAATAAAACTAAAAGATTAAAAAGAGTAGGCTTATAATATAGTAGTTCTACTCTTAATATTAAATTTAGAAAGTTTATAGGTTTAATTCCTACTTAAATTATTTTTAATCCTAATTTTTTAATCTTAATCTACCCCTCTAACTAAACTAATTTAATTTAGTTAACCTCTTAATTAAAAACCTTTAATCTAATTAGAGTTAATAATTAAAGCTTTAATCTTAATTAAAGTCTGTAATTAAACTAATTCTAACTAATTTTAAGAGAGCGAGGATTCGCACCCGTTAAAACGAAGGAAAAACCTACTATTAAAATAAGTATATAATTTAATTATAAACTTAGTTATTATAAATATTATATATATTATATATATTATATATATTATATATATTATATATATTATATATATTATATATATTATATATATTATATATATTATATATATTATATATATTTATTGTCCTTTTAACTTTTATTATATTTATAAATAAAATTAAAATTTAATAACTATTTTAAAATATATATTTAGTAAATAATAATATATTTTAAATTTAATAAAAGTTTTATCTTAAAACTTTTATTTAACTTTAAACTAAATTTATTTCTAAATATAAGTTTTATAATTACGTTATATTATATAAAATAAAGTATTTAAATATATATTCTTTATAATTATTAGTTTATTAGAAATTAAGTTAAAAAATCTTAAAGTTAATATTATTTATTAATTAAAACTTTAAATAAAAATATATATATAATTTATAATAAATCTATCTTTTATACCTTTAAATACTTTAAAAATAGAAATAATAGAAAAATAGAATATTTATATTTATAAATTAATACATAACTTTAAAAACTTTTAAAAGGAGTATTTACAGGTTTTTCCTCCGTTTTAGCGGGTGCGAATCCTCACTCTCAATTTCAACCCTAGACACACCATACTCTGAGTACAAGCCAAGAAATCCGAAGAACCCTGCAATTGGGACGCGAGCTGTTACGTACGGCCCAACTATACTTTTGGAACATGTTGATGCATCATCCCTCATAATTGGCGAGGAGATCACTCTTTTCGAATGGGGAAACGTCATCGTGAAAAGGTGTAATGTCTCCAGAGATGGCAGAGTTACAGAAGTTTGACGTACTAAGCGAATCGCTTGGCTTTCTTCCGAAAGGCCCAGTTTAAGTGAGGTCGAATTATGGCAGTTTGATGATTTGCTCACGAAGGACACTCTGAGTCCAGATAACAACCTTGATGATTGTCTCTTCACTGACTCCGGTTGGATAAATGCGGCGCTGTGCAACGCTGACATGGCCTACCTCGGCGAGGGTGATATCATCCAGCTGGGACGGAAGAGCCCAGGAGGAAAAGCAGCCTTGTCAAAGATCCCTAGCGCTGTCAAAAACTAGGCTGTGGAGACAAAGTTGAATATGATAGTGGGGAAAATGGTCACGCGACTCTCTAGGGAACCCCGACAAGCTCGTTTGCGATGATACTGTATTCCCAGCACTTGAGCCTCTCTGTAAATCACGACAATGATTAGTCGGGACTGCCAGTGGGCGGCATCTGGGCCGAACGGTAACATGAGAATTCAGCCGCAGCGCAATGGTGACTCTAGCGAACATTACATTATATTTCTCAACATTGGCCTCACCGATATCATGGAGCAAATATGTATGCTAAGCAAGCATTCTAAAGTAATACAGCAGATGGAAGTCCCGTCTCCAGGACTGTCAACTTCTTCAAGTTACATGTGCAACATGTCTCATGCAAACCTAGGTATGGACCATTTACATCTTGAAGGCAGTCTTTGCTACTAGTAGAGCCTTGTCACAACCTTTCACTGTGATTCACAATCAGACACCTCAACAGCCTTTCTCTCTTCTTTTAATTGTTCAAGATGAAACTTGTGCCTAGTTATTAAATCGCTGCAACTCTTGACGCTTGTGGGAAGGGGTACTGCACCTTCTGTTGTTCTCTAGGCTAAATGGTGTGTGCCTAGGAACGTCCATGCTAGGACATGATATCACGACGAGGTATGTTGAAAAGGTGCTCATAGCAAGTCGAAGAGATCATGTTTTTCATAGCAATGACTGTAATAACTAAGACTGAGAGCAAACAAGAATGATAGCTAAAAAGGCTGATAGCAAACAATAACGAGAGGAATAACAACAGTGGCAACAGGAACAACAATCAGAACAACGACAGAAAAGACAAAAACAAACAATGAGAGAAATATGAAACAGTTCAGACATCATGATCCCTAGGCATCCTCCAAAAAGAAATCAACGCTCAAAGATTAGTCCAGAACGAGAAGGTAATCTAGTTGAGTTATCAAGTAGCGGATTGAACTCCATCTCCAGTCCTCCCTGTCTTGAGGTTGTCAGTCTTTCTTTTCGAGGTCCACATTCCTTCTATTTCCGGCTATTCGGTGCCTCAGCTTGTGCTCTTTTTTCCCTTGCTATCTTCTGTTCCCTTGCCTTCTGTCTCCTCTCCAGTGAAGCTTGCGCCGCCGCCCCTGACGTGTTCTGAGTGTCAGATGTTGCCCATTGCCTGCTAATCTGGTTAAACATGTCAGGAGCTTCTGAGGCCCGGGAGCCTGTCGCGGTTGTTGTGACGGCTTGGGAACTGGACGCTGGACGCTGGTCCAAGCCGATTGGAATTCTCTGAGATGTCCCAGTGGATGACGTGTTGGAAGTTCTCTGTGCTTCGTTCGACGCCTGGTCAAAGCCGATTGGAATACTCTGAGATGTCCCAGTGGATGACGTGTTGGAAGTTCTCTGTGCTCCGTTCGACGCCTGGTCAAAGCCGATTGGAATACTCTGAGATGTCCCAGTGGATGACGTGTTGGAAGTTCTCTGTGCTCCGTTCGACGCCTGGTCCACTGATGTTTGGCGCCCCCCCGGACTGTCGGTGCCATAGTAGCCATAAAGGCTACCTAGAGTACCTGCGCTATTTCTTTCATGTGGAGGGCTGGTTTGCACGCTGTCCGAAATGTAGGTTGCAGTAGTCGCTTGAGAACTGCGGTTAGGTGGTCCAGCCTGGCGCGTAGGTGTCGCCGCACGGCCAGCAGTTGCCTTGGGGTCGGTAGACTTTTCGTTGCCCATATTTCAGGAAATCCTCTGGTTTCGGATTTTAAGTAGGAAGGAGTTGACGATAACGCTTTGGGTGGATGGGCTGATTGTGGTGCACGACAACAACGAATAAGCTGAAGGTGTATGGACCCTTGTTATGGAGGTGGGAAGATGGAACAAAAGTCGGTAGCAGGTGAGAATGTGATGAGATTGTGAAAGAGAGTACTGTCCAGCAGTAAGAGTAACCAAGAGAAACTTGAATGTTTGAAACTGTATGAGATGATGATAAAACTTTGAAGGAGAGAATAGGACACGGCAAGACAGCGAATTTATATCCGCTCTCGGGTGGTATTTCGTGACTTTATCGCGTTCTCAGCATCCAGCAAAGTTTCAGCCTGAGCGGCGACGGGTCCAACGTTGATGGCCAGAGCCCAATCTTAGAAACCGGCCCTAGAAGGTCGCCGTAAGGAGGGCTACCATGCAACAATGCGGAGCGTTCACGGCGAAGGAACTCGAGCCAACATGCTCTTAAGGTGGAACTCGGTAGCATTTTCAAGGTCGTGTAGGCCTCAAAAGCGGACAGCAGTCGGTCAAGCGGTCTGGTCCAGTCCCGTCAACGAAAGAAAATGAGCAAGGACAGTCAGTGCCAGGTGGTAGTTGTGTATCGGGACAATGGAATTGGCGTAACAACTCAAACATTACCTTGGTAGATAACTCCTATTTTTCGACTCCAAGGCCATTGATCATCGTGAAGTGAGCTTGCACGTCCTTGAGTGATGGGCCCGCTCGCGCTGCTGGTCACCCTATTGAAGTGGGTCTTTGCAGCGATACGGCCGTGACAACGAGAATGTCGAGTCCAAGACCACTTGTGGGTCCATCTCTAATTAAAGAGTCCGGTTCTCGCAGTTGGCCTGGTTGTTTCATGTCGTCCAAGATCTCTCCACTTTGGATCCTCAAATACGTCGTCCCGGTTCTCAACCATTGGTTGTGTGGCTGCTTTGGGAGCAGCTGTTGGCTGGCTGAGCTGGTCCAAGGGGCTTTTGGGGGCTGGCACGGCGGCACAGTTGATCCGCAGCGACTGCATCATTTCAGCCATGGGTGGAGCGATAGCCCGAATGTGGCCCGTTTCCTCTTTACATAACACCGAGCAACTTCATCTAGTCCAGCAAGTGCGCGACCGCTCTGTAATTTGGCTTTTCGGTCTTCCAAAGTCTTGCGTGAATCGTCAAGTCAGTCTTTTTGCCGTTCTTGCAGCCACCTTGTCTCTATTTGTTCCAGTGCTGCCTCCAGTGTGCTGCATTCACACGACAAGCGCCGTACCGTCTCATCAACTCATCATCAATTACTATAAGTTCCACTGTTCAGCTGTCTTGGTCATACTTTATCCAGAGAGTTGTCTTCCTCAATATGTCCGACGAATTTCGAGATCGGAATATTGGGATCAGCACAGATTGGGAAAGAAACGATCATCATGAAGCGATGCGCGAGACTTGGTTGAAAGACGCACTCACTGAAAAACATGCCATCCCCGTCTTGAAGCTGGTCATGATGCATTACAAAGGAGGAAATCAAAAACCTGTCAAGATGCACCGTGGAATGTATGGATCATACAATGCGAATTGGCGTGTCGAGTTTGAGGAGGGATCAGCAATACTTCACATACCTATGCCCGGCCGCTCGGCTTTCTTTGACGAGAAGATACGCGCAGAGGTAGCTACGATGAAGATGATCGAGGCAAGAACGACGATCCCTGTGCCGCACATCTATCACTGGGGGTATGCTGCCGACAACCCGACCGGTTTAGGCCCGTTTATCATCATGGACTACATAGAGCACGAGAGAAACCTGGCTGATCTGGTGCTGCCGGCGAACAATCCATCATGGAATATCAATCTGCACGGAATGGACCCCAATGCTTCTGAAGAAACCTTGCTGAAGGTTTACCGGCAAATGGCCAATATATGGCTTCAGCTGTCTACCCTTGAGATGCCATGCATTGGGTCACCATCGTTTGATGAAACCTCCCAGTCTTTTAAAGTACATGGCAGGCCTGTAACGGAGAATCTAACAGGCATGTTGATGGATGGGGGCAATCCACGATGTGCACTGCCCGCTGAGACGAAAATATTTGCAACATCAAAGGAGTACTACTCCGCGCTCGCAGACAGTGAGTAACCCTTCCTTTCTGCGTAAAGTTTCCATTTGCAGTGGTGCCCATTACTTAATCGGTTTTGGGCTGTGGGCAGTATTTAACACTGAACCACCCCGATACTGGCGGCAGCCCATCTATGGTTGCGACCTTACCCTTGACTCGGCCCTTTAAGATCTGACCATCTCCAGTGCATCTTGCTGAACTCGCTTTCCAATACAACGGGGGAATAGATAGCTACGACGACTGCCGTGACAAATATGTGGCCCGTCAGCTTTTTAGGAGACTCTGCAAAGATGCCGCATTTCTCGATTCAGATGAAGAAGAGGAGCCATTCAAATTGTGGTGCGATGACATGCGACCGAGCAGTGTCCTGTTGAATGAGCACAATGACGTTGTCGGGGTCATCGACTGGGAATTTGCGTACTTTGCCCCAGCATCATTCACCTACGATCCGCCATGGTGGACAATCTTGGGGAAATTTGAGGTATGGGAAAAAGGCCTTGACGATTATTCGGCGAAGTTTGACCAGCACGTGCCATTATTACTGAAGGCTATGGAAATGGAGGAAGAACGAATGGAGAAAGAGGCCAAAGAGGAACCACCCGAGGTGGGGGCCTCAGTCCTGAGCTTCTACCTCGGCGAGCTTGAGTTGAACGATGCGAAGCCAAGGGTCCTCCCAAAGCTATCAGAGAAGATGAAGAAGCACTGGGAGACCGGTAGACACTACCTCAACTATGCTGCCCGGAACAGCTGGGCATTCGACCCCATATTTTGGAAATATATCGACCAGCGATTCTTCGGGCAAAACGTGCGCGGCGGATTCGAGGATAGGCTGCAATTGTTTTCGGAGTCGCAGCGAAAGAGGATGGAAGACTTCGTGGAGCGCAAGATAGCGCAATTGCTTGATGCCAAACTGAAAATATGGGATGAGCAAGAGTGCAAGGAGTACCTGGAAGATCTTTTGAAAGATCGTTAGCCGCATATTGAAACGCCTAGCCCCTATCACTGGTGTCTTTAACACTGCTATCAGATTTGTTTCTATGAGGTCAGATATCCACAGCCACAAAAAGGAAGGGTACACTCGAGCCCCATGGCATTGCCACTTATGATATAACATTGTTTGGAATAACATTCTACGAGATGAACCGTTTGGTGTTAATCTGAGCGCTTTAATCTCTTCGTCGCCAAGTATTCTACCCTGAGTTGTTCTGGATGTGAATATCTGATATCTGCCTTAACCCCCGTCTTACTCACGGAGAAGCAGGCTACCAACTAAAGTAATGACCGGAGCGTAACCCCAGTGATTCCAATGCCCATTTCCGAAAGAGTAGCAGACTGCCCCATCGGCAAACGCAACGCCACTTGCCGCAGGCAAGGCCCAGGCGAGAGACTTCTTGGTACCGAAGAGCGCTGCAGAGGAGATGGCGATACCCATAAAGATCCCATAGGATGTCTCTGACACCATCTGGGACATGCATTAGCTATATAACTGAGTCGGTCTTGATGTGTTGAAGAGGCACGTTATTGCTCAAAGGCGATCTCAAATACGAATGGCAATGTGTGTAATTGACCGATCAGTGAGAGTCGGTCGGCGATTCTAACTTCAAGGGTTGGGTCTAGAGACAGGGTATTGATGAAATGCTTACAAACAGCCATCAGGGCATTGATAACGTCCTCTGCGCTCGTTGTAGATGGCGGTGAGAACTCAAAGAAAGTCAGGGCATTTGCAGGACGAGCAATGGCATTGATGCCAAAGCCGACGAAGATGACGGCGAAGGCATGAGCGGCGGCGTAGAGGCCCGAGGTCTGCGAGGGTGCCATATTGCTTTGTGCTGACTACAGGCTGGTCAGCATCAACTCAGCTGGTGTCTTCCACCCAGAACGCACCGCTTCCGTGCAGGATAGAAGCCCTTCTGGACATATACGTACTATTGATTGCACAGCAACTTGGAAACAACACGTGCAGATTGCCTAGAGGAGCCTTTCAAAAGTCCCACGAAGTTGAGAAGATGAGCGAAGTGCGAGACGAGATCGTTTGTTGCCAGTCTCTGTTCCCAAACGTTGCAATAAGGTGAGCTTTGTTCGGAGGACCCAGAGAGTCCAGATGTCCGTTTGTGCACCTCGGCGACTAGAGTTTATCCGACCTAGCTGGTCGTCCATCCGTGGCGTGGCACGGCTCGTGTCAGCTGAGAAGGATTTTAGCTGCTGCCTGAGCGGCTGATATCAATGGTTACCGCCTTAGCTTGTCATTACTAAGTAGGTATGCAACAAGAGGTGCTTTCGCACTACATAGGTAACACATATGAAAAGGTTGCTGTGTTAATTTGCTTTAAGCTGCTACTTGAATGTAACTCATACTAATTCCATTTCAAGGTTTGGAGTTTCAACCTTACTTCCAATACAAATCTTTCTTATTCATGTGATAAAGTCACAGGTTGTCGAGGTTGACCTCATTCTTAAGTGGCATATAACGTTTACGACTGCGAGGGGACGGAAGGATAAACTAGCGCAGTTGTTGGCAGGCTATGCTAGTAGCTCACGTCCACTCAAAGCCGTGGAGAGAGAAGAACTGGCCATTGGCTCAAACGATGCTATCACTAGTACCGGCCCGTCGAAAAATAAAAATGAGTGGCATGAATCTTGTGAACATCAGCGGACCTTGAATTGTTCGCACTTCGCCTCATCCCACTCTTCACCGTCCATTATGCCTTGCACATACGCCTCGCCTACAACCTTCCAATATCTATCCCCTCCATCCTGTTCATCAGGCCTTACCACCAGAGGCACTCTCCCACCCTTGGCAAGCACTATCACATCGCCCTCCGCCGCTGACGAAGGCACCAAGCACAGGTACCCATTTGCGCCGCGAGCGAGCCGCCGGCCGTAACTCCCGTCGAGAAACCGGAAGAACCCGCCATACTGTCGCCGCGTCTTACGCAGGTAGCCTAGGAACGCGATGGGCCTGGTCCGACTCCCTACATTCCACCGATGGAGGTCGCTCAGTGTCTTGAGAGACGCGCGCCAGCTGTAGAAGTACTTCTGCGCCGCGATCTTGCGGCCGCGGCCCGGGGCTTCTTTGCTGGCTTCGGTGCGGCTGGGGTACGTGCCGGTGCATAGTGTCTGCCAGTAGACAGCTAGCTTGTCATCCGGTTCCTCCTCCACCTCTTCTGCGACTGTTTCGTCCTGGGCGTTGACGACGTCGGTCTTGCGGACATGCCCCGGTGTAGCTGAGAATCTTTGCCGGGGGTTTGTGGGCACTTGCTCGCATGCAAACGCCTCCCAGTGGATGTATGATGAGAGGTGAGGAACAAGGACTGTAGTAAAAAAACTGTAAAGGCTCGCCAGCCACTTGAAAATGTGCCCTAGCCCCTGCAATGCTTTGAGCATGCCTTGAGGCTCGGGTTTCTTTTCCTGGGCGGGCTCCTCTCCGCCCGATGGCACTGACGCACGAATCTGCCGAAGCGGTTCTGAGAGCTTGATGATTTTAGTTACCTCGTGCGCCTCCAAAATTAAAATCTCCGGTGTCTCGCCATCGGTCGTCTCGAGAAACTGAGGGCGACACAGGCTTTGTTTTGTGGCATGGGTGTTGCGCGGACGATCTAGCGCGTCATATAGGAGCGGAAGGACGGTGCCCTGAGGGTCAAAAAGTCCCTGCTAGGAGCGGGTGAACATGCTCCGAGGATGTCAAGCGATCCAGTTTCGCGTATCAGTCTACATGCGAAGTCGGAGTAGACCGCGCTGATTGGGAGGGAGTAGTCTGGCTTTATACCCAGAACCAACTCCTGTTCTGTGGGCTGGCTCGGGTGAGGTATCAGAGCCTCCGTCTTGTTCGTGTTCTTGTTCATGAGACCTAGCAGAGAGTAGATTTTGTCATGGGGTTTTGTCGCGCCGCGAAATTGGCATCGAATCATCATTTCGAGGAGCCTGTTCGCGACGGTTGCTGTGCAGTTGCGAAATAAGATCTCCGATATCTGCAAAGACAGGTATCGTGTGACAATGTCTTGGTACAAAACACCAAGTTCGACGCTGTTCCATAAACGCACCACGCCGAGCCCATGGTTTCCGCCCAAGCAGAGATCATCCCAGGATATTGAATAACGTCCAATCATAACGGTCGCATTTGTTGCGAGGATGATCTCCTGGAATGTCCAAGAGCGACACCACCAGTCGGACTCGAGCACGTGCTGGATGGTCTGATCTCCCATGTACCGAAGAAATTTGTCTGGCACTTTCCCCTCCGAAGAATTCCATGATGGCACGTTTGCAAGGTGCAACATGTCTTTCGCGCTCTCGAGTCGCCAGCTAGAGAGACCACTGTCCCCGTCACGACGCAGGTGTAGCCGCTCGCGTGCGTCCTTGGCCAGCTCTCTCAACATAGTAAACGCACTTTCGGTGTCTTTTTCAACACTGTCTCGCAGCCAGATGATAGTCCTCGATGCCCGTCGGTAAATATCACCCATGATCTTAACCTGTTCGCTGCGCTCCGCCTCGTCTGATGGTCCTTGATTGATGCAAATTGCATCAACCCACAAGGTGATTGGACGGTCCGGTTCACGTAAATTGAGTAGCGCGGTCCGAAGATTGGGACGGATATCCAGAGTCTTACCATTGACTTGGATAGGCGTGTGTTCTGTATTATTACCCCATACATAGCTCAGTGCCGCGTAAGAACCCGCGCACTTGTCCAGAGAGGTTTCGTACAGACGACATTCTATGTCCTCCTGCCTGGTACCGGGAAAGACTTCGATGAGCCGTATGGACGACGGTCCCACGCGCAATGGTTCGTACTGAAACTTTTGTGTTATGGCCAGATTTCGTGTTCGATCCTAGTGTGCAGTTAAAAGGCTGTACTTGGGCTTCCGGGCAATGAGGACATGTACCGGAAGGATGAAGCTGAAGTCATCGGGCTTGTTGGGTCTATTCTCGTGTACAGCCGCTGCTGCCTTTTGTGCACGAACTTTGATCACCGTACCCAGGGTTCCGATGAAATGTTGAGACATTGTGTGCAGGATGCTCGTGCTTCGAGGCGTCGGGATTCGATTGGTGTCTGCTATGTCTTGTCCATCTGATTAAGATGACACGAGTAAATGGGGATCTCGCGGCAAAATCTGCAATGTCTGGAGGCGCGCTCATGCAGGATTGCCGTTTGCAGGTGCGGTGCAGCTGCAATTTCCTTTTCCTGTCAGCCCTAGAAGTCGTTGCCACGCGACCCCGTCTCCTCCTTGTCTCCTGGATTACTAATGGAAAATGAGCAGGACTGGGAATATGGCTAAGCGGCGATTTATTGGCTGTCCAGGCCCTGAAGCTTACGCCAGGCAGACGCAAGCTAGAACCCCTTGCCCTCCACAACAACTTTGCGTTGGAAATTTATGGAACCCTTCAAACCGAGCGTAAGAGATTTCTATACTCCTTCTCGGCGCGACAATTTGCCTTGCACACTTGACTTGGTGATTTCAGCCTAGCCCACGACACATAAAGTTGTTTCCTTGCGCAGTAGAACATGTTGACTACGCTTTGTTTGTCCCCGGGTCGTCCATTGCCACATTAATACGTCGCCATATACCCCTTGCCCACCGCACCAGACGGCGCCAGAGCGCTCTGGGATACCACCATGTCCGACGGGTATCCCATAGGTCGTATGCCATGAGAAGGCTAACCGTGCATGCTATGGCAATGAGAAGTACCACCACACACACCCAGGCACTTATCGGAGAGCCGTTGATCTCCATTATGTTCATACCGAATATGCTGGTGACCAGATTGAGAGGGATGAAGATGAAAGCCAACTGGGTCAACTTTTGCGAGGACTGGGCTTGCTGGATGCTGGTGGCCGAGTCGAGGACATTGATGGAGCTCATGAGGAGCTGGAACGTGTCCATGAGAAATCGCTCGGAGACTTCGGCCTCCTTCAGGATATCGCTGAATATTGTCTCAAAGACACCATCGGATGCCTGCACAATACCTTGTAGGCCCTCTTTCACCTCAGGATGTATCCACTGCTTTGCGTACCTTACATCTTTGCGCATGTCCATGAGGTTTTTGCGCAGCTCATGGAGACGGTTGTGAACCTCGTGGCCGACGGGGCCTTGGAGGTCGGGCCGTCTCACGTCGTTGAAAGCGACATCACTAATGCTCTGGTTGAGGCGTCGAGAATTGTACATCCATGTGGATGCGGCCAGGAGCCACAAGAGCGGCCTCGAGGATAACTGCTCCTCCATCATCATGTGAAGGTGCCATGGGTGGCTGAAGAATTGCTTGAAGCATTGGAAGAGGGAACCCTTTGTTTGGCCGAGGAGCCAGGGCAGTATCAAGCCACCACGGCTGGTAGAGACCGGCAAGTGCAGTCTTGTCGGCAACACAGATGCCCGCGATGATCCGTCAACAACACCCTCGACGGGTGCATCCACAAGGAAGATGCCTGTTACTTCTGTCAGCTGCTGCAGGTCAAACTCAATTGTTCCCTCCGAGCAGTCACACTGAAATACGTACATATATTGTCGCGTAGGCTCTCGTAGTAGGATATACACGTGTTCCATTCTTCCCAAAAGTTACCTGTATTGGGGATAGGTTGATGGCGACGCCCTACGACGTTCCGGTCTTGCACTTCGACCATTGCCCTTCGCGGGTCAGTCCCCGTCGGCTTCCACTCAAACACTCCATCAACGTGCCAAAACCTGTGAGACTCCATGTCGTTGGGATCTTGAATCAGTTGTCTCTTGCCTGTCTCAGAACTGCAAAAGGCTGCTGTCCATAAATCCTCTCCCGTTGGATTCCGCGCATGCTCACGGAAGAAGGAGACATCGATATGCAATCTGGCACTCAGTTCGACCATCCATCTCAGATCAATGTTTTCGATCACGATAGCCACGGGATCTCGCATTCCACTGGCCGAAGATGTGATATGCGGGACGTCCTCGGGCGTGATCAGAACTTTTGGTTGCCCTAGATGCCCTAGAGAATAAGATATCGCCCTTGTCTTGCCTCGCTGAGTTGTGGCTGGACTCGGGGGGAGAAAATCCCAAGTTTGGCTCAAGGACATGGTATCCTGCGACGCACGTTGCTCGCTTCTCATTCTGTGTTGAAATGTTGTGGTAAATCGTTGACCGATAAGAAAGAATTTGAAGATGGGATTCCAAGAAAATTGATCAGGGAAATTTACCCGCCAGAACGTGCAGCCAGTGGTAACGAACTGGGACCCGATTTTAAATCATGCAGACCTTTCTGTTGTGCAACAAGAGGAGCTTAACATCCGAAGCCGGAAGAGAAGACGCTGGATAGATGCAGCTAATATCTGAGCGTATGCAATCAGGCGGCCAAGGTGGAAGGGGCCCACGAAGATCCCCTTCAATGTCTCCCGTGAACTCCCCCTCCCTTCATGCACGTTTCCTACTCACTGTGCCACATCAGAGAGGGGATAGAGGTACTTAAACACAAACATGTCCAACGCAACACTGCAGAGCAACCACCTCGGTAATTGTGTATTGCTTGGGGGGTGAGCCCCCCCATCTATGGATGCCCCCCTCTTTAGGCCCCCCTAGACCCCAGAACAGAAACCAAATGTGTGAGCCTTGTTAATAGTGTGGCAAGTAATCCAGGAAACATAGTTTAACAAGAATTGCAGAGGGTTAACGCTTCTTACTGTATATGGTTATCTGGAAACTAATAAATATCATGATATGTCCAGGGGCCATGTCTTGAGCATTTACCACTGGATGAAGGCGCAATATATGTCCTTGGACGTATACGGAATAGAAGCGAAACCACATACAAGGCGTGCAATGCCTGTTCAAATCTCCTACTACTCCTACAGCATACACCACAAGACAAGGTCCGCCGACTTCGCTCCTGTGGTCCAGGTCAGTCAACAGCCTCTATACAGTATCATGCGGGCTGATACACACTTGTACACCCTGCTTGGCACTTCATGAGGTATACCGGACAAGGAACTCAAGGTCATCTTTATTGCTCTGCCTACGACACATTTACAACTCCGTCCGGGTGGAGACGAGTAGGATATTAATATTGCCACTAGAGGTAAGATTAGGCTTAGCGCAATTAGTAACACGCCAGCCAACATCCACCCACCCAGACGTTGGATCTGTGGGGACGCGTAACTGTTGGACCGACCAACTTACCATCAGATGAATCCTTGGCGCGTGAAGGCCTGTAGCATCGTGAGGGGTCACCTTCTCCAGCACGCCGTGACAACAAGGCGTATCAGTTCAGCACGTCAGACAGCCCAGAACAACACGCAAACAATGGCACCTCAGCTCATCTTCGGGACAGGCGTCCTCGGCATGGACGGGACCGAGTTCCAGGACAAGGACGCCGTCACGGACCTGCTGAGCACGCTCAAACAGCTCGGCATCAACCGCCTCGACACGGCGGCTCGCTACCCGCCCTTCAACCCAGGCAGGTCGGAGCAGCTCATCGGCGAGGCAGACACGAGCGGCGCGTTCGTGGTGGACACGAAGGTCTACACCGAGGTCGGCGACGGCAGCGGTGATCTCACGCAGGCGGCGATGCAAAAGTCAGTGGGCGGCAGCCTCTCGCGGCTGCAGCGGCCACACGTGAACGTGCTGTTCGCCCACCGCCCCGACCCGGCCACGCCGCTCGAGGAGCAGGTCCGGGGCTTCCAGGACCAGGTCTCGCGGGGCCTCGCGAGGGAGTGGGGCGTCGCGAACCACCCGCCCGAGGCGCTGGAGCGGATCATCGCCCTGTGCGCGGAGAAGGGCTGGGCGAAGCCGACGTGGTACCAGGGCACGTACAACATGCTCACGCGCGGCGCCGAGGCGCGCGTGCTGCCCGTGCTGCGGGCCCACGGCATGTCGTTCCTGGCCTCGCATGCGCTCGCGTCGGGATTCCTGACGGGCGGGCATGTTGACGCTGAGGGGAGGCCTACGGGCCGCTTTGCTAAGAATGCGAATCTTGCACATCCCGAGGTGGCGGCTGCGATGAAGGAGTTCGTGGACGGCTGTAGCGCCCACGATCTGCAGCCCGTCGAGGTTGCGAGCCGTTGGACGTCGCACCACTCCGCGCTCGGCGACGGTGACGCTATTGTTCTGGGCGCGAGTAAGCTGGAGCAAGTGGGTGATACGGTGGCACATATCAGCAAAGGTCCGCTTCCCCAGGAGATGGTTGTGCTGGTGGACAGGGTTTGGGCCACGGTGACACCAATACGCGGCTCGATGATATGAAGAAGTGGTAATTAAAAACGCATATCGTTGTTTTTAGGCCTGGGCCGTCTGGTATTGTACTGGATAGACGCTAGAAGAAAATTGATGCATACATGTTATGTGAAGCTGATGTCTCTGGTTAAACATCATGAGAATTGCCAACAGTTGCAAGTGTGACGGGGTCAATCTGGGATCGCATGAGTGTCATGTGCACAGGGGCTTTCCAGGGCGAGCTCGGGTTTACGACGGACGGTGCCTTACGCTTGGAGTGAACCGAGGAAGACTCCTGAGATTACAAGTTGTCAGGTGGCTGGTCCACGACCACATTCCCTCCTAAGTTCAGCACCATGTCTCAACTGCATAAATCAAGCCAACCATGCCAAAGGTTCAAAAGTCTGCGATTGTGTGGTGCTAATTCAAAGCGACAGTCGGAAGACACAGAGGCATCTTTAAAGGATCTTCCGAGTTCTATGATGGATCGCCAAAGGCATGAAGGCCAGCAACTCCGCGTATCAACCCCCAAGTCCGCGAGCAACCAGACAGCCTTCACAATTTCCAGTTCCAAAGCTCTTGTTCGTATAGCCCGTGCTGAGTGGATTCCTTAATGCTTGACCTCGCCCTCCATATCTTCGGCCGTAACAATCTCTCTCGGCGGGAAAGCGTCCCAGTCATCGCGGAGCTCGGTCCCAGAGAGTTCCGCCATCTTTTCCGCCGCTATTTTCATTATCCGGGGGTCCATGACAGATCGGGTGTTGCGCACCAGCTCATACGCCTGATCGAAGTCACGCCGCGGCAGGTCGCGAATGGACCTCAAAATACACGCAGTATCAAAGCCATATTCGTCGTTCCCCATCGCCCCCCTGAAAACGGGTAGCTGCGGATAGTCCCTGCCCCTAGATTCCATGCGGTACTTCAAAATGGACTGTGAGGCGATGATCCAGACGGGAAGGTCTTTGTGTCCGGCATCTACCACTACCATGTAGTCAGTGAACTCAGTAGGAGGAGGGTATCCTTTTGTTGAACACAAGGTCTTCCATGGTTCTCTTGATGATGTCCGCACTGCGAGTTGTCCCAGCGGTATGATGAACTCAGGATTGGAAATTGGTCCATGGCACGAGGCATCAGCTGGTGGCAGTCGGTATCGAACTTGATAAAGAGGATCTGCTCTGGGTATCAAGCGCATCGGGTTTTCAGGTTCGGGAACCAGATTTGTTGGGCACTCGATTACGGCCATGCCGGCCCGTAACCCTAGTTCGAGATAAAGTTGATATTCGTCTCCGGTCGTCTCATCCCTGAAGAGTGGTATCTTCGGCCTGCCTTCTGTGCGGACTTTCAGCGATGGTAGGTTCTTGTGTTCAAGCTGAGAGAGTTTTCGGAGCCAGCGCCGACTGTCAGGATCTTCCAGCAGCTTGTCGCTTGCTTCGCTCATGTCTAGAATTCGCACGGTATCATGGGGCCATCCGCGTCCTGAGTCCGGCCAGTTCTTCCACGGACTGAAGTATACAACCTCGTCGAGATGATCGCCATGCTCCTCTTGATATGATTCATGACCGTCATCAGATTCGCATTCATCGTCGGATTCGGACACGTCCAACACTTCTAGAGGTGGCATTGGCTTGTCCTTCCACAGTGCGGCCATGTATCGAGACGTGACTCCGTGATGAGCAGGCTCCGACTCGGCCTCCATGGCAGCTAGATGATTTTGATCAGTGGCCATGGACATGGCTCGATCGCAAACGGGGGAGCAAGGAAAGGAGCAAAGAGCCCGACTCACCATCCGGCACAGAGGCTTGTGGCGAGCTCGACGACACTGGTGGCGGGTCCATTGTCTTTTTGGGTGAAATCAAATGTGAGGGTTTTCGCAAATATCAGAAAGGTTGTTAAAGTATCAGGAGGAAGCAAATGAGTTTGAGGTTGATCAGGCCTTGGGGTGAATGCAAAAGGTCTGGGGTGACTGTGAAGTGTCCGCAGTGACTGCGAACGGTCTGGAGTGACTGTGAGAGGTCTGGAGTGACTGTAAAAGGTCTCTGGGGCTGGAAGCCAGTAGAGATAGCGGGGTAGTTGCGCACTGCCTGGTGGCAGCCTTGATTCGCCAGGTACCTAGGTACTTATTAATAGCAACCATTTTTAAGCGCGCTGATTAGCCGCCCACCTGGGGCAGAACCACCCACAAAAATGGATCTCGCTTGCAACAGGCGCCAGTTTACCCGGCATACCGGTCCCCTTCAAACCACACAGTACAACCGCCGAGGACTCAAAAACAGCAGTGGATACTGGTTTACCGCTCAATGGATGCCAACGAAACGCCCGGGTGGCCTGATATACCCATGCAGGGTCGTGATATATGGCCACGGCCTGTCTGAGACTGTCCCATCAGGCCTCGTTCGGCCGTAGCAAGAATCCTGAAGGATTCAACCAGCCAATTGGCGATGCTCAACCGGACCAACAGTCAGGGGGCGAAGGCTAGAGGGCATGAGCAACGCGCCTGGCCCGGGAGCCTACTGGTGAAGCAATTGTCGACCCCACGTCTCCTCACAGTCAACTTGACTGCAGGCATGATGCCCATTGGGAACATTGGAGCTTTAATACCTACTTAAGGTACCTTCCGGTGAAAACTCAGTGCCATTGAAAATGAATTTGTAACCCGACGAGTGTGATCCGATACTTGAAGACCTAGCCACGCTTTCACACTTCGAACGCCGTCAGACTGTGATCAACAGTTATCTGACGTCCTTGGATATTCCAGTCTCTTGACTACTACTCATTGAAACCTGATCAAACATTGTCTTATTTCACTTGCCCGGCCTCGTCTTACTGCAATATTTGAGATGCCTCCAAAACAGCTCCCACCTTTCAACCATGAGAAGCTCCTCGATATTAATATACAATCAGAAACACCAGAGAACATCAGGGCCCTGCAGGACCAGATCCAAGTGGCGGAACATAACGTAATCGCTGTCCTGCAAGCTGCACAGAAGATAGCAGACACATTTTCGAGTTTGGATCGCGTCACCAATTTCAACTTACAGATCATCGACAACCTAGTTCAGGATATTAGGACCATCTATCGTCTGCTGCGTTCGAGATTGTTCAGTCAGTTCCCTGGAGTCCCCCCGCGTGGACAGCTAGCAGCTCCAGGTGATCGGATACCGGAGAAGATTCGGGAGAACGCCTACAGCTGCCTATGCCCTCTGACAGTGTTGCTCCAGAGTGTGGCCCAATGCTTCAGCGACCTCAAAGTATCTGCTCCGTCGGAGGCTGGTAACGACGCATGGGGGACCATTCAGCCACTTCATAGGCTTCTACGCCATATGGAGGGACGCCTGCTCACAACCAACAATGTGGTTCGGAACGAAACCGGAGACTATATCGGTCTGGCCTTTTGCATCATGCTGCATGAGAGAAACTCTCGGTACCTGGTCACGTCCACGTCACCATCCTACGGCTCATTGAAGGGGTTGGACGACTATGGCAAGCACTTGCGAATCCTCCATATGAGACGAATCAGACAGTCTTTGTCTGAGGAATTCAGCGGTCGTGTTCAGCTCCTACAGGCATACTCAGAAGACGTGAAGAGGGAGCGACGTGCGGCGGGAAAGGCGTGGAGCGGTGCTATCAGCACGACGTTGGATGAACCCGAGGTCATAAAGGGACACAACGCCGCCTTCAGGACAACAGGCCGGTTCATGACTGCCTGCCTCTTGGACCATCTGCGTTTCCAGATAGGAAAGACAGCGTATGCGGCAGATATTGAGAACGCGACGACACGCAAAGAGAGAAGCGTGGCCGGTCCTACTTCATGCGCTGAATGGGAGTTGTACGTCACGCTTCTGCAAAGCCCTGACCCCGAAGAACCTTACGCTCCGCAATATGTTGCGGTCACCTACGGAATGCCCAAGTCAAAGACTTGGGAGACAGACAAGACCAGTTCAAGGCCAGCTCCGACAGCCCAGAGGTCTCCCGCACCAACTCCTCTTCCACCTATGTCCAGGCCAATGTAAGTAGATCCTCGCCATTTTGTCTGATTCTACTTGCGTGCGAATTTGAATCACTGACCTGATAAATTGTAGTCCACTCAGACCGGGGCAGGCGAAATCAGCGACCTTTGCAAATCATTCACAGGCTCCCCCACATCCAGCTGCCGGTCAGGTTATTGTGCAGATGCCGACGCCTCCGAGGCAGCCTGAGCCACAACAGGCCGACCCTCCGAAGAAGGCAAAGTCCAGGTGGGGTCTAAAATAATTATCCAGTCGAAGCTGCATGATGAGAATCTGGGAACATTGTATCGAATCTGTACTAGACGGATATTCAATGTTGTGCTTGCAATATGATAGTGAATACCATAGGGTATCCTTAATCGACGCTTTTGTCTTGTCTGAAGTTTATGTCCATCTACGTGGCGCGTACTCGGTATGACTGGCTCAACATTGTGTGTGAAACATGTAATATAGAATCGGTCCAGGGAGACTTCTAGTGATTCTGTAGGATTCACATCGTACCTTCAATGTTCTCTCCGGGGGTGGAGGGGCAAGGGGCGGGTTTGATGTGGGGGCCATGAAAGCCTGGTGGTGCCTGTGTACGAGGTTAGGGTAAGCACTCGCGGTGTGCTTCATGTCAAACGCTGACACGAACTCCAACCTTGGATACCTAGGTAGCCTGGTCAATAAAACATAGTATCCCGTACAAGTCCAAACAACTCAGAACAAAGACAATCTCGCCCTACAATGTACCATGAAAACAATTGATTTGATCCAGGTCGCCCGGGAGCAGAGCCCTTCATCCCCTCTAGTCTTGCCGTCATCTATCCGTCAGCGTATTTATTCGTAGGTCAGTCTGACCCCTACTCGTAGTAGATATGTGGTTTCGCTTCTATTCCGCACACGTCCGAGGACATACAGGGCGCCTTCATACGATGGTAAGCACTCAGGACCCAGCAAGCCTCCGTCATACGTCCCATTTACATGGTCTCAAATGACCAGAGCTCTGTGACTTCCATGGTCTGCTTCTATCATGCCGCAATTTACACAGCGAGGTGTGGAGGCTGCTACAAGTAGTTGCCTAGGTACCTGTAGATTCATCATTCGCTACGTAGAAGATCTGTCACTCGGTCGGGCCTTTCAGAAAATCAATGTTGGAACACCACTTGCGCCTTCGAGCCTCACACATCTGAAAGCGGTACTCAGCGAGGCATCTTGTTACTCTTTCCCGATTTCACGCCCACAATTAGCGGATAGCTACATCATCGGCCGTCACAGGTTTGCACCCAAAGTTATGGACAGTACAAATCAGTCTCGTCGTTTGGGGCTGAGACGCCATGTCACGATTCGACTTGGCGACGAGTGGGATTTGAAACTCTTGACCGAATGAGGGCGGACCGTTGAGCATCTTTTAACAGGAATTTCCCCTGCCATCCTCGACCTGAGCGTCGCGTGCGACATTTTCGACGGGGACGTCGACATCGCCACGCTGCACTATCACCACCGGCCCTCTTGTCCTTGCTCAATGAGGGCTGCCATGTTCGACTCTGCCACATCTCGATGCCTATTATGAACTGCCTGGCGTGAGATGCAACTTTCAAGACCTTTGGCAAATTTCATACTCGTGGCCAGGCTTCTGTGTCATGCCTGCCTGCCAGTCATACTCCGCCGCCACTATGCTCTTCCCTCTTGTCACCCCCACCGGAGCTACATCTGAACATATTGGAACACGTGGATCTCGTCACTCCCTGGAAGGAGCTGATGTGGAACAGCAAGTACCGTGCTTTCACGGCCGTCTGCGTGGATTTCAGATACGCGAGGACGCCAGGGGTACAGTGCCCAGTGCACCGCGGTTGCCAGTTCTTCAAATGCTAGCACACCTATCCAGAGACCACCATCGGATCTGGCGCCGGTGACACTCTGCCTTCTCTACGCACTGAAAGTGTTGGGAGCCACCGCTACCCTTGGTCCTTGTATTTCGTACCTTGTCTGGTTTCGCTGCTATTGCGTCGACGTCTGACAACATACGTAGGTACATGGCGCCTTCATACAGTGCTAGATCTGTTAATTATACTACAATACTTGTCATTATTTGTTCGTCACAACCTCGCTCGCTCTGACTGAGATCGATTGCAACTGACAGAATCCATCTTGCTCTGCTCATGGAAGAGCAGTTACTTTTCGACACAAAATCATCTACAATGTTACAATGTTGCGGGCATAAAGGAGTACTTGACTATGAAGGCAGAGAGCGCCGAAACCAACCTTTTGAACGAGCTTGCTCAGCCCTATGTCGCTGTTGGGCCACGATGAGCTCGTCGAAGATAATTACAGCCCACAGAGTCGCAGAGGCCGAATATCACATGACGAGAAACAATTCGTACATGATCTTGAAAGATCGAGTGCCCACTGATCCGACAGGAGACCACACCCCGTGAGGCAAAATTAGCTAATAAGTGCTAGTCTATCAAAGAAATATCGGAGCGGTTGCAGGGATTTTATGTGCATTGCAGCTTAGATGGAACGTTGCTGGCTGCGCCTCGGTCACCACGCCAATTGTTTCGAGTAGTTTCATAGCCAGAATTTTTACGTTACTTGTCGCACGAGAATTTGCTGGATACCTAGGAACATCGGCCATGGCACGTCTGACAGCTTACCTGCCTCCGTACCGAGGTTGCATCGACAGCCGTATTCTTGAATACGAGCCGTGGGAAGCCCGTACCTGCCTAGTGCTCACGGCTGACAGCAGTCATACCTTAGTTAATATCTATATTGTATCAGTTGCGCCTATGGATGGAGTCCTACACCTGGGATCAAATTCACTAGACGTCGCGATATAAAAGAGGTGCCACTCCGCCAGTTGATTCAAGCTCAACCAATATTCAACACACAAGTCCGTCCTCTCTTCCTCACTCCACAGCATACTAGTACAGTTCAAGTGCTCGCCACAACAAAAAAGTTTCAACATGCTCCTGACCTCCCTTTTTGCCGGCTTCATAGCCACCGCCTCAGCGGCCTCCATTCCCCGCCAGACCGAGCAAACACCCTGGAGCATCACCAACTTCTTCGCCTCCAGCAACCGCTTCAGCGTCATCACCACGTACCGGTTCGACATTACCGACGGCAACACCTCGGCCTACTGCGTCGCCCTGATGGACACCACGCCGGACATTAGCTATGTCCCCATCACGGACTGCGACAACCCCATCTACTCGTTCGCCTTCGGCTCGGCGGCGGATACGGAGGAGCCCGGGTTCAACCTGCAGATCTGGCAGGGCAATCCGGAGGACACCAGCTGCGGCGCGCCGTCGACGCATTGCGTATACACAGGAATCAAGTTCTTCCCGGCGACTGACGTGGAGACTATTCAAGACCCGACTGGGAACCCTTTTGGCAATTATGATCGGTTGAATGCGCCGGCCGATTTCGAGATTGCCCGTAATAGTGTGCATATTTGAGGAATGGTGGCACTAAGCCAGCGGAAATGTGGTTTACTACTGCTCGGGGTTGAAATAATCGGGTATAAATTTCACATAGAATGCACATTTTTGAATCATTCCACCACTCAAACTTTGGATTTTGCTGCGCGGAGTCGTTGCATTGGAAGCTTGATGTCAATCCTCTACAATTTTTACACATGCAAATCCCTGGCTGCATTAGCGGCGGCGTTGCTCAGTCTGCCTGGCAGCTGCCTGGCTGCCTAGTTCCAGATGTTCACAGGCTTGGAATGCGCGTGCTTACTTTCATGCAGACCGCACCAGCATTGCGTGTTCTTATCTTGCCTAGGTACTTATGTATCTGGCCAGTCAGCTCCACGAAAAAATGGTCACACAACTGGTCCAGATCCAGACGGCCCCTACCCTAGGCAGGTCCCGTGAGGGGTTGCAACCTTCAGCTTTCTACATAAATCAGGTAGCTTGCTCGAGCATTGCCCTTATTTTTATGAATGGCGATCCACTGTTACCCCAGGCCAAGACCTCACCTAACAATAGCTTGTTGCATTAGATGCACGTCTCAAGATGGCGGAAGCTCTTGGACTCGCTAGTAGTATCGTTGCCTTAGTCCAGCTATCGGCTTCTGTGTACTCCGCCACATCAAAGTTCTGCCGGGAGGCCAAAGACGCCAAATCCAAGATCAACGCTCTAGCAACTCAGATAAGAAACCTCTCGGGCGTGCTTCAGAGTCTGTCGTTATTGGCATCCGCGCCCCTCTTCGACGATTTCGGTGTGTCCGGCACAGACTTCAGGAATACCTACATAGAGTCTTGCCACAGCACACTCCACAAGATCAAGCGAAAGCTTGAGAAAGCTGAGTGGGACATTGAGACCGGAGGAAACAGGAAACTCATCACACGAAGTCTCAAATGGCCCTTCTCATCCCAAGAAACGAATGAGCTGGTCGCAGAATTGAGCCAACATCAGAATGTTCTGCAGCTGGCACTCTCAGCTGACACAATGTCCCAGTTGCTTCAGTGCTTGGCCAACACTGAGAGTACAGCGAAGTCGGTTCTGCATCTCAACCAAATGTTTGATAGGAAACAGAACATCGACTTGCGCACAGAGTTAACAAAGAAGCGAGAGGAGATTGTACGGTTTTTCATAAAGGTCAATCCCGAGGACTACCTGCAGGATTGCCGAAGTCGCCGACAACCGAACACAGGGAAATGGCTGACTGAAAGAAATGAGAGCTTTCAAGATTGGTTGAACTCGCCAGGATCTCAGATATGGTTGAGCGGCATACCAGGTAAGCTGCACCGTGCTTTCCAAAGGCTGTCCCTTGCTGATTAGAATCCTTGACTAGGCGCGGGAAAGACCATGCTTTGCGGCACTGTGATCGAAGAGATACTACAGAAGCAGTCCACTTCTACAGCGGTGGCATTCTTCTTCTGTGATTATAAGTCCGCGGAAAGCCAGGAACCTATCAACGTTCTTGGTGCTCTAGCTGTGCAAATTGCGAAACAGGCCGATGCAGCATTTGAGTTGCTCGAAGCCTATTACGAAGAACTCCATCCCCAGAACGGGATGGCCAAGCCGCCGGAGAGGAAGGGCATGATCAAAGTCATTCAAGCCATGATCAATCAGTATGATAGCGCCTACGTTGCTGTTGATGGCCTTGACGAGTGCGGCTCCAAAGCCGTCGAGGTGATCCATGCACTCAAGGAGCTGGCGAACGGCGATCAAGTTACCATGGCTCTTTTCAGCCGATATGAGCCCGACATAGCGGATGAGCTTTCCGACAGTCTTCGCATCGAGATAGCCGCTCATACGGAGGACCTTGAGCTATATGTCCTTGCGCAAATGGAGACTCGCAAGAGGTTAGCGAGCTTGGCTGTGAGGAATGCTGAGCTTCACAAGCATATTCTGCGTACACTGATCCAAGGTGCCAATGGAATGTCAGTTTTATCGCCCTACCCCTGAATTCAGAGACCTCGGTAGTCAGCTGGTGCTAACTTTCCAGGTTCCGGTGGGTCGCTTGCCAACTGGACTATATTGACGGTCTTCCGAGCGATGGACGACGGCGAAGAGCTTTGTCTGAGCTTCCGCCCACACTTTTCGAGACGTATGATAGAATTCTGGATCGAATCATGCAAGGAGATGAACAAAGTCAAGACCTATGTCGGAAGGCTTTGCATTGGATCGGCTTGGGCTCCTACTCACTCAATTCTCGGGCGCTTTGCGAAGCCATTTCAATTCCGGTCGACCAGGACGAGGCCGATCCGGAGCAATTCGTGGATACAGAGTGGGTCTCACGCAGTTGCAGCAGCCTTATCCGTCTTTCTGGCCAGTCTTTCAAAATCCCACATTTTCAGCTGGCCCATTTCACAGTCAAGGAGTACCTGCGAAGTATCGAGCCACGGTCGAAAAGGGGCGCTTTTCGATTCTCCGAGGGCGAAGCAATCCAAGAGCTGCTTGAGACATCGTTGAGGTTCTTAACCTTCCCAGTTTTCGATCAGGCCCCAATGATCGCCGTCTCCGAGATCGAGCGGATGGAGCAAAGAAACCAAAAACATCCATTTTACCCTGCCGCTGCAAGATACATCTTCTTCTGGAACACTGACGGTGGGAACATTGATGCAGCCATGGGCAACGAGCTCGCATCTCTAGTCAACGATGAGACCATGATGCAATACGCTATGAAGCTATTTGACCCTGATAAGACGACATTTTTCCATTCCTGGGTCCTTCAAGCTATTTGGCTCTGGAAAATTGAGTCCCGTGGAGCCCTCTTTCCCGAGATTGTTGGACTCCTCTTCGCGCCTGAGTTTTCAACACTGCACGTTGCCGCCACCCTTGCGCTTCCATCAATCTGTAAATATCTCGTTGAGACCCGAAACTTCGACATTAACAAATGGTGTCGAATTGGAACACCTTTGCATGGCCTTATGACTGGCATTGGAATCTATCACCCCAACGATCACGGCCATTTTCAATTTCGCTCATATCATGGGACCCGCCTCAAACCAGCGACATGCACACAGTATAGGGAGTGTTTGGAAATCTTTGTTCGACACAGTGCCGACACTTCCGCTCGGTTGGGAGGTTGGAGTGTTTTCCAGATGGGAATACACAATCACTCGTGTTCAGATTGGATTAAGCCTCTCGTCACTCCATCAACTGTGATATACGAGGATTGTATTGACGATTTCAAGATTTTGATTATCGAAAAGTACCTGCATACATCTGTTGTCGATGCAATTTATCAATTGGGGGCTACTCCAGGTGTCCCTCCAATGTGGGCTCGTCTTGCATCTGTTATTGAGACAAATCGGATGAAGGAGAGGCTCCATGAAGGAAAATCTCCAACCAATTCCCAAATCCTATCCGATGAGGATTTCGACGATGCGATTCGAATCTCGCTGGAACAGCACTTGGCAGACAATCTGAAGTCAATTGTGCAAGATCCCAGATTCCGTCCAGATATTTGTATATCTGGGAAGGGCCCGGATATTTGGCCAGAACCAATTCTCCATTTTGCAATTCGAGTGGGAAACCCCAGGCTGCTGCAGCTGCTTTTAGAAGCCAACTGCGATCCCAAACTTGTCCATGAGGCTGACGGATGGACCGGCCTGCATCAATGTGCACGGTTCAATAGAGTTGATGCAGCCAACGCTGTGTTTCTTCTCCGAGCTGGGGTGTCTGACTTGGTCAAAAATATGAATGGGAAGACATGTTGGCACACCGCCGCAGCAAATGGCAATATCCCAGTCCTGAACGCCTTGATTGAGCTGGGCTCCAACACGGCCAATACCCTCTGCACAACTTCAAAGCAAGGAAGAACTCCTCTAGCTGCTGCTATCCTCGAATCAGAAATTGAGTCGGCGCTTCTGTTGTTGGACCACTGCCATGTCGGGTTTGAAGTGTTCCAAAGCGATAAATCACTTCTAGACGAGGCTATTTCAATCGGATCGGCTACACTCTTTACACGGCTGTATGAACAAATGAAACAAGCAGGATCAAATGAAGCACTTCAACTCTCCAAGCCACTCAAAAATATCAACATGGCATGCTCGCCCAAGCTTTTGAGCTATCTTCTAACCACCTGGCCCACCGACGACAAAGGCAAATCCGAAGCACTTACAAATTATCTCCTCGATGCGAATAGCCCCGAGTTCAAGGATCCAACCAGATATCCCGAGAAGGCTGACCTTCGTCAAATCATCCGGCAGCTCTTGCCATCGGTTGCCACAGTGGACAAGCAGAATTCCTCGGTTGAGTTCTGGAGCACCTTTTGCGACAAAGTCGTGGTTAACCTGACCAGATCATGCATTCATCAGAACAACAGCACGTGTCGAAAGAATCTCGTCACCATGATATTTGAAATTTTAATTGAAACCGGGGCACTGGACTCATACGAACGGAACATGAATCTCTCAAGCTGCAGCAAGTTGTTTAGATCACTTCTGGACCGCGGCAGAGACCTCACATGCTCGTGGATCGCCCCGTCCGTCCACCGCGTCATCAAGAGAAGCACTCTTTCGGAGGACCTCGCCAATGATGCAGCATCGGAAAAGGTGCTATCTCTTGCGGTACAACAATCCAACACTGACCTCGTGGAGCAGCTTCTGCATTATGGTGTTAGTGTCCATGCAGCTTGCAATGGCTTGTCACCTATTGAGCAAGCATGCTATAGCGCAGACCTCCCGACTTTCAAGTTGGTAATCAAGCATGCAGATAAGTCTCAGATCAACAGCGCTGGAACGGAAGGCAAGACACTGTTGCATTTGGCGGTCTCTGGGACCGCCCCGGGGTACTTGGACAAGATCCAACGGCTACTCCAGCTGGATGCAGACATCGACGCAAAGGTTGATGATCCGAACGAAGACACGGCTCTAACCTTGGCGTCCCGTACCGAGCGCCAAGACATCGTCGCACTCCTCGTCTCGGAGGGCGCCAATGCTCTCCATCGAGGGCGTGATGGGTGGACGATACTCCATGCTGCAGCACTCACCGGCGATCTTCGGTATCTCCGATCTCTGGATCGAGCACATGTGCCGTCGTCATACTGGCGAGGCACCTGTGACTTTCCTCTGGTTCACATCCACAGACGAAACACCGCACACATTAAACAAAATGTCACTGCCGCCCATCTAGCAGCTGACAGGGGAAGGACGAACTTTCTACGTTTTATGGCTCAGCACAACTTGCCGCTCGAAGTCAATGCAATGACAGGGATCCCAGCCATAGCGCCGCTGCATGTGGCATGTTTATGGGGGCACCTTGAAGTCGTCGAGTTCCTCGTTGCTGCAAAGGCCAATATCAATGCAAGGGACTCAGACGGCCGTCTTCCAATAGATATCGCAGCACGGCGCGAGGATATTGCAACCGTCAAAGTTTTGTTGAAATCAGGCTCCGCACCACCATCCAGCATCTCCGGTCTCTCACTTGCACGTCTTCTGTCAGAAGAAACGGAGACTGTGGAGGGTTCCAGGAATTCAAAGGCCATGTCTCGATTCTCTTTTGAACAAGCAATCATAGACGGTGACCTCAGCCGGTGTAAAGAAATGGCCAAGAGCGGCGAATCAATCGACGCGAAGCTCCTCACGCATGAATTCACGCCGCTAGTGCGTGCCGTGATCCAGGGTCAAACAGCCATTGTTGACTGGTTAGTCTCATCAGCAGTCGAGGTGAGTAATCCGGTCATTAGCGGACTACATCCAGAACTGCGATGTATCGCCTCTCTCGCCACATACTACTTCCGGTCACCTCAGACTCTGTCTGCCGTCATGAGCCTCGCCTTAAGTCAGGGTGTGAGCTGGCACGAAAGCATACTGGGTCCATTGCATGTCGCCATTTTGGACAGGAATATGGAAGCATTGGAGGTGACCTTGAAACAAATCCGTAAAAACGATCATGCGTACCGGTATGAGGCGATATCTCACATAATTCGCAATTTCTTTCCGCTAACTGGAGTCCAGAAGAATGATCGAGGCTGATTTGATATGCGCCCCCGCTGCTACCGTTCAATGGAGGCATCGAACTGCTCTGAATATCCTTGTCAACTCATTCAACCACAAGAAAGCATTGTCAGACAATTCACTCTGGGAAGTAAAGTGGCCGCCCGGCTCACCACTGCACTGGGCCATCCGCAACAGTGATGTTCCCGCAGTGAAATTGCTTCTCGAGAACGAGGCCGATGTCAATAAAGCCGATTCACGTGGGAGGACGCCTTTGGAACTGGCAGTCTCGAGCAAACACCCCGCCGAACTTGTACAAGAACTTCTCCAAGCTGGCGCTGGTCTCGCTGAACCAAGCGGCAATCGGATTGAAACAATGGAAGATGCCGTTTGCAACGGAGACATAGGAGTTATCAAGGCTCTAGCAGAAGCTGACCCTGAGACTCTGAAAGGCGTTAGTCAATGCTCTGCGGATACACTTCTGCAATCCGCACCATCCGCAGCTGTATTTCAGTTCCTGGTATCTCGAGGGGCAGATCCTTTCAAAGGCATGGAATTGCCAGCCGGATATTCAGCCGTTGCGTCGCTGATTGATCCCGATTATGAGTTGAGCGGATTCGCTCTCAACTCGGGCCTAGTGGTTCAGTCATCTGAGGACTCACTAGCGTTTTGCCTATTTAAGCTAGCCAATGACAGCGGCCAAGAAAGCGTCTGCTTGGTCAAAATGATTGGCCGTGTTATCCGTAGTGATGCTTTCATGCACGCCGTAAACACGACAAGTCGAGCTTTTGGAAGTACCTTGTGCGTGGCGGCGTCGCTTGACGCAACAGGGATGGTGAAAGCACTGATGACAATGGGCGCAGAGCTGGAGTTAGAGGGGTGCCGATACGGGTCGCCATTGATGGCTGCTTGTGCTTGGGGAAATCTGGACGCGGCAAGATGCTTGGTCCGGGCAGGAGCCCAACTGTGCTATGTCAATGACGAAGGCACGCAGCGCAGTGCAGTCCGCGCAGCTTCTCGACACAAAAAGGTCATACAATGGCTCCTCGTTGGCAGGTACACGGAACAGCTAAAGATCGACTACCAGCCATCACAAGCCACGTCTCACGAGACAGTGTGGAGTGGCCCAAGGCTCTTCAAGCTTGCATTACCAACCTACATGCATCGCGATTTTGATGAGTCTCGGTGGAGTCATCTGCGGAGACTTCAGAAATGGAGCGAAGGATTGCGTGGCTGTGCCTTGGCCGAGAGCCGAAGGAATAGTGGGCTGGACTTTGACGCTGAATTCGGGGCTGCGTCAAGTCAAAGAGTTGCACAAGCCGCTCACGAGCGGTTCCTTGCGAGCTTGGGGGAATCCCGAGAGCAATCAGCTCTGGGAGGGACGTGAATTCCTGGTTGAAATGGTTTCATCCAAGCTATCAATCTTTCTTAGAGGAGTGGTATTGAGTGGTTTCGTTTGTAATCTCCATACATACAAAATGCATGTGGCGCGTTCGTACAGTGGTTCATGCTTAAGCCCCGCAATTTGACCGAAACCCACCGATTTGGCTGAAATCATCTTTCAAATAAGGGCTAATACATTTTTTCTGCGAGCGCTTCTTGTTGACACGTGTGACCGAAGTCTGACCCTTGTCAACAAGCTTCTGAAGTCCCTGATAAGGCCTATTGTAGTCGAAGATCTCTGAGAGGATATTGTTATTCGATATTTCTTCTATGGATAACCTCATCTGGCTCAGAGCAGCTTAGAATGCCAAGGCTTTGTTGGCGGATGAACGGCCGCTCATATATGGGGAAGTAAACTTGAAGCTAGGATCATTGCATCGATGAAAACCGGTCCAAATTGGCTCTAGTGAGCCCCGTTTCTCTACCTGATTAATTCGTCGAGTTCCATTGGTCGATGGTGTGGGTGGTGCTTCTGTCGATTACTGGCTTGTGGGACTACGGTAATGTGCTCGGTTATCGTTGCAGGCGGACGCCGCCGGTCCCGACAGCAACTAATACAATTGATGATTGTGAAGAAGGCGTGGAGACCACTATAAAGGACATATCAGGAATACATTTCTGAGAATCATGGCCTCTAAAACAAGCCAGAAGAAAAGGAGGCACTCGTACGCTGCGAAAGGCACAGTGATAATGGGTGCGACCCCAGTGAAAGGGGGTGGAATTGGGGGTGGCTGGTCCCCTCCAGGTTTTCCCGACCCTTGCTCATAGTTGTATCCTCTGAATGAAGGCAGGAGGAAACCTATTATGAATAAGATGATACCAATAATGTGGCACAAAATGCGAAACCGCGAGTTATCTCGAGCAATACCGAGGAGGGATGACCTGATACAGCACAAGCTTATTGTTTCGAATACGTTTAAAACAATAGTCCAGCATGCCTGAATCAGATTTGTCAGTAAGAGATTTAAAGGTTAATGAATTAATCTAGATAAGCAATCGGCTTCTAGAAAAAGGCCTGAAACTTACTCCCAGGTACAATGGTACATAATCGCTCTCAGTAGTACCTTGATCATACCGCGAATAGTACACAACAGCATGGACGATGAGGATACCCAACACAGCTGAAATAAGATGCAGAAAAGCCAGAGACGACACAGCGATGTACTTGGTCCAATAAGCCATCGCGAGTGTCAACAGTGAGCGCTAACGTTTTGTTCTGAGTGATGAACTCGATTTCTCAGGGCGAGGAGAGGGGGATCGGATATCCAAGGGTCTCGTGATTCAAATGATAGGGCTCTCAGATAAGGTCTCACTACTTAATTAGTCAAGAAATTACAGTAGCATGGCTTTCAAAATCTGGTCCATCCATTGACAAGTGCTTCGTGTCATTTCGGGAAAAGAAATCCTCTACATGGCTCAACCAAGTCAGGTAGACGCATCTAGTTTAAGCAAACCAAGCTTTTTGGGTTCCTCCGCGCTAAGAGCGCCAAATGAAGATGGTCCCCGGCGCAGACAGTAATTTGATTGGTAATAGTTTGCGGGTGTGTTCTGCCCGAATCCTGATGGCACTCTGCCAAGCGTCTGAGGCTGCATTCTACAATACCAACAGCTGGTCTTGATACACATTATTGGACCATGTTCTGCAGGAACAAAATCTCGGTCCGGCCTTTCGGGTGAGTTGAGTTGCCTAACAAACCCCCATCCCGGTGGAAGGGAGATCCGACAGGGATGTGATTGGTAGAGCCAACGTTGATAGGGGTCAGAACCAGAGAGGATGACGATTGTCTTCGTTTATTTGTAGACTAACTTCCCTAGTGCTCCAAACCTGGAAGCAGTTGCAGCAATCTCTCTCAAATGAGGGGGAATGAAACTCGCTTGAACCACCGCCTACCCAGGCATCACAGCTGGTCATTCTCAACTCGTGCTGTCAGACTACCTACCCGAGGGTAGGTAGGTGGCTGATGGGGCAGGAAGGTTCCTTGCCTCTTATGCACTCAAGATCTTGATTAGCACATGCTCTTGATTCTTCCGCTCGATAGCCGCCCCTCCCAGGGGTCGGCCGTTGAGGTGCAGATATGAGAGTAGGAAAGCGGCGATGGCATAATCTGAGACTTAGTCCGCTTTCAGGTACCTAGGTAAGCGACTGTAAGTAGCTGGATATATACCAGACCATGTAGTATCATTGCTCATGAATGCATCAGCTGGGCCAAGAGCATATTCTCAAGGAGGCGGACGACACTATGAGTAGTTTCGTTCTTAATCTGTATACATCCCGAAGGGGTACGGTCCCGCAGCATCGGCTGAGTGAGGACATAATGGGAAATTGATCATGTGCAGGGGCGTCAGCCATCTCTTAGAGCGTTGTCACCGCCATGTCGCACGACAAAGAGAGAGAATCTCTGTTGTGAGGTCCAACCATGATTCTAATTTTGGGTCAAATTATTTCTGTATTGTGATAGCTGCGTGTGTAGCGATTACCACATTTCAGGTTGAGAACGGGGTCCAGTCAGTCCTTAAAGACCATGCCCTTCTCAGTGGCCATGAAGGCGCCGATGGTATGCTCCCAGGCTTTCTCCCTGAACCCAGATGATCTCAATTTCTCATATATAGGTCCGATCTCATTGACCTCACCAGTGTACTTCAATGAGTACGCTCCCCCTCCCACCTCACCATTCGTCGACTCTGCAACACCCGTCTGCAGAGTCTCAGTCTCCTGCTTCCCCCCAAACCGCGCCGATGTAAACCCCAGAACACGTTCCCCAATCTCATCAGGCTTGACAGAAAACAGTTTCGCTGCAGGAGCTGCGAGCTTCCACCCGATTTTGATGAGTGGGGGCAAGGGGTTGTTGTCAAAGCCGGGAGTGATGACCAGGCTGGGATAGACGTGCACAAGGCCGACCTTGGGATGCTGCTCGGCGATGGTCTCGAAAGCCATTGTCTTCAAATGAGTAGTGTGGTTACGAACGGCGCCGAAGCTGTAGTTTTCTGCATTTCTTAAAGACAAATCTTCCAGGTAGCGGTCCTTCGTGGCTGTCTCCAGGCCGGCCGAATATACAGAGACGACACGAGCGGATGGCAGAGGGGACGCCTCCAGCAATGGTAAGAGTTGTGTGATGAAGCGAATCCGCGAGTAATATAGGAGGGAGAAGGATTTATCAAGTCCTTCACTGGTTTCTGAGGCAAGATTTGATGAGTATGAATCCTGTATCAGAACTCTAAAGTGGTGAATGTTGTACGTACCCCTTCGCTTGCCACCAAAATACAAGTCTGCGTGTGACATGACCAGAACATCAACGTGTGGAAACTCGTCTTTACTCTCTTGTGCCTCAAGTTGTTTTATTTCCTCGCAGCACCTGTCGACGTCCTTGAGCAAGGACAAGTCGTCCGCTTTCACAAAGCATATCTGGACGTTCTTGTGTGCAGCATAGTCGGCAGCTATGGCATCTGCAGCCTTCTGATTCCTGCCCACGAGATAGATGCGGGCACCCTGACCCTTTGCAGCATGGCGAGCAAGGGCACGAACGGTAAACTCGCCTATCCCAGATGTGCCACCTGGGAACACAGCAACGAGAGAGCGCTTAGAGACGAGGGAAGCGTTGGCTGTGCGCACCGACTCCAGCGTGGGCTTGGTCGAGGACATGGTGGTGAGGCGGCTGATGAAATCTCGCTTTGAAGCCCTTCGCCGCACATAGAATACAAACCTCATCTGAGCTGTGGGAAAACCGCCTCAGTCGACCTCATGATTTATAGGATGCACGAAGGGGTGTGCTGCCTGGTCGTAGGCGGAGTAAATTATGCGCCGAAGCATTCCTCTAGGTCTTATCCAGTTAGGCCCCCATCGCATTCGGTCCCGGCTCAGCGCAACACTGGCCTGGCATGGTAGACCAACAAGACCACACAAACAATTCTACCGGTTGCTCCCGCTCCTGGTGATTGATGTCTCAAACCCTGCAACGGTGCATAGCAAATAAGCTTCCGCCCCCACGCGGGCAAACAGACCTCCAGGTGAAGTCGTCCCCGGTCAGGAGGGATGACACGTTCATCCATCAGCATCCATCAAACCAGATTCCGCGCTTCCTTCACTGTTATTCTTCTGTTCTTTTTTAAGCTACGCGTTCAGGATAGCTCCCTCTCCTGGTGTCCTTGGTGGTCACCACGCCTGTTTTGATGGCTTCGCAGAGGTCCACTTCATCCCGAGTACAGTAATAGACAAAATGCACTTCACAACGAGTGGCCGCTGGAACGCCTGTTCCTTTGTGCAATGACTGAAAGGGGCGTCTTATAAACGAACGACACCAAAGCACAAGAAAATATCCAGTACTTGCCTATGTAGGTATCAGCTCTCAGTAAGGAGACTGACATGCACACTCACCAGTTGACTCGAACGTGGATAGAAGGTGACGTATAATCTCCCCGAATCCTACCATATATCTTATTAGCGAATGATAACTTAGCCTTACTAGGCGTCTGTATGTTGGAACGTAGAATCACTTGAAGTGACTGATATCATGATGCCTACTAGTAAAGACCAGCACTGTTTGATGGTGTCGAACGACTCACAGGCGCCAGGGTACGGTGTCGAGCACGCGGCGTTGTTGCTTGGTTAACACGGACAAATGCTGTTCACTGCACGACCAACCGATTAAGGGCAACCGAATCGCACCGCCTGAGAGCCAACTGCGTAAGAGTAGGTGTACCGAGGAGGCTGACACCCCTCTGCGAAGGCGTGTCCATCATTCGGGTTGCGCCTCGGGGACGCGCCTGTAGTCCAAGAGCCTGAGAACTCTGTCGTAGAATCCGATCCGACCATCGCCGTACAGCCAAAATGCATGAGACAGGGCCTGCACCTCCTCATCAGCCAATACATCAGATAGCTTTTTATCCGACCGTCGTCTTTCCTCAGCCTCCCGAACAGTCTTTACGAACTCTGCACGAGCAAGACGCATGGCGATATCGGACTCGGTGTCTCGGTAGAGTGGGCCGTCCATGACGGGCGGGACGATGGAAAGCTCCTTGTTGAATTCGACCAGCTCCCATGGCCCGACGAATGCGTTCTCCCAGTCGATCACCGACAATACATTGTAGTTCTCGTCAATGATAATATTACTGCTGTACAAGTCGGTGTGGATGAGCGGGAAAGGGCCGTCCTGGAAGGGGAACCACCGAGCTAGATCTCGAATCCCCGACGGGAACGAACGGATTGCTGCGAGGACCTCGTCGACCAAGTCTGCTGGGGTTCGGGGCCGTATAGTTTCCTCCTTGTAAGGGAACTTGGCTACCTTTGCCCACGCCTCGAAGTATTGCGCAGCAGTGTCGAACGGCCCACCAATGCCAGGGATGGGCCCGACTTCGAACTGTCCGCCACTGCCAACGATTGATCCGATTTTGGGGAAGCGCACCGCCGCCATCTCGACCTGGATGTGGGCCAGAGCCGCATAGAACTTATCCTTGAACTGCGTAGGGGTCTCTCCCTTGTGAACGTCCCAACCGCCAAACGAATCCATAGCCGTATCACCGGGAATGAACTCCATCAGCATGAAGGCAGCGCCGACGCCGCTGGCATCGCTGATGTCGTAGGCAAAGACGCGCGGGACGGAAATTTTGGATTGATACCTGACGGCTGCCATGGCATCAACTTCGTTCTGCAGGCGCTGGCAGGACTCTGGCGTCGGCGGCTCGAGCTGGAGCCTGGCCAGCCATTCGTAGCCGTCATCAAAGATGAGACGCCTCACAACGTGCAGCCCGCCCATGTTGTAGTCAAAAGAGAGCCGGCATGCAAAATCAGCCCCTTCTAGTGCACGTCGAGCCTTGCTTGCATACTGTTCAAGGGTCTCCCAGTTGATGAACGTAAGGGACTCAAGCTCGGCGGTGTCGGTTTTCCAATTTAGCTGCCGAGTAGGATTAGGAGCCGCCATGCTAGAATTGCAGACGTGCGACAACAAAGGCTTGATAGGGGAGCTCTCTTGGCGTGGTTCCTGCTGCGAATGGCAGAAATCGGCCGTCGTCGCGTGCCAACACCAACGTCGGCTCACCTTATTTATCTCTGACTGGATGCTTGAGGCCATACCTTACGTAAGCGCGACAGGCAGCAGGCCGAGGCGGCCAGCGGCGCTCAGCTTCCTGGCCCTTATAAGTCCAAAGAGGTAATATTTATAAGTAGTATATAAATAGTTCAACACTCATTTTAAATAGCATTATGATATACTATCGTCATACTACCTTATAGATATCTCTTTATATTATATTTCCATGATTAAATAATATGAGAACAGTGGAATCCATATGTTGTGGAGGACGCGCCCCTAACCCTGGTTTCAGACCGTGTCCAAAGCGACTACAAAAGGTGTCATGAGGTTAGAAGGACCATTACTGAGACACTTAGACCTTAGACGACTCAAAATACACCCTGTGGACCAAATCGTTATTCCTCCACATATAAACAAGTCTTACAGCTTCAACCTCTAGAGCGCAGCTGTTCTAGTCATCATCGCATGCGCGAGCCACCTAGGATTTCAACTATTATTCCACACACTACATTCAGATACACCCAAATAATGGAAGCACACACTCATGATGCTTCGTTTGTTTCCTCTCTTTCCTAGCCTCCATTTCCTAACTCTCTTTTCCTATCTCCCTTTCCCACCGCCATTTCCCCACCTCTTTTTCTTAACCCCTCTTCGACCTACTCCGTTTTCTTTTTACTTTTCCTTGTGCTTTGATGCTTCTTTGGATGCAAATAGTAAGACACGCAGCGGGCCGACAAGGGCATACTCCTTCTAGCGTGATACCCCAACAGTGTAGTCTCCATGTCATAGAGTAATCGCAGGGTCTATTTGGTCCTGGCCTTGCCCTGGCTTAGTCGCCTGCATTTAACCGGCACCGGTTCACGGCTAGCGAACACCCCGCACCAATAGTGGTTATGCTGAACCCTTGCCATTTCCCCGGACAGGTCGTGTAAGCTTTAGAAATCCCAGCTGGCACACGCCTCTGTGGATCATAGTACCGTACCCTGGGGAAGATCTGTTCCAGCCTGAACACAGTAGGCCACTGGCCAGCCTGCCGTTTGCCCGGCAGGGTCGAAGAAGTTCGGTCCAGACGCGTGTCATCGACATTATAAGATGCCGTGCTCCCGGGCGCCGCGAGATGGAGCAGGTTGGCTGTAGCAACGCACCCGCTGCATGTGCTGTCCCCGTTCACGACTGCGGCATGGCTCCCCTCTCCCAGGTCGGGCTCACGGCCCTGTCCGCGTTGGCCATGGGCCTCTCATCATATGCCGACGCGCAAGTGACAAACTCGTCATTTTCCAACGACGCCACATCGCTCACCTTCATCTACCAGAACAACCTGAACGCGTCGGACGACGCGAACCACGTAGGAGCCATCCTGCTAGACCCCCTGACGCAGAGCGCGGGAAGCGCCCAATGTGCAGCCCTCGGAGAGTCCCTGCTGCCCTTCTCGGCCGTCGAGGCGCACAGCGAGGACTTTGAATATTCCTTGTCCTACCTCGCCTTCGCCGGCCTGGTACAGCACGGGCAGCAGTATTACGTCCAGGACGCCGTGCTGTCCGTCAACACCTCGCCCGAGGGCACGCTGGGCTTCTCGACGTCCGGGTCGGAGAACGGGACCGGGCGGCTGCCGGTCCTCTGCACGCAGTCCAGCTCCCAGAACGGCGCCGGCAACGCCCAGGCGTCCGCCTCGAACAGGCTGACCATCTCCTCGGCGGGCAATACCTACGTGGGCTTCCGGAACCAGAAGTCGTTCCGCTTTGTCGGGATACCGTACGCCGACCCGGTCGAGCGGTTCGAGTACTCGACGGTGTACAGCGCCACGGGGCGCACGATCAATGCCACCTCGTATGGGGCCGACTGCGCCCAGGCATATGACTCGGCTTCTGCTGAGGACTGTCTCTTTCTGAATATCCAGACGCCTTATATTCCCAAGGCTGGATCCTGCGAGAATCTCAGGCCGGTTATGTTCAGCATCCATGGTGGTGGCTTCACGGGGGGTAACGGGGGTGCGAATTCCGGGCTGGATGGTGGGAACATGGCCTCCAGGGAAAACATTGTTTCAGTCGAGCTCAACTACCGCCTCTCTACCCTGGGATTCCTCGCCATACCGGGTACGGACATCAAGGGCAACTTCGGGATCGGCGATCAGATCACGGCGCTGAAGGTAAGCAAGCCCTGTCACCGCCCGACACAGAAAAGAAAAAGCATATGCTAAGCGCAGTGAGTTATAGTGGGTCAAGAAAAATATCAAGTCGTTTGGTGGCGATCCCAACAAGATCACAATCATCGGAGAGTCAGCTGGTGCCGGGTCTGTCAGAACACTGCTCGGTTCGCCGCCTGTCATCGAGAACAACCTCATCTCCGGGGCTGTCTCGCAGTCGAACTTGGGCGGCGGTGTAGCGCTCGGCCTGAACGGCGACTACGCCACGACCTACAGCTCGTACCTGACCATCGAGCAGTCCTTTGCCCGGGCCGGGCAGCAGATCTTCAGCGGCGCCGGCTGCAACCAGACGAGCCTGGACGAGCAGATCGCATGCCTCAAGGCCGCCCCTGCGTCTACGCTGGTCAACCTGGCAACAGTCGCGCGGTACGTCGTCCAGGACGGCACGATCGTCAACACTGAGCAGCTCATCGTGACGGCCAAGAACGGCAGCCAGGCCTACGTCCCAGTGATCTTCGGCACAACAAACAACGACGGCGCCTCGTTCTGCGGGTTCCCACCCGCCAACATCACAACCGAGGCGCAGGGGATCGCCGCCTCGCTGAGCATCTCCCTCCCGCAGGCGCAGCGCGTCGTCGACAGCGGGCTGTTCCCCTTCTTCGACACGGGCAACCTCACCCTGGACGCCTTCAACGTCTCGCAGCGCGTGTCGACGGACCTGCAGTTCCGCTGCGTGGACGAGGCGACCGTCTACGCCGCCGCCGCGACGGGCGCGTTCCCGGCGGCGTACTACTACAACATCGACCGCACGTACGCGGGTTACGACCCGCTGGGCCTGGGCCCGCTGCTCAACGGCGGCGCCGGCAGCGACCCCGAGGGCAACTACTTCCGCCTGCACGGCAGCGACCTCGGCTTCACGTACGGCAACCAGAACCCGCTGCGCGACGCCCGCGACCTGAAGGCTAGCCAGCTCATCAGCGGGTACTACGCCGCCTTTGCGCGGACGGGGTCGCCGAACCCGGGCGAGGATTACCTTGCGGCGCGGGGCTACGATGACACGCTCGCTGCGGTCCGGGGGACTGGCCCCTGGGATCCCGTCAGCGGCGACGAGGGGCCGGCTAAGCAGCTGGACTATCCGGCCGAGACGATCTCGTTTCTTGATGTACCGCAGTGTGCGTTTTTGAATTATAGTCTGAGCTATTACCTTGATGGCGGCGCTTGAGCCCCGTCGAGTCTTAATAGTGGCCCAATCTCAGGGAGCCATGTACGTATATATGAGATGTAGTTGTTGAACTATTGTGGGCATACAAGAATGTAAACATGTACTCATACGTGAATGGTGATTGAGAGGAATCTATGGTGTACTATCATGCCAGGTTCGACTTAGTTACACTCGTTTAATTGGCCTCGCCGATACCGAAGGACCGCCGTGTTGGTTCTATAGCGGTGCCCACAGCCGCGCTGATTTACACCTGCAATGGGGTGAATGAGTAAGAGCGACCGGCCCCTTTTCAGCGAGCACCATCGCATAAGCTGGAGCCACGACCGGGCTGCCGACGACGTGTCCTGTTGCTGACAGGACATAATACATATGTACCTGCGATGCGTTCTCATGGCCTCGAAGACTAATGCCCAGCGCAACAAAATATCAAGATAGCTGCACATGCTAAGTGACCCATGTACTTTAATGCTATGCCTGTTGCTATGGTCTTGCGGCATCAGCGGAAGCACAGCCTCTAGTAGGGTTTGTCCGGCAGCTATAAAATATCATTCCAATGTATCTACGTATACAACGCCCACGATCTCATATCCCAAACAGTAGTAACAAGGCTACCTTGGCACAGTTTAAGACCTAGAGGGGGATCTCTTCCTTACGTCTGCGGAACATGACCTGGGCATTGGGGTCCGAGTTTAGGAAGTAGCCGGCCTCGTCGATCTTGGGCTTGCACCCGGGCGCCAGTTTCCAGTCATACTTGAGGAGCAAGTTGCAGAGGACGATCTTGAGCTCGTGCGCCACGAAGAAGCGGCCTGGGCACCCGTGCTCGCCGTGGCCAAATCCGAGGTGCCTGCTGCTCGTGCTGGCGAATTGCCACGAGTTCTCACCTTCGTTGGGGTCCTCGCGCATCTTTAAGAATCGATCCGGCTGGAAGGTACCAGCGTTCTCCCACGTGTTCTCGTCGCGCATGCAGTGTGATGCCACACCGATGGCCTCGCCCTTCTTCAAGACCGTGCCGTCTGGCAATTTGGTGTCGCGCAAGGCCTCACGATTCATGGTGACTGGGATTCGTGTCAGAAATAATGTGTGCGTGAGATGAAACTTGATCAGAGTAATGGTGGAAGAGCCCGTGGCTGAGGAAAGGGGCATTGGCTTACCAAGCAGGACCGGTTTCAAACGCTGAGCTTCTTTGAGGACGCTATCCATCAGCCGAAGCTTGTAGAATGTCCGCTTGCTCCAATCTTCGGTCCCAAGGACAGAAATGACTTCCTCTCTCAGAGGTTGGATTATGTCTGGTTGCTGTAAGATTTCCAACATGGTGTGTGTGAGCGCGTCAGCCGAGCTGTGCACAGCGGCGAAGGCAAGGCCGAGCTGTAGGTACAGAGCATTATATGGCTGGCCATCCGCGACTTGCTCAAACCATTCTATGGCGTCCGCATTTAGTTTAGGCTCCTTGCCCTCACGACGACACGCTTCCTTCTCGCGGCGGCGCTTTTCCAGAAAAGGCTCCATGATGGTCATAGCATGCTTTAGCTGAGCCCTTATCGTGCGGGTGATGGGCATGAAGTTGGCGACGATGGGGCGTAAGCTCCTAGGGAACAGGTGCAGCATGGTTGCAGCCTTTGGGCCATTGACTGTGTACTCTTTCGTGACTTTGAGCCATTCATCATTGCGGCAGAGTTCCTCGCCGAGGAAGACACGGCTCGAGAGCCTCGCAATGAGGTCCAATAGCAAGTCCTTCAAGACAATTGTGTGCCATTTTCCATCCTCCGAGAGGCGATCCGCGCAGAACTTAGACATTTCATCCGCCATTGGCTCGGTCAATTGACCTGTCAGTTTGTTGTTAGCATACCATACCGCTGACAGGATTTGAAATCTCACAACGGAAGCCAATTAGATGAATACGTACTGATTGCGGGTGTTAACTTGCTTTTGACCATGTCCACTAGCAGGTCATGCGAGACATTTTCGGCCAGTGGCTCGAAGCCATGGATACCAGCATGGAATGTCTTCATGACAACGAATTCCAAGTCAGATAACTGGACTAGACCAACACGACGGTAGGGGGCAAACAGATACTGACCTTTGCGATGAACGGGTTGAACCCAAGATCGGGATTGTTCCGGATGTCGTGCGCCATCGACGAAGGTAGGATGATCATTTCGTCCTTTTCAGTCATGACTCGGAATGGTTTTGCCCTGCCAGCCTGCACACCAGCGAATGAGCGCTTGTCTCACCTCATCAGACGAGCCACGGAGTGAGGGAGCACAATACCTTCTGGATGCCTTCTGAAAGTATTCTGGGGGCATTCAAAATGTAGTTTTTACGCGACCCAAATTTAAACAAGTCGTGTGTAGATTTGCGATTTACCAAAGGAAGCTTGGCTGAGGGATAATTCTCAGGCCACCAGTAGGCAGCGACCGAGATCGCGGCAACGACGGCTGCATAAACCACATAGTCCGCCGATATGAGCATATGAATACTCTGCATAGCCGGAGAATTATTCCATGGCAAGTCGGTAGCATTCGCAATCAGGTGCTCCATGGTGGACTAGACAGACAAGCAGACTTATCGAGTGGTTATGATATCAGATGACTTAAAATTGGAAAACTTGGGCGTGAATTCAAAAGGCCTAGGCTTGTACCGAAGTTTCAAGAGACAGTCGTGACCGGTTGAAGTATTAATACTGTCTTTTTTCTGGGTAGCAGCAGTCAAAGGCGTGCAAGTGAAATAAAAGGGACCGACATCAATTCGCGACGGGGACAAAAGGAGCCTCCGTCCGGCCTGCACGTTTATACATGCACGACTGCCGGCATTTGTCGTCAGTCTTGTCCAGATAGCCTCATGAGCTGGCGTCGTCTTTCAGAAAACAGCCGAGACGCTTGAAACTCAAACCGGTCATACCGTAAAGAGTAGTCCGGACTGCGGTCCTGACCAGATGCGGTGTCCGGTTTGATTGGTCCAATGCTACAATTCCCCAACGGGACAAAACTCTCTTGGCATAGCTGCGTCAATGATGTGGGCCTTGTTTTCCTTTTTTTCTTCTTCTTCCATGCCGCTAGAAAAATAACTCAGTGGACATCTGGGCTGATCTCAATGCATTGTCGCGATATTAAACTCCTAAATCTGGAGCTCGTCCGTGACTCACCGGAAAACACACCTATTCACATTGGCCTTGCTTGCAGTCATCTCACAACAAACCCAAGTTAGCCGGACCCTTCGAATAGAATCGCAATGGCGCCTCTAACACCAGCCCCTGCGAGCCTGAAGATAGTACTGATCCCTGCCGCTGTGGCATTATCAGTAACTTTCGTTTTCCTAGTAAGCACGAGAAGTTCTATTGTAGTAGGGAAGTTCTGTCTTCAATGGATGGCTCGCGATGCAGCAACTAAAGTTCACCTAAACTGTAAACAGACAGGCGTCGCCATCTACAACGTGTTCTTCCACCCACTATGCAGATTCCCCGGATCAAAGTGGTGGGCAATGAGCCGCATACCGTACCTGCTCATGGTGTGGAGCGGCGACGAACACAAGCATGTTTTGAGAATGCACCAAAAGTACGGGGAAGTGGTCCGCTTGGCTCCGGACGAGCTTTCTTTCCTGACACCGCGCGCCTGGGACGACGTTATGGGCCACCGTAAGGTGGGCCAGGCAGAAAATGGCAAGGAAGAGTGCTACTCCGGAAGCATGGGCAATAGCATTGTCGCCAGCAAGCGCAACGAGCATACACGCCTGCGAAGAGTCTTGTCTCACGGTTTCTCAGCCCAGTCCATGCTCAAACAAGAGCCGATCATCCGCAAATACGTGGACCTGTTCATCAAGCAGTTATACGAGATCGGCGCGGACAACAAACAGGTAAACTTGATGCGGTGGTATAACTTCTGTACTTTCGACATCGTGGGAGACTTGGCCTTTGGCGAGCCGTTTGAATGCCTCACCAAGCGCGACTTTCATCCCTGGGTAGCCATAATCTTCGACAGCATCAAGTTCATGGCGATATCGATTGCCATGAAGCACTTTCCACTTGTCTATGAGATTCTTGAAAGGTGCATCCCCAAGGATATACGAGAGAAAGACGAAGAACGGCGGCGGTTCTCTCATCAGAAGGTCCTGAGACGCATCGAGTCGGGGACATCACGACCTGATTTCACCGAGTCCATGATATCGCGAAAGGACGAGCAGGTATTGTTTTTCTTTAATTGCATCTCACTCTCGAGTAACAAGGCACAGTTTTATCCTCTTTATCCTTGCCGTTTGGTTTCTCTGTTCGTTCCCGCAAAAGTCGCCATGTAATAAACACGTCAACATTTTCACTCATTAATGCCCGCACAGAAAATGACGCCAGTTGAAATACAAGAGAACGCGGAGATCCTCATAATAGCAGGTTCCGAAACCACGGCGACAACACTGTGCGGCGCGACTTATCTCCTGACAACAAATCCCAGGTGCCTAGAAAAGATCAAAGAGGAAATTCGCTCTTCATTCCAGAACGAAGATGAGATCAACATCACCAATACGGCCAAGTTGCGATATACCCAGGCTGTGCTGGACGAGACCATGCGTCGCTACCCTCCTGTAGCAGCAGCAACGCCGAGGCAAACACCGCCAGAAGGGAACATAATTCTCGGCGAACACATTCCAGGAAATGTGTGTCTCCTTTTCCAGAAATCGGTTTCAGTCCAGTGCTACTAAAATACTAACCATGAATTCTTTGCCCCTAGACTGTTCTTGGAGTGTGGCATTGGCCCATGTACCACAGCGAGACCAACTTCAAACGCCCTTTTGACTTCTGCCCAGAGCGGTGGCTTGGAGACCCAGAATTTGCCAACGATCGAACAGACGCCTTTGAGCCATTCTCCTTCGGGCCCAGAAATTGTTTGGGGCGAAAGTAAGTCATCTGAATCCAGATCTGACGCATGAAGCAGTGTGGGCGCGGTTTTCAGGTAGCAAGCAGGCTGATCAATCGTTTGGTACACCAGTCTTGCATACGCAGAAATGCGCACAATTCTAGCTAGAGTGATCTGGAACTTTGATATCAAGCTCGGAGATGGTTGCGATGATTGGATGAATAAGCAGAAGGTCTGGAATCTGTGGGATAAGTCGGACTTGAACGTCTATCTGACTCCTAGGATTAAGGCTTGATCCTAGATTCCAAGGTTTTCCGTGCATAGCCTAAGGAATCAGGATGCCTCGTCTTGCGGATACGCATGGATGTTTTTTTCGCTGGGTTCGCGTGCCCTAGGTTAGACAGCTAGGCGAACTTAAATGTCTTCCAGCAAACTTTCAGCAAACTTTCGATTGAAGACAATATTGTGACCAGTACGCGGGTCTGCGCGGTATTTCGTGTCTGAGATCCTTTCTAGCCCCTTCGAAACTTGTGAAGACGAACTTTATCAGTCCGAGAATTCGGAGTTCTGTCCCGTTCTCGGAAGCGATGGTTACTTTTCTTGCACTTCCGAGGCCAAGACCAATTTGCATTATCATGGCACATTTTCACTGATATTCTTCTTGTACATTTCTAAATCATCTGTGTATCCTTCAAATAAAACATACAATTGGACTTCGAACAATATGGGAATCAGCTGTAGCAAAAGCGTGCCTTTCGACCCCCTACGCGATATTCCTCCACTTTGTGGGAAGGTTATCCTTATCACCGGCGGTAATGCAGGGCTGGGAAAACAGTCTGTACTCGAGCTTGCAAAGCATGGGCCCTCCGAGATTTGGCTCACTACGCGGGACCGGCAAAAGGGCGAGGCCGCACGCCGTGACGTGCAGAGTCAAGTCCATGGGGCCGTGATCCGGGTATTGCTGCTCGACCTCTCATCTCTGGATTCAGTCAGGGCGGCTGCACAGACATTCCTATCATCCGCAAGCCGCCTCGATATTCTGATGCTCAACGCAGCCATTGGAGGGAGTCCACCAGGGCTTACAAACGATGGCTATGAGATCTACTTTGGAACAAACCATCTTGGGCATGCATTATTGACCCAGCTGCTCATGCCATTGTTACTCCAAACTTCAGAGCATCAGCAGACCTACGACGAAGCCGGAGATGGTGCTCCTGCTAAACAGTCCCCAGACGTCCGTGTGGTTGTTCTCACATCCGTGATGATGAGCTGGGCCCCGCCGGGCGGCATTCTGTTTGACAAGCTGAACACTCCGCTCGGCGATATCGGGACGTCCTTCACCTTGTACGGGCAAAGCAAACTTGCCAACACCCTTTTCGCACGATACCTCGCCAAGGACTATCCGCAGCTGACAGTAGCGGCCGTGCACCCCGGAGTCGTTGACACCGGCATCGCGGGCAAGACCGCGCAACATAACATATGGGCTCGGTTCGTGCTACCAGCTGCGAGCCCCTTCATGTCAACCGTAGAGGAGGGAGTGAAGAATCAGCTGTGGGCTTGCACGTCCAAGAATGTCATCAGTGGTAGATTTTACACCCCAGTGGGGGTTCCGGGCAGTAGTGCGAGAGTGGCATTCGATGATGCATTGGCAGAAAGGCTGCGCCAGTGGACCGAAGCCGAATTGGAAATGCATCCTTCAAAGAGTTCTATCCCCTAGCATAATAGAAGTATTCAACTTTCTTTGTGTGCATACATGGTATCAGACAGTAGGGCTGAAAGCTAGGGTACCAAAGTATTCAATTGCCCTATTGAACAAAGGTTTTGTGATATGTATCCGTATATACTTCCCCAAAGCTTTTTATCTATATTCACAACCATTCTATCAGTACCCTGGTGGTATATCATAAATTCGCCGGTTATACGTAGTCTAACAAACGCTACACCCACAGAGAGAAGTCTCTACTACATACCGTTTTGTAAATCAAAGGCATAGACGAGTGACGGCCCATAGTTGAATCTCTATAGCTAATTAATCCCCATTCGCAGAAAACAACCCGTGGGTAGATCATCACTCCTTCGACAAGCCCCATTCAGTCGCTTTGGGCCTCAGTGATATAGCTCCTAAAGTCTCGTACGCTGATACCCTTGGAGAATAGCTCATCGAGCTCCTGGATGCTCCGTCCTTTCGTCTCGACCTGGTAGTACCACAAGTATATCAGAGACAACAGATTCAACCCTCCAAAGACAAACACAGCCTTAGAACCCATGTTGGCTTGATCCGGGTTAACCATGATGGGTACCACAAACGCCCACACAAGGTTGATCTACCATCGATGTTAGTGATCTGAACGATGTGCGGAGCATAAGCCACGGGATGATTTCGTAGATATGTGAAGGAAAACTCACCAGGTGCTGCAAGGATATTCCCAGAGCAATAGTCTTGCTTCTTAGACGGTAGCTCGCAACCTCGCAGAGGAGGATCAGCCCCGTAGCGCCGATTCCAATGTTGAAGAGAAAGGCATAAACAATGAAAGTCGCAACCGTGCCCTTGGTAGCAGCGGGACTTCCATTTATTCCGAGTCCTCCACAGAGCATCATTACGACCGTCAGAGCGAACGTGCCATAGATTGCTTGCGTCCGCCGCCCAAGCCTCTCAACCAGGTACCAAGAACAGAAGGTTCCGAGTATGTAAGCAGCATACTGGATAAACTGCAGGCGAAAGCTTTCGTGTACGCTGTATCCAACAAGCTGGTTGTAGTAAGGGAAATAAAAGGCAAAGAAAAACTGTCCTCCTAGCGACTGGATTGCGACAGGCATCACAGAAATTATAGTACGGCGAAGGTCGGATTTGCGAAAGCACTCCAGGTAAGATGTACCCTCTCCATGATCCAGGGTCTCCTTGTCCAAGGCAGCTTGAATCCGCAGAATCTCCGTGTCAACCTCCGAGGTTTCTGTATACCCCAAACGGCACAGGGATCGCCGCGCCTTGGAGACGTTCCCGATTCGCATTTGCCAAACTGGTGACTCGGGGACAAACCACACCAACATAGCTGCAAGCCCAGCAACTCCAAACTGCGATGTGAAAACAGCTTTGTATGCCCAGTGACTATCCAGATCCTGGGTCTGGTCTATGATCGCTGTTGCCGTAAAAGGTCCGACATGAATCAATAGAACGTTGAAACATGGGATGAACCCGCGCAGAGGCAAAGATATGATCTATTGCAGTTTTAGCACCAGCACCTACAAGTAGGGACCTAGGTAGTGGTAGCACTGTTATCCACATCTCCTCAATTCTATTACATCAGTGTCCACCATAGCCTCCCACACCAGAAGCGGCAACGTTGTGAAAGATCTGGGACTTACTTCGCTATAATAAGTCATCGCAGTCGCTGAGGACACACCGAGTGTGATGCCATTAAGAACTCTTCCACATAAGAACTGAACCTTATTCTCTGCGGCGACTTCGAAGGAGTAAGCTGTCAATGAGACAATCAGTGAGCTTATCAACATCGCCCTGCGACCAAATTTGTCCGCCAACGAGCCCTGACATAACGTAGCGATAACGCTGCTGACCCTGGGAGCGGCGTCGAAGGCAGCTTGCCATCGAGCGTCCAATACGTAGTCACCTGCAAACGGGTATCCAAAGTCTTTTCGAAACCGCGGGATACTTGTCGACAAGCCCGTGGCTACGCTCTCAAACGCCACCACCATCGAACAGTAACAAGCGTAGAGACACCAAGCAAAGACCCTGGGCCTCTCTCGTATGGCTGCGAAGAAGGAATGCAAGTCAAACCGCCGTTTTCGAACCGCCGCATGTTCGGTATCTTCTTGGACCGCCACGCCATCGTTGATATCGCAATGGCGGCCTGCTTTTTCGTCAGTAGCCGCCATTTCCGCTGTGTTACATATTCTTTTCCCAACCAATCAGATGAGGCGTCATAGGCTTTGGATATTCTGTGGCAGCCCTACAACTTAAGTTACAAATGCTAGTGGTCCGAGATGACTACATATGGCGGCGGGGATGTGCTTCACCCGCGGTTTACGAGATACCTTCCAATTTTCTTCACGTCTGTGCTGTGAACTGTGATCACTTGCCCTGCCAGACCAATCGGGGCATCCGAGTCTGTCGGCGCTTTAAGACCGTTTTGGTGAACAAGGTTAAACTGTATAAGCGAGGGGTTGGAGGATATGTCGAGCTCAATAATAGTTGGGACGATTTAAGCTTTCGCGTTTCCTCAAACGGGATGGAGAATCTTGCACCCCTATGTAAGACTAAGGACGTACATTATCCGAAGGGGCATTTAGCACACCCCACCTAATTACAACCTAACACACCAAGCCTTCAAGGTGCCTAGAAGTACTTAAAGCATTCTTATTAGGAGGTCTAGGGGGCACCGCCTAAGACCTTAGAGTTAGTATTAAGATTAGTTGTTAGAGTTAAAGCTAGTAGTTAAGGTTAAAGTTAGTAGTTAAAGTTTAAAATATAATAAAAAAGAAAAAAGTATTAATAAGTTTTTTTAAAAATATTTAAATTAAAAATAAAAATAGTTTTTTTAAATAATATAAGTTTTTTATATTATTCTATAATTCTTTAAATAATTAAAACTTATTTAAAAAGTTAATATTAAAATTTTATATATTTTATATTTTATAAAAAAAGTTTAATATTTTAAATATAAACTTCTTTCAATTCCCTTTTATTACTTCTTATTATACTTCTTAATATTATTTCTAATTTATATATTTTTAAATATTAATAAATTCTTTATTTATAAATTAAGTCGTTAAATATAAATTAAATATTAAATTACTTAGAATTTAAATTATTAGGATTATAAAAAGTATATTAAAAAGTTAAAAAAGGATTATATTTACTTTTATCTTTATATATTTTAAAGTTTTTATATTGAAAATATTATGAAATAAATATAAATTAATAAGATATTAAAAGAAGTATTAAAAGAGTAATAGAAAGATATTAAAAGAGTAATTAAAAGAGTATTTAAAAAAGTATTAAAAAGAGCTTAAAAGGGGTATATACCTTAAATATTTAACTTTTAAAGAATCTTAATTAGTTATATAGTTTTACATCAGCTCTACATATACAACCTTATACTAGGTAAGTAGTTAGAAAAAACTAGGTAAGTGGAGATGATTGCTGGGTGAGTGGACGTTGGCTCGTGATATTTTGCTCTCGGTAGCTGCAACAGGTGTCCGTTGCTTGCAGTGCTTTCGGAGGGTTGAAATGTAGTCAGTGCTCCGAGTGTGCTCGATGCAGCTCATTGCCCAGACGGGCAGCTCCAAGCGCCCTGCCTGCCCAATGCTCAAGAAATCTTGTTTCTAATTACTCTGCCTGCCTCCAATCGTGATAAACACTCTGTAGTCCTTGCTGCAGCCACCTTTTCATGGCGTCTTGCCTGAAATCCTGCAAGTTGTTACCAAATCTCTTTGGTGTGCTTCCGCATTGATACCGTCGTCTTAATTAGCACTTCCCAGATCAGGAGTCGGGCAATGATTCCGAGACCGGTGTGACTTTTTGTCGGCAATGATTTGTGGAATGAAGGGACTGGGCTTTTCTACTCCGGGCAGGCCACTGCAAAGGCTGAATAAATGGGTCGCTGCTACCTCGTGTGCTTTATCAACCCCTTGTCGTCAATGCATTACTATCTCTTGGGAGAGGGTTTCCTCCCGAAGAGGAAGACATTTATTTATGAATATCCACATGTTCCTAGAAACACCAAGAACTATTGTCTTATCGGAGCATGCGTTGCTGGGGATAGTTACGGATGGACGACCCGCCAGCGCTCAACTTCAGCATCACATTGAATTGAATCTTGGCGTTTCATGGACTAGGTTTATAAAAGGCCAAATGCAACCGCCAGCGCTTCCATGCATCAAACCCATGCCCGTGTGCTTCGGATGTGCTGGTGTTGGGGATTCAAAGTGGGTATCTGCAGGGCGACAGACTTCACAAACCGCGTGTGAAGTTTCTCATGACACGCTACTATGCATATCCCCCCCCACGTTGATAGAGACGAGAATGACTCAGTAGACGTAGACCCAGTGATCAACATGATGACATCTCTTATGAACGCAAATACGAGTCAGCTTTCCTAAAATGGTTGAAGGGGGGGCGGCTGAATTAGGCTCAACCCCGGGGATTGGGATATCAATCAAGTCCCTATACAACAGCCGTATTCATTTTCTCGTTATTGCTGACAGCCAAGCCTGACGGGACACAACAAATCAAACCTGAAGTCGAACACACACTCTCCAAATTTTGGGCAACACTGTCTATTTTAGATCGGAACAGATCGGTCTGAAAATGTTTACCACTTTGAAAGTGAGCGACTGCGCAACAGGACTCGAGACGTTAAAGGTCAGAAACCAGATAATACAGAAACGAAGAGCTCCGCTCGTACAAAACGCGTGCACAAATTGCCGGATCAAGAAGGTATAGTACACTATTATTCAAACATCCTAGAGTGACTCGTGTCCCTTGGAACGAGTCAGAAACAATGGACAAAACAACGATGTCAGGCGGTTCTGTCCTTGAAGCTGATGCTCATCTGCCTACCCCTTGTAGCTAAGATGCTCCGGAGAGGAGAAGGGGTGTCGCCGATGTCTGTCGAAGGCCATCGAATGCGTCTACCAGCCTAGCAACGGCAAAAACCGTTCCACTGATGCCAAGGCTCAAGCAGGAGATGGGACGACTTCAATCCGATCATCAAATGCGCCTTCCGATGGAAAAGCAGGCGTATCCGAGGATTCCCCTTCCGCCGATGTTGACCACGTAGACAATCCTCTGTTTATCGACACGACAGACTTTGATTTCAACCTTTGGACTCGACCAGACCCTATAGACCTCTCAATTGACGAACTTGACAACTCGTTTGATAATCAACGTATGTACTCCAGGGGCCATCCAAGCACTTCAGAATGGACGGCACCACAATTTATTCCACCCTCGTTGCATGCCTGCTGATCTCAATAAAGGGAAGTACACATCACCCCCCGAGTTTCACTCACCACCGAGTGGGTCGAGCATATCAGAGGCCGTCTCGAGTCAAGCTGTAAAGGCTCGTGAACGTATGTCTGATACTGGAACGTTGCATATTGAACCTTCTGATTTCAACAAAGAAAGCCTTGGTAGTCAGATCGCACACGGTAGCGTCAGCAGGAACGGCAGCATCAGCAGCAGTCATGAATTTTCTCAATACCACAGTGACGCGGCCACTGGCATTGACCCGATCGCCTCAGAAAAGGAGCAGCAGCAGCAACACCGCTGCAAGGGCGAGTGCCTCTGCATCACGAAGGTGTTACTTGCATATCAGGATATCAACATGAACCTCAACGGCCGAGCTGGAGCCGGCTGGAACGCAGCGTTTCCATTTGAACACAACCCAAGTCCACTGACCGGCAACCAAGTGCTCACCAAAAAAAAGGGAACCTTTATTGACCAACAAATTCCAGTGGAGACTGTGCTCCACTGCATCAAGAGTTCCATAGAGATATGTGAGATGCTCATGGACTGCCAGAATTGCAGTGCCCGGTCTGAGTGCATCATGTTGAGCATCTGCATGTGCGAGACGATGGTGGCGAGGGCCGAAGAGTTGGTCGGCGCCGTGGATCCAAGTCCCTCCTTGCTCCTGTCAGCATCTGCCATGGACCTTGATTACGGCGCAGGTAACAAGGCCATGGCCTTGGACTCAAACCACATTCTGAGTTCCACCGGTCGACCTCCACAAAGGAAGGGTAGTGTCGCCAGTGATCAGGGTGAGAGTCACCAACGTGTCAATGTGGTAACCACTTATCTGACCATTGAGCAGCCCGTTCAGGTTTGAGACTCGGCCAATGGCGACTCGACAATGAAGACGAGTTGCAAGTGATACAGAGCCTTTTGACCGCCCGGATGACAAGATTGGATTCCTTGACCGCGAGAATGAAACATGTCGCCCAGCAGAACGAATGGCCGGTCCACGATGCGCGTATTGGAAGTCTAAGGGAAAGGCTCGTGGGTGCCATGTTCCTGGCCAGGAGAGGATCATATATGTAGAACAACCCACATATTTGTGAGACTTGGCTGCATCTGTGATTTCATAGACCAAGCGGAGTCCGGGATGGGAGATCTGCGAATACTTATTACATTTCCTGAGATATCGGATGTCGGATGTGTGAGCAATTTCCGGCCCGTGTGCGACTGTCGATTCTGACTCGCGGTTGGCCTCAGGGCTCATAGCCGCCTGAACCTGAACCCCCGAGATGATCGCCACGGGGCTTCAATGACAGACAGGCCCACCCTTGGGAGACACACAAGAACTGGCGGAATGCAGTGGCTCTTCTGACAGCCGGCTCCCAAGGGTATCCATACTCGCAGTGGCGCTCTTTTGTGCAGTTTCCGCAAGCTTCATACATACTAAATAGAATTGAGACCGAATATTCGCGCACCCAAATTTGAATCTCGCGTACCCTCCACTAACTAAGCAGTAGTCTATACAAGACTTCTTCCACAAGAGGGCTAGCTGGTGCGAAGGGGTCGAGCCTCGGAGCGCGAAGCATAGCGGAGGGCCGTAAGTAGGGCCGGTAGGCACAACCCGAGTTCCCAAAGGACCAACCCACCCCCTTTATATTCCTCAAAATCGCGAAAAAGACATTTATTAAAGTCTTCGCGACTAAAGAGTCGTATACTCTAACTGGTTAGAAGCCTACTTAATAAGAAAAAGGTGCGTGAAATCCAAATTTGGGTGCGTGAATATCCGGTCTCATAGGATTTAATGGGATCCAACCGCAGTGCAGCGTTCCTACATGCACTGCTTGATGTCGATGTTCATCAGATCATGAGCAACGCTTAGCTGGCTTCAGAGACCCGTAATGTCACCGGCACGTATTTTTCCGGTTCTCTTATCGCAATATCGGATGCTCTGCTTCTGCGTCTCCTCTCCTCTCCACCGTTCTGCCCCTGCCCCCAGTTCGCATCTTGACGATTCAGACAACATTCTGCTCCCGTCGCCGTATTTGGATCCGGAGCCACGGGTCTGTGGCTATGTTGAACGAGTTCTCCGGGTTGTTCTCCGACCAGTCAGCTGGTGTCTTCCACTCGTACTTGAACAGGAGATGGACCAGCGCCATTTTGACTTCCTTGGCGGCAAAGAAACGGCCGGGGCAAGCGTGCAGGCCATGGCTGAACCCGAGGTGATCCGGGCTCGTGCTGATCAATTGTGCCTGGTTCTCTTTCCCAGGCTGCTGTCCCAGGCGCACCCAGCGGTAGGCGTCAAACACGTCAGGGTTGTCATGGACCTGTGGATCCCAAAATCGGTGCGTTGAAACAGCTAACATCTCTCCTTTCGGTATGACAGTCCCGTCAGATAAGTGCAGATCTTGTAACGCGACTCGGCGCATTGTGGCTATCAAAACGGACAAACGATGATCAGTAAAACATTTATATATCCGAAAGCGGCCGGCCCTGGGATGGAGACGGGCAACGTAGCTTACCACTATGAATCGGTTTCATTCTCTGGCACTCCTTGATGAAGCTGTCCATGAATTTCATCTGATAGAGGCCCTTTTGCGTCAAGCCCATCTCTTTAATGACCCCCTGAGCTTCGGCACGCAAGGGCTCAATAAGCTCCGGATGCTTCGTAATCTGTGTCATCACTTGGCAAATCAAGTCCGTCGTGCCGTGCAACGCCGCCAGCGACAATATAAGCTGTGCAATGGCAGGATCATACGCGTCGCCTATGGAGGCCTCCTCAAACCACTCAAGTGCGTCGTTGAACTTGTGGCCCTGTGCCCGCAGGCGGCGCCGCTCCTCCGCGTATGGGCCGATAATAGCGCGGGCCTGCTTCACCTGGGCCCTGGCCTTGGTGCAGAGGGGCAAGAACCAGTGGACAAGGGGCCGGAGGGGCCTGGGCCAGTCCCGCAGCTCGTTGGCTGCGAGCCACCCTGTCGTGGCGTACTGGACTGCGAGGTCGAGCCATTCCTCGTTCCGGCAGATCGGCTCGCCTAGGAAAACTCGGAAAGCCATCCGCGCGACCAGACGGGCGACAGTTGCCCGGAGTGGAACAGAATGCCATTCTGAAAACTTGGTTGTCAGTCACTAATAAGACGGAGCTTCTTGATGCCATATTGGACGAAGTTACACCCACGTCGTGGATGTCTTCACTCACCTTTGCTCTCGGTAAAGAGCTCTGAAGTTGCCAAACCCACTTCATCTCTGAGCGGTTCTGTGACCTTGGCTACAAAGGAGTTCAGAGCCCCGAGTCAGCAATTATAATACATTTCAACTACTCTGCCAAAGGCTTGGGATGTTTCAAAGACAGGTGGAGCCTTACCAAGATTCTTTGTCGTGAGGAACTTTAGGATCACATTCCGTACGAATTGATTGTCGTTGGAGCCTTCCAAAAATGCCTCGAACCCCGGAATGTTCGCATGAAAGTACTGGTTCACCCTTAAATTCAGCTTTCATCGGATCAACTCGTCAGGCTTGCAAAGACATCAAAAACTCACTTTGTAAGCCCAGCGTGTGAGGGAGACAAGATCCTCCCTGTCAACCTGACTAATCATGTGAGGAGGCAGAATGGTGTATTCGCCAACATCGCCATTGACCCGAGCAGGGCTGTTGGGGTGAGCTTTGAACCAGGAATGGATAATACCCTTAGCGTTAGCGATGAATTCTTTCCTGGGTCTCTCGTGCGTGAGCTCCAAAGGGCCCCTCGGGTTGATCAAAGGCGCAAGACCTCGCGTTCTTGACCTGGTAGTATGATAGAAGTAGGTAATCGACACCATGAACAACATGAATAACCCCGCCAGCCGTATTCGAGTTGAATCTTGGAACGTAGCCAACGAAATGATGCCCCCGGGCGTCGTGTCGTGTAAAAAGCCGCCAATGATTTTGTGACCCATTCTGAGCGGTAGACTTGGATTTGGATGAGTTCCCAGCAGTTCTTGCTGCCAATGACTACGAAACTTTTGGTTTTCTGGCTACTATGTAAAATCTCGACGGTACCCTAGGGTACTTTGCCAATCGCACGATATTGTGACACTTCCTCGGAATCTCGCAGTTATCTGTTCTTGGCTCAGCTCCATATTGCTTTGCCTTCCTCAGCCCCCACCGACATTCCTCCATCCGGACTGAACTTAAGTTGCCTTCCAAACTATTTGTCTCGTTCCCAGAAAAAGGAAATTCAGCATCACATTCAAGATACGCCTGGCATCGCTCCCTTTCTTTCGCTTGTCACATGCTGAAGCCGGCTACTGTATTCGCCAAACCTTAACGGGGTATTCACTTGGCAACTCCTGGAACTCTGGCATCGGGGCGAATCCAGTGCTTGCAAAGTTTGGAGCGACACGCAATGGTTGATTTCCACTTTGGGATTCCGATGTCCTTCGCACTAAAGTCTTATCCACGTGAAAATGCGACTTCTGGGGTTTTCGCAGGTGGATCCTTTACTTTCTCTTTTAAGGTTTGTATTCTTGGACAGAGAATACCGGCTTGGCACAGCAGAGTTCACGCGTTCCGTAGAACCGGCCGCTGAGTCCCCTCAACAATAACAACAACAGCCAATCAAGTGCAAACCAAATAAGCAAGTAGTACCGTCCCTGAGACTCGCGACAACAAGAAGCGCGACATGGTCTTACCGTGGCTTCAAGTAAACTTTGACAGGCCCCTTCTCCCAGAGCAGGAAAACTTTGCTCCTTTCATCCCAGCCCCAAGTTTCCTCGGCTAATCTCACATCAAAGTTCCAAATGAGTCGAGCTAGTATGAGGCGCATCTCCGCGTACGCCAGACTGGAAGCGTAATACAGCATCAGTACATATCGAATCGAGCAACGTGATAAAGTTCTTGGAATATTCATTCTTACTTTCTTCCAAGGCAATCTCGTGGTCCGTGGGAGAATGGCACTGACGGACAGGCCAGTAAGTTAGCAGTGCCCAGCTGTAATGTGGGAGTGAGGCGCGAGGCGCGGGCCGCTTACTAAAAGCAGACCTTGCATCTCTGGAAAATCTCTCATCCCCAGTCCAGCGTTCGGGGATGAAAGAGTTTGGCAACGTGAAGTAATCGGGATTGTGGTACAGAGGCCACTGCCACACCGAGACCACCGTCTGCGATACCGTCAGGGGTCAGCGCTGGGACATCTTTGGTGTGGACACGGAAATGTTCCACTCACGTTTTCCGGAACATATTGCTTGAGTATGGTGTCACCACCTTTGGCAATCAGACGAGGAGGCCCAGTTGGCACGGCTGGGTACATGCGCATGGATTCGTCGAGAACAGCGAGGGTGTACTGGAGCTTCTGTACGCTTAGCATTGAGATGTCCTCCTCTGAGCTAAAGCTTGATCTTATCTCGTCCTCTAACTTTTCCAGAACTCGGGGATGCGATGTCAGTAAGTACACCGCCGCGGATAGCACAGTGGCGGTTGTTTCTGAACCAGCCACGATCAGGGTGTTGGACGTCGCCATGACCTCGTCCATTGTAAGTTTTTCCTGCGATTCAGAACATCAGTGAGGTCGATCCTTGCACCAAAGCCAGATGGCTGATGTCACTGACCTGGCCCGCTTCGCTGCCCTTGCCCGCCAGGGCCTCCATAAAGCCCGGGCGAGTCTTCTCAGCGCCAAGGACGCTCTTGACCCTCTCATGTGTCCAGTCGTAATGGTCCTGTAGTTTTCTTCTCACGTCTTTTGGGATCAAGCACATGAGAAGGCTCTCGACGAGAGGGTATCTCCGCGCGCAGAACAGAAATGCCGCGCTCTTGATGCTTTGGAACACAAGCTCCACGAAGGGGACGTAGTCCGCAGCATCCAAACAGTGAAACGGCTCCCCGAACGCGAGGTCTCCGACGACGTCGAATGTGGTGTAGTTGAACCAACGGACCAAGTTGATGGCCTGTCGGCCATTATCGCATTCCTCCCGTAGACGGCGTATGAGAAGGTCAACATAGTGCTGTATGATGCCCTGCTGCTCTCGCAGGGCCTGCGCGGAGAAACTGCGCGACAGATTGTGGCGAATCCGGCTGTGGTTCTGCTTGTCCGCGGCAATTATGCTGTTCAGGATGTCCTTGGAAAAGAAGGCAGGGTCCCTTCCGTTCTCGCCTGCTGGCGTTGGCCGCCGGCCCATGATATCCTTCCATGCATCTGGGTGGTTGTAGGATAGCTCATTCGGAGCAACTCGCACAACTGGGCCGTACTTGCGGTGCAGTGACAGGAGGCGGCGATGGGCATCTCCGGAAAGATACATGCTGCTGTATGGAATTCTTGAGACGGCCCAGAGCTTCGGTCCTGGATATTGTCGCAAAGGGTGAAAGAATAAGTTGAAGATGCCTGCATAAATGCCGTAGCAAGCAGCCTGATGATGTCGATTGAGTAAGTCGCCCGTCCGGATTTACTGTGCCGCTGGATTGGATACGAAATGAATTCACTCACAGTAGCTACAACGGCAATGCCAAGTAAGCCTGTCCCGATTGCGACGTCACGGGTCGAGTTCAGGCTCATTGTGATTGTGTTATGGTCCGCGATTTGGGGCATACTGAATCAAGTAGACGTGCAGGCTACCGCTTGATCAAGTATGGGTGTTGACGCCAGCGATTGGAGATATATCTAGCAAGGATTTCTGGCACAAGAATGTCCCACAGATGGTGAGCTATGAAATCCTGAACGCGGGGCCCAGATCTTGTGTTTCTGCCTCATCTCTACGATCCCGGCTCACAGGCTGCGAGTTGTGCGGGCAAAGGCTTAAATGATGCTTGATAGTGTGATTACTTGAACGGACAAGGACTAGTTGTGTTTGTGGTGGTTCTAAGGCCAATTGGGAGAGCGCAGTGGATCATAGAGCACAATTCCTCCGGACGTTAAATTTTATTTTCGCGTATGACGGAACAGTCCACGGGTGACCACCGGGCCGTCGGAATCCCTAAACAGGACATCGGTGCGTCGGCAAAGACACCACATTGGGGCTTGGGACCTGTACACAATCATGATAACCGACACTGCGCTTGACCATGGTATTTGATATTCATTTAGACTTGAAATCGCTGACCCAAGAGATCGAAATCCATCTCCATTCCCCAAGAATACATCCCTAGTCGAGTGAAACCTTAGACATACTGGCTTAAGAAGAAGCGACCAATACACCATGGCCTTGTTTAACAACGGCCACGACGAGCAACTCCGAGCCCAAGCAGTGGCACTGGTCAAACGGGCTGGTCGAGGCTATGATCCGAAATATGCGTATGGCTCAATGAGTTGTGCGGCATACGATACAGCCTGGGTATCTATGGTAACCAAGTCCGTCAATGGCACGAGGCAGTGGCTGTTTCCTGAAGCTTTTCGTTTCCTGGTGGAGCACCAAGAGAGTGACGGCAGCTGGGGCCTTCAGGCCTCTTCCATTGACAAGATCCTTAACACGGCTGCGGCACTTCTGTCACTGCTTCGACATGCAAAGGAGCCACTTCAGCTCGTCGCCGACATAGTCCAAGGCTGGGATCTCGAGAGGAGAATTGAGCGTGCCACACAGAGTCTTCAGCGTCAACTAGCCGAGTGGGATGTTGCCAGCACCAAGCACGTCGGATTTGAGATCATCGTACCTGCTCTTCTTGACCTACTTGCCGCGGAGGGCATTGCCTTCGCTTTCAAGGCGCGCGACGAATTAATCAGAGCCAGGGCCGCCAAGCTGAAGCATTTCGACCCGGGATTGCTTTTGTATGGCAAGCAGACAACAACATTGCTTCACTCTCTTGAAGCCTTTACTGGCCGCATCGACTATGACAAGGTGGCGCATCACAAGATCAATGGATCTTTCATGGCGTCACCGTCGTCCACAGCCGCCTATTTGATGGGCGCATCGAGTTGGGACGATGAAGCCGAGGATTACCTCAGACATGTCATTCGTCGAGGTCCAGGATGTGGTCAGGGCTGCGTCCCGAGCGCATACCCATCGTCTAACTTTGAATATTCATGGGTGAGCAAACAATAAGCAAGGTCTCTGCTGGACCATAAATTGACTAACGTGTTTCGCATAAAGATTTTGTCCACTCTGCTACATTCAGGCTTCACAATGGAAGATTTGAGTTGCTCGGAACTTCGGGACATGGTGAAAGTCTTGGAGGACATGTTCGTAAGAGGACAGGGGACAATCGGCTTTGGTAAGCGCACGTCTTTTGTCATTTTGTTCAATACTCCTGTACTAAATCGTAGCTGTTAAAGCACCCTTCATCCAAAGTGATGCGGACGATACAGCCAAAGCACTTTACGTGCTAGACCAGCTGGGATCAAATAGGTCCGTCAATAGCATGGTGCAAAAGTTTGAGGTCAAGAGTCACTTTCAAACCTATCCTGCCGAGCGAGACGCCAGTTTCAGCGCCAACTGCAACGTTCTGCTTGCACTCCTTCACCAGAAGGAGGTTGGTGCCTACCAATCCCAGATACATAAGTGTGTCAGGTTTCTGACGCGATGTTGGTGGAATACAGACGGGCCGATCCAGGACAAATGGGTGAGCTATATAAGTTCAATCCCCTTTTATTCCTATCCCAGATTTCTTGGGACACGTCACTAACCGTTACGGCCGCGCAGAATCAGAGTCACCTGTATTCGAACATGCTCGCGGTGCAGGCGCTGGCTGACTTCTTGGCTTGTCTTGATCAAGAAATCCTGCCCTCGCTTATGGATGAGCCTGAAGGCGCCAAAGTCATGGTCTGCATGTTCCAGGCCTGCCTGCGAACCCTGTTAGGACAGCATGAGGATGGCTCCTGGAGCCAGTCACAAGAGCAAACTGCCTATGCTGTCCTGACGTTGACGCAAGCTAGGCGATTGTGCTTCTGTCGGCACTTACAGTCAGAGTTAGACTCTGCGATCAAAAAGGCTGTTGCTTTCATCCTAGGTGCAAGCTCCAGTCCTGTGGGTGCACCGGCACTGACATCCGAGTTCCTGTGGACGGAGAAGGTTTCATATGCTTCACCACTCTTGACCGAGGCATACCGCGTCGCTGCACTGAAATCTGCAAAATCAATTTTGAAAGGCGTCCCTGACAACGTGGGCTACAGCATATTTCACGGGATCGACGCGAATCGGATGAGACAACACGTCAGGCTCTTCCACAAAACACACTTATTCCAATCTCTGCCTGAATGGCAGCTACGAGCCTCATTCATTGAAGGCCATCTCTTCCTTCCCATCATAAACGAACACAGACTCGACGTTTTCCCCCGCAAGGACATGGATCCCGATGATGATTACATTGGCCTCATCCCATTTACTTGGACTGCGTCGAACAACAAGGACATGACTTTTGCCTCACCAGCATGGCTCTACGCCATGATGATGGTCTCCGTTGTGGATTATCAGGCTGACGAGTTCATGGAGGCAGTCGCAGGTTTAGAGCTTGCAAATGACCTTCCTGGGCTGGTCGAGCTGATTCAAGAGGTATTGGCATCCTACAAGATTGAGCCTGCCAGCCCGACTACGAATCTGTTGGAACAGAATGGCAACGCTCGACGACCGTTTAAAGATTCTCACATCGACGAAGTCGAAGAGATCAGGGCTTGTCTCCGCCGTTTCGCATCCTTCTTTCTCGGCCATCCGGCCGTACAAAATGCCCACGAGGGTGATCGCGCTACGGCGTGGCGCGAGGTCCACAACTATCTTGTTGCTCATGTGAGGCACACTGCAGACAACGTCCGCCTCAATTCCCAGGATCAGAGGCAGTGGTACGTGTCTCGCAAGATGCCCTACTATCATTGGATACGAAGCAACGACGACATTGCTTGTCCCATCACGTTTGGCTTCGTGACTTGTCTTGTGCCCTTTTTGGTCGGGAACCCAAAGGTCGAGCGCGCACTTATCAGTGACCAATCTGAGGTTGACGCGACCTTCACAAAGTCCGGTGCCTCGTTCGACTCCGTCGAGGCCAAGTACTACGCTGACGACCTGTGTCGGCACATCACAAACGTCACCCGGATCTACAACGACTGCGGCTCCATCGCTCGCGACGCCGCCGAGAAAAACCTCAACTCGGTCAACTTCCCCGAGTTTGCCGTGACTGCCGCTGGCTCAGACAGGCTGGCTCTTCATGCCTTGGGCGAGTATGAGCGTGCTTGCTGCCAGGCGGCGTTCGTGCAGCTCGAGAAAGCAATGCTGCGAACCGCTGCTAGCTCAGCCGAGAGGGCTCAGAAGCAGCGCAGGTTGGATGTCTGGCAGGTTTTCCTCAATACGGCAGACCTATATGGCCAGATCTATGTCATTCGTGACTTCACTGCCAGATCTGTCCATGTTCGTGACACCAACATTGAGCCTGCTAATGCCCCAAAGGATGTACCTCCAGGCATCGCAAAGACGGCCGTGCTTGGGGAAAGACCAATTATGGCCACCTAGGATGGGTTGGGGACGCGGAGAATGGTCACTTTCTTTTGTACTGAAGTGCACGCCCTTTCGCAAATTTCAGGATGCGGCAGTGTTAGCAACAATTTGGTTCTAGGCTTTTCCTTCATTCTATCATTTCTCACAAATCAATTCTATTTTGGACGTCAGCATGAAAGGTGCGTGACAAGAACCCGGCAACCATAAATGTCATGTTCTCGTTGCTCGACTACCTGGACCACTTATGTGCCCCATTGCTCTGACACGCGCTCGATTTGACGACATGTTTTTATTCTGAAACAGAGTTCAGAAAGCAAGGATCGGGCTACCAAGCTGAAATTGAATACCTGCCATCGCTTGATGGTCTCGAACAATTCCCTGCATTCTCGGCCTCCCGTGTCAAGCCTGGAAATATTGCGGAAGTTACACCGATGAGCTCTCTCGGTCTCGGTCACTTCGGTCATTTTTCTTTTCTTTGCGCATGAAAAATGCAGTGGAATGAAGCAAAGCGTGCTCGCATGCTGATTCCCTAGTTCTTAGTTGGATCCAGGGTGGGTGTGTGGATAAGAGTGCGGTAGTTTTCTTTCCCTTGCTACCTAGCACCTGAGAACGAGTAACTGCTTAATTTACTAGATTCGTATCGCCTCACCTTGCTACTGTATCTTCAGAGACGTGAATCTAGCTCATTGACGTCTCCGACTAACAAGTAACCCAGCTGTTTTCCCATGATATGCGAAACATGTCCGAAGCCGGCCACTGTCGCGGCCAATTCCTGAGACCTTTACTTGACGCTAATACACATGATGCCTGCGCTCGAAAATTCTACACCTTTTCTCAGATAGGACTGATACTAACTTCCGTTGAGGCAAAGGGGTCCGCCAAAGTTTGCGGGATCGTCTCGGAGGCCTGTTTCGGAAATCTGGCCCTATCAACGGGATGCATGAAAAGCACCGTGGCACAACATGACTGAGCACAGTCGGATCGAGATCTGACGTTTCTCGCCATGAAGTAGAGCAAATAGTCGTCGGGGGCAATCCTTCAACTTCGTCACTCGGAGTCGTAGATGAGATTTCCGAGCAGAAGTCGGCCAGAAGATTTTGACCCAAGAGCAAGATCAAGCAAGAAATGGTTGTGCATGTTTTACGTCTCCGCCGTATATGTATGTTCCCCTCCTCTGTAGCTCGCAGTCGCCGATGGAAAAGCACATATCCGCGTACCCATTTTTGAATTACACTATTCTGAATGCATACCTATAGCCTGCCAAGTTCCGTCAGAGAAGGGTTATATTTGGGTCTACTTCATTGTAGCCTTCTGTTTGTCTACTCGTTCTTCTTCTACTACGTCAGAATAGTTCAAGTGCTACAGACAACGCCACAGCTCAATCATGGATTCTCCACCATATCGCCTCATCCAGAATGCGGCCAGCGGCCGCTTTTGCACCGAACCCCCGGAAATATCTCTTCCGAGTTCTGAGAAATGCTACGTCGGGACGAGATCGAACGACTCAGTGGATGAGGGCTTTCAGTCAGGAAGTGAAGACGGTGACGTCAAGAGACTGCTCTGCACCATTCTACCAGAGCCTCCGAATACGGTATATTCCCTGCCCCTTTTTTGGTAAATGATTGATAATTCTAGGCACTGACTCTATGGTAATGGATATTCACAGGCCGTTGATGCTCCATTCCAGTATACGTCTTCTCTTCCCTCCAAAGGTGTACGGGAGAAGCTCATCCAAGCCCTGAATGTGTGGTTGGGTCTACCACAGGACGCACTTGATGTGGTATCCTCTGTCATTCACGATGTACACACGTTGTCTCTCATGTAGGCGCTATCCATAATCAATCCCCCTTTTCCCATCGCATTATGAACAGTTTTTTACTCACCAAGAACACAGGTTAGACGATGTTGAGGACAACTCTCCACTCAGACGCTCCAAGCCGTCAACACACAATGTTTTTGGAACAGCACAAACGATCAATGCGGCGACCTACCGCATCGTGGATGTAGTTCGACGATCATTGGAGACCCACAATTCGAATATTGTCAATATTGTTGTAGGTTCGTATTAGGACATCTAACATGGACTGCATGAACACGGGAAGATGCTAATGTGTAGGTAAAAACTCAGAGGAGATGCAAAACCTGATGATCGGTCAGAGCTTAGACCTGATCTGGACATATCAGGTATCTGCGCCGACGGTTGAAGAGTATCTGCAGATGGTCGACGGCAGTGAGTCTGCACCCTTGCGGACTAAAATTCTCAGTCTGACATATTCTTGTCGCATAGAAACGGGCGGCCTCTTCCGCATGGTATCAAGGCTCATGGCCACTTTATCGGAATCTCCGGGCGTCAGAACAACTGAACTAAACAGTCTGATGACACTGCTGGGCCGATACTTTCAGATCCGCGACGATTATCTCAATTTGGCCTCTGCGGAGGTAAGCATAACCCGCCCACGAAGGGACACCCCCACAATGCTATTGAAGATTTGAAAACTTTTCTGAACAAGAAGAATTTGGCAGTATACGCAAAAGAAAGGTTTCTGTGAGGATCTTGACGAAGGGAAATACAGTTTTATCCTACTACACGCCCTGGAGAACTGTGACCGCACCACGCGCGCGCTGCTAAATAACATGCTGGTAGAGCGGCGTGTTGCTGGACAGGCAGGCCCAGGCCACAAGGAACTCATCCTCTCCATATTGGAGCAGAGCAAGTCCTTCCAGTACACCGTGGAGATGCTCGCGGTGCTTTTCGACGAGATGTTGGTCGCGGTCGACGCGATTGAGAGGAGCACAGGACGAGGAAACAAGCCCATAAGAAATTTGCTTGCGGCACTGGAAATTAAGAGGGACGTGGGCTGCGAATAGGGGAATGTGCTCTCAGACTCAGGCGTTAAGGGCTTCTAAGTAGCGCTTACCAATTTCACAAGCATCTTGTTCGATATACCTGCACATGAAAACTCCTCGAAGACGTCCCGGTTTAAGGGTGGTAGTTATTGGCGTCCACAGCGCCGGACCCTGAAGCCTTCGGGGCGACCGAGGGAAGACCCACTAAGAAACTCTGAGCTGGAACACCTCCTCCGATGCAAAATGTGATGGATTGGTGGCGGCAAGCGGGATTTATGGAAGACAACTAGCTGGACACGCCCTCTCGATGGAAAAGTCGAACGTGTTGGCTCTTCTCCCTCCGCCCCGAACTCAAGCTATAGAATTATTCTATTTTAGTCTTGACTTCCTAGATGGTAGTAGGAGTATACAAACGGTTTAAATTGTTAGTTCATGATAATTGCACCAGCTCAAGGCTGTCACAAGACAAACAACATTCCTTTAGAATACTTGTTGTCGTGCGCTTTTTGACAGTCGGTTGCGCAACGGGCCCAGTCAACATAAGGGTGAACTTCTGAGCCAGATCTAGAACTTGACACATTTTCATCATTTATTGTGTAACTTATAGAAGACGTCCGATCCTGTCGGAGACTATGGTGCGTAGATCCCTCAAACAATTGCTTCTGAGGCAATCAGTCTACAGCAAGACTCTCCAGGTCCACCTCCGCAGTACGCCGGCGCATTCTCAATTTTGCCCTCGGGTCCAGCGTCAGAGAGAAACCATTAGCCAACACCTTTGGCCGCCCGTCCGGGACGAACTCCCAGTCGAACTTCAGGAGCAAGTGGCAGAGCACAATCTTGAGCTCGTTCGCGGCGAAGAAGCGGCCGGGGCACGCGTGCTCCCCCAGGCCGAAGCCGATATGGTCGCGAGTGACTGCCACGAGGTGGGCAGAGTGCTCTTTACCGGGCAAGTCGCGGAGCCGGATCCACCGGTGACCGTCGAACTCCTGGGGCTTTTCGAAGAGGTCTGTGAGGGAGACAACGATCTTCTCGCCTTTCCGAATGTGAACCCCATTTGGGAGGTCAATGTTCTTCTCGGCAACGCGTCGCATGTTTGCTTGAAGAGGTCAGAGGTGATAAACATAATATGATGAACAGGGCCTAGTTGAGTGGACTCTACCTATGCTTGTTGGCTTGAGCCGCTGGGATTCTTTGATCACGCTGTCCAAGAGCTTGAGATTGTAAAGACTGGTCTTCCTCCAGCCCTCAGCAGAGAGAACCCGTATGATTTCCTCCCGCAGCATGGCAAAGTACTCCGGGTGATCTGCGATGCAAATGATAGTCCAGTAGAGGAGGTCGGTGGTGGTGTGTATGGCCCCAACGGAAAGATTGATTTGGAGACCAACCGGGTCGTATGGCTTGCCGTCGAAGAACTCCTCAAACCAGTCAATGGCATCATTGAACCTGGGCTGTGGTTGGCCACATGCGATAGCTGCCGCCCTTATCGCTCGTCTCTTGTGCAGTAAGGGTATGATGATGTCGTGGGCATTTTTGATCTGGCCCCGTAGCTTCTGAGCAGATGGCAGAAACCAGTGTACTATGCGACGCAGGGGCTTGGGCCACAAGCCCAGCTCCTTGGCGGCCGTAAACAGATCCACGCTGTACTGAGTTGTGATTGTTAACCAATTCTCGTCGCGGCAAATCTCACCCCCCAAAAACACACGAGAGGAGATGCGGGCAATGAGCTGCAGAAGGTGATCCTTGATCTGGACCTCGTTCCAGTCTATCTTTGAGTTAGTCTAGGGGTAAAATTTCAGGAAAATTGTGCAGACGTGAAAAGTCTAGTATGGGTAAAGTGAAGTGCACACCTGGATTATTCGGAAAAATGTGTTCGACGGCAAAGGCAGTTTCTGAGGAGAGTGGCTCAGTGAGTTTAGCTAAGGAGATTGGAGAAAGAGTCAGCTCTATTACCCGGCACATTGTAACCATCATCGGGGCTGAGCATCGCGTCTCAGCTGGTTACGCACACAGAACAAGCGTTAGCTGACGCATGGCAACCATTCGCACTGGTTGCTGTCCGTTCGTTGCTGCGAGAACTGGCTCAAACCCAGGGATATATCCGTGAAAGTCCTGGCAGTAGACAAAATGCGTGGTCAGCAAGGACCTTGTTTCGGTGCGGCTCTTGGACAGGAGACGTAGGCTGAACACTAACATCGTACACCGCAAGATCAAAGCTCAGACTGTGTTCGTTCCGTATCTCGTGTGCCATGTCGTATGGGAGAACCGTCACGTCGCCTCTCTCCGACTTGACGCGAAACGGCCGCCCCTTGAAGGCTTCTTGTCCCTTGTGCAGGAGACCCTTGCTATCCTGCACGAACTCGAGCTTCTGACGGGAATGCCTGGAGTCCCATATGCTTGAAGGGTTGACGCAGGGCGGTTTACCACTGCTGCGACCACTTCGGTTCGCAAAGGAGTACAGCAGGAATCCCGCCAGGCCCACCAGGAAGAATTCGACTGCTGTGCCATGGACCGTCATGATTGGGGTCCATGGAAAGGCTGTTTGGAATGATGTCATGACTGCTGGGTAGTCTGGGTGTATCGAGAGCTGTGTTTCTCTTGAGGTGGATTAAAGCAAGTACCTAAGTTGAAAGGCTATAGGGATCGAGAAGAACGAGCGCAAAGAGATGGAGGAGGATGGCTATCGTTCACCGGCTTGGCACTTTCCCAGGTGAGTAGCTCTGACAGAACCAATACCGTCCGAGTCGTTTCTCATATGCACGCGTGGAGCTAGTCAGTATGTATGTCATGTTTATTACCTATTTCAACTGCGACTGCAATGTTATCTGTCAACTAAATTGACAGATTATTGGGCTAGGCAACTGTGTACGGCAGGCACTTCCCATCGACTGGTATCCGGAGGGTGCATGTGAGCAGCAGTCGGTTCCACAATTGGCGTGTATCTAGTTTCCCAATGTGAGTTCGACCCATCCCCAATGCCTCTTTCGGTTCCGTCCCGCTCCGGGAGAGTTCACTGCAAGATACAGGTCGAAGCCTATGATCGCTTTATCCAGCTGGAGCCTAGTGACAATTTAAATTTAGGTTTGCTGCCAGTGAGGAGAACTCTAACTCCCCAGTCATCTGCACATTCATTACCGAATTTGGCCTCCGAGGCCCTGAACACGCGACTGCCGCAGTAACTACGATGTCTTGCATCCAATCGGGCTCAAACAAATTCCCCTCAGTGACCAAGCAGGATTAATCATGTTGATTCGGGCCTCACACTACGCAATGTAAATGGAGAAACAAGGCATTCGAAAACCAAAATTGGCACATTGGATATGATGAACGAACCCCTCCCCGGGCTCTCTCCATGCGGCGGCAAGGACGGTTCTGTCAACTCAGTCTGGTGTAGTTACTACACAAAAGCCTGACCCAGCGCTTGCCGACGTGACATTGAGTCGGGATCAAAATATGGCTTTTCGCCCAGAGACACAACGCGATACCCTTGTCGCTTGCCACTGTAATCACTGAGAATTATATTAGCAATGCTTTCATGCGAAAGAAAAAAAATTCACAATGGAGATGGAAACTGCGGGTAAACACTTACTGTGTGGCTGTGTGGAATGTGGAGCGACTGCGGTGACAAGAGTTAGCAACATTTCGTACCCGCTCTATGGGATTGTACTCTGGGCATCAGAATGTGATTACTTACTTGTCCCATATCGCCATGTCGTCCTTACCCCATCGAAATCGGACATGCAGATCGTGATTCTCGTAGATGAGCTGATTGACTGGTGATTGACACTGAGCACGGCTTCGGCTAACTCTGTGACTTTCCAGCCATGGAGTTTAGGGGTTTAACTTACAATATTGCTTGAGAATATCGCTTTCCCTCGGGGTCACGTCGTTATACCAACCGAATTTGACCTGGTGGCAGGCGCCGAATAGACTCTTCCACCCAGTAACTGGATTAGTCCGAATTACAGGGCTGGAACGGCAGAAGAGAACATTAGCAAGATGAAAAGTGATCTGGGCATGGTCTTCCCCCGATCTTGAGACATACTGTTCGGCTTTGAAATCAAGCCCAGTGTTCTCAGGGGAACCACGGTAGTCCTCAATGAGGTCCTCGCCAAACTTCTCCTTCACCTGGAGGAAGTCAGGCTGGTAATGTGTAGCAGTCAATCCCTCAGCGAACTTTTGGAAAGCTGGCGAGAGCCGATCGTATGCTTCATAGGCCGAAGCCCACAATGTGTCTCCTCCTGCGTCCTCGTTTGGCTGAGTCATCTTCAAAACGGCATAATCAGAGGGAATCCTCTCGAAAGAGATGCTGATCACGTACTTGAAGTTAGCCGTTCTGCTCGTAGTCCACATCAATTGATGCGACTCTTCTATCCTCTCCTGGCTTAGACTCACTCAGCGTGCCACCCAACACTTGCAATTTTCTTTGTCGCGAGTGTAACCCTGTCCTGGAAGAACTTCTTGCCCACTTCGGACGAGATGACCGAAACCTCATCATCATACCTCCCGTTCTGGTCCACGGGGATCCCACGCTTGCCGTTTGATAGGGCGTCACGGTGCAGCTTAGAACTTTCAGGCTTTCCGGTCAACTCCCCGAGCTTCTGGCCAAGCAGCTTCTGTTCATCAATGTTCAGGTCCTGGTTGCGAAAGAATACCACGCCACGTTGAGATACTTTTCTTGACCAGTCAGACAGCAAGACCGAAAGATGCTTAAAATGGGGGGGGGGGGGTTCTCTTTTTGAAAACAGGAAAACAAAAGAACGAGGCCTGCAAGACTAACCTAAAACAGCAAGATCACGAATTTTGAAATCGTCATGGAGAATCTCGCTAAGCTGAAGGTCAGGGAATTCTCGACCGATGACCGAGGTTGTGTCAAAGTGTCGATAAGAGTCCAGTGTCCCAATGTAGTTGAGAGGGCCAGGAAGCCTGTTCGCGGTGGATGCGTGCTTGATGCAGCCCCCGACCGCTGGACGGGCATCAATAATCGGACTTTCAAGGGCGGAAGGAGGAGCCATGATTCTGTTTGTGTCACTGCTATTCACGAGCTTGAGCATATGAATATGTGATCGTGTTGTTGCTACATTTGTTGGTTAAATACATACCGGGAAACATGGCCAAAGCTCCCCCACATTCAAGATATAACCTCACAGCACTGGTCCCAGGACAGGTCCGGGCCCAACACCTCCCGTCATCTCAGTCTATCCACCAACACGCTAAAACACAGCTATGAATCGATGGGTTCTGGTTGATGAAGTCTTGGCAGATGCATCCCGGTCATGAGATCCGAAACGATTTGAACACACTCACACCCGCTGTCCGCCTCGGTGCCCAACTTAGTTGGACCGGGCAAGTCCGAGAGATCGGAGTTCCTGTTTGAGAAAACCCTCAGCCGCACAAAGCTTGATCTGCCGAGCACCATTTTTCCTACATGGGCCAAGGTGGATTGATGTTGCCCAATCTGCTCCACGTTCATTATTGCTATGCTGGTGCTACAGGAAGCAATCAGGAAGCAATATATACGCGGTCACAATCGTCAAAAGAGAAAAAGAGATACGCTGTTTACAGCACGCGTTTCTTGCACTGTTCATTCACAAATCTTGCAGCATGGACAAGTTCCAAGAGATCAGGGGCCACCTCTCTATCGGCGGCTTAGTCGCGGGCATAATTGTAGTCAGTACAGTCCGTCTATCACTACAAGCTTTCACGGCGCGGAATAAAAAGAATGGAGAGCTAACCTGACAACGTGGCAGGCCTCGTTTATTGGTGTTTCGCTATATGTCTCGTTTGTCAGCATATATAGGCTGTACTTCCATCCACTGGCTAAATTTCCCGGTCCTCGGCTGGGGGCCATCAGCGCAGTAAGTCTCCCAGATCCAATATGCAGAGGCCTTCAACTTCCAAGAGACGTTTCTCACGCATTACAGCTCTGGATGCACTGGTCAATGAGTACAGGCCGCCAGCACGTCATTTTGCACAACCTACACAGGAGACATGGCGACGTCGTGCGGGTCGGCCCGAACGAGCTCTCGTTTGCAACGCCGGAGTCGTTCAAGGATATTTACGGGCACTCGAAGACGCCTGAAACAAGGTTCCTCAAGACAGAAATGTACGACAACGGCGAGCCGCCCCGGGTCTCGACCGCCCGCGACCCGGTGGTTCACGCCCAGCAGCGCAAGACGCTCTCGAATGCGTTCAGCGCCAAGGCCCTCCGGGACCAGGAGGACGTCATTCAGCGATATGTGGACTTGTTTATTCAGAAGCTTGATGAATGGGGTGAATCTGGCAAGACAGCCATCAATATCACGCCCGCGTATAACTGGCTCATGTTTGATATTATTGGTAAAACTTTCCAACCTTGCCTTCCCCATCCCCCGCGTTCAGACACGCACTCCTGCGCACACAGATCAATTTCTAACTGGTAATTTACTACATAGGTGACCTGTCGTTTGGCGAGTCGTTTGGCAGCATAGAAAACGGCGAAGAGCCCATGTGGATCAAAATGTTCCTCGGGGCGCTCTACTACCCGATCCTCTGGAGGATCGGGAGGCAGTTCCCCCTCCTGAGGCCCTTCTTCCCCATCTTCATCCCCGGGTTCCAGGAATACGCGAGGAACCGGGAGAGCCACAGGCAGCTGGCCCGCAACAAGGCCCTGCGCCGGATGGAGATGGGGGACATGGGGCGGGCGGACTTCTTCAGCCACATCCTGGCCAGGGGCGCCTGGGACGTCGACACCATCGCCAGCCACACGCAGCTCCTGGTCATATCCGGGTCGGAGCCCATCGCCACCGCGCTCGCCGCGACGACGTACTACCTGCTCAGGAACCCGGAGGCCCTCCAGGCCCTGCAGCGCGAGGTGCGGGGTGCGTTTGCGTCTGGCCGGGAGATAACAGGCGACGCGACCAGCCGGCTCAGGTACCTCAACGCCGTCATCGAGGAGGGCCTGAGGCTGTTCCCGCCGTCGGTGGTCCCGCTCTCCCGGTACTCCCCGGGCGCGACGATCGGCGGCCACTACGTGCCCCCCGGCGTGTCCGTCTTCAACAACGGCTACCCCATGTCCCGGGACGCGCGGTACTGGGACTCGCCGCACCTCTTCAGGCCGGAGCGCTGGCTCGGGGCGGGCTCTGAGCTGATGAAGAGGGCCAGCCAGCCCTTCTCCACGGGGCCGCGCGTGTGCCTCGGCGTCAACCTGGTGTATCTCGACGTGCGGATCGCGCTGGCCAAGGTCGTCTTCAATTATGATTTGGAAATGGAATCCAAGGATCTGGATTGGGAACGCGATGTTGTGCTGCAAGGCGTCTGGAAGAAACCGGCCCAGCTGGTCAGATTCCACAAGGTGCCCACAAAGGTCTCTTGACACTGTATCACCGCTTGAGTGCTTGTCTCGTTTCGTTCGATATTTCAAATTTGATTCTATTAATACTAGCAGGCAAGGCTGAGACCGCAAGCACCTATCGTATTATGACTATCGTTATCGACATCGTGTCCTTTCAAGCGCTGGGTCTTGAGCGCTTACCACCGTATGAAGGCGCCATGTATGTCCTCGGACGTATAGGAATAGAAGCGAAACCACCCACCTAAAAAGTATGCAACGCCGATCTTGTTTTTTAGATCTCGAGAGCCTGATACCAAGTTGGCTGAAGCTATAGCTCCCCTGGCTTTAGTTAACAGAGCTTCTAGTTAGGCAGTCTGGCAGTCCGTCTGGTTTCGCAATGCCGCAGCGGAGGCAATGAGTTGAAACGTGCTTAGACAGAGCACTCGAGAGAAGGCAGTTCGGCCGGACATGATCCCCGGCCAGTCAAGCTCTCCCTCCCCGGTCCCCACGTCTTTACTAATAAGTGTACGAGGTCCGAACTCAGGCTGACAATAGTCTGGGCGCTGTTTTGACAGCTACTCATCTCTATTTCTGGCAGCCTAGTGTCTGCCGAGCAGTTGTTAACTAGTTCATTAAGATTATAAAACTCTATTTTGTTCCCCATAGAAGTCGTGCAGCATTCCCCCGAGCTTGGGATGTGACTGTGTACCCGAGTGACGCCATACTGCCAATCATAACGAGGGCACAGTCAATCAATCAATCAATCATGGCCCCATGCTCGTGCTCGCAAAATAAAGAGGCCCCGGCTCTCGGTTGCCGATGTCGGTGTCGGGACTGGGTCTGTTTTGGGGCCCCCCATGAATCAGCTGCGACTACTGATGAGACTGCGCACGAGCGAGCCTGCCTCTCGTGGCGATGCAATCTGGTGAACAATGCATATGTATGTACCAGAAACAAATAATCCGTTCCGCCGGCCTCCCCCAACTCCGCCGCGGACGGTCCATCCATCCATCCACCCACTCGATCTGGTGTCACAAGTCGAAAAGACACTAGAGCGGCCGCGGTCACTCGCCCTTGGGCTTGGTGATGGGGTTCCCCTTGTCGTCGACCAGGCCCTTGGCGCGCATGACCTTGAGGGCGTCGTGGAGGGGGTCGAGCTCGGGCTGGGGCGCCCTGTGGGAGCCGAAGTACGAGTCGGCCCAGGTGAAGTACTGGCCGTAGTTGACGGTGAAGTACATGTGGTGCAGGGTGTGGTGGGCGGGGCTGTTGAGGAACTTCTCGGTCCAGTGGCCCGTGATCATGTCGCCGTCGTGGATCAGGATGGTCCAGATCTGCACGGCGACGAAGAGCACCATGTACAGGTAGCGCTGCATGGGGAAGATGAAGACGAAGATGCTGCGGGGGGTGTCAGCGAGAACAGCAGCTTGAGGCTGGGGATATCACTCTGGCGTGACGTGACTTGACTCACTGGTATGGCAGAGACTGGACGTATCCGTCAAGCGGGTGGAACGCCAGGGCAGCCCAGGGCGTGGGGACTAAGATGTGGTTAGCTCTGGCGTCCATGTGTGGGTGAGACATAAATGCTCGATATGAAGGTGTGTATGTGCTGGAGGATGTGCATGAGCTGGACATGACCTACCAATCCACTTGTGGTGTGGCTTGTGGATGTACTTGTACACGCTGGGGTGGTGCTCCAGGCGGTGGATCCAGTAGATGGCGATGTCGTTGAAGGCCATGTAGAGCAAGGACGAGACCACCAGCCAGGACCAGCCGTAGTCGCTCACGTTCTGGTACAGCAGGCTCTTGCCGCGGACCTCGGCCAGGAACCAGGGCAGGGTGAGGATGTTGATGAAGGGGACGGCGGACAGGGAGGAGACGATCTCCTGGCGGACCTGGTTCTGCAGGAAGCGAGGGTGGTACTCGAGCCGCCTGTCGAAGATGAAGTAGTAGGAGAGGGCGCTGAAGATGAGGTAGAGCGAGCTGGCGCCGATCTGTGTGATGACCAGCAGCGACACGATCTGGCGGTAGATGTTGTCGCGGGGCCAGAGGGACGCCGGCGCGCTGCTGTCGGCGGCGGCGGCGGCGGCCAGGCTGGAGTAAGCGGCCTCGGAGGAGTTTGTGAAGCCGGCGCCGGGGTGAGGGAGGGCCCAGGCGTAGGCCTTGTCCAGGATGAGGGGATCGAGGAACTCCAGAGCTACATCCATTGTCGCAAGGGGGGCTGGCTGTTGGCCGCAGACAGGCGCAGATGGAGAGGGAGAGAGATATGCGTGAGTGAATTGGACTCAATTGGACTGAAGGTGGCGTCCGAGAGGGCGGGCAGAAAGTGTTGGGCGAGCAAGCTCTTGAGTCGCCTGCGTCGGTGGGCTGCGCCGATGAAATTTCAATGCTATATTGCCACCCCCTGCGAGGGGAGGGAGATTGAGCTCGATAAAAACAAGCGTGTCAGCGGGTGTGGCCGATACCAGCAGTAACCTTGCTTGCTTTGCTGTACGGTTTACGATGATGGTCCCCCTGCAGGATCGAATCGGCACTGTGGTCAACTCTCCGGATGGGAGGATCTGGGAAGGTGAGGATCTGATAAAGGGTTCTTTAAAGCCTCCGCCGGAACATTGGGTTGAATTGGTTTGTTTTCTTGGGGTCAACTGCTCGGTGTGCAGGCCGGAAGTGAGCGGATGCGCGGAGGCGTGGGGAAATATTTGCTGCTGCCAGGTTGCATCAATTGATCAAAATTGGCATGCAGCTCTCCAGGGGCTGCGGTTATTGTTGACTAACGAACGGACTGCCGGGTATAACGAACGCCCTGCACGCCCTGGATGCCCTGACACGGTGGGGCGAGCACAGGACGGGATCTGATAAACACCGACCACTCCTCCCATTGACTGTATCGTACGAGGGCGGATGGTCGGTAGCCGGGCCACCACAGAGTGGGCCGATGTCGCCATTCACCAATTGCATGCCTCCCACGACAGGCCAAGAGACTACCATCAGCGATCACCCCGAATCAGTCTAGCCCCCTGCACCCGGCTCCGCTGGCGAAGCTTAGGAAGAATGTTCTATGGGCTGGGATCAGCCGTTCGCCCCCTTTGCCTTGGGGGTGTTTGCTTAAATCCGTACAACACCCTGACATCCCGTGACTTGACTTCCAGCTTGTGCCTCTCTGCTTTCTTTTGCCACCTACGATGCGGCACATTGTACATACAATCATATCCTCAGACCTGCCTCAGGGGGTCAATGATACATTACTCCGTACTGTGCTTGTACTCGTGAACCATGCGGTCAGTGGTCACTGACTCAAATATCCCAGCAGGGGTCACGCCTGCTCGTTTTATAACCAGGAACTCCCTTTTGTATGCGGCTGCAAACAACAGCGGCTCCTATCTCAGCGACCCTTAGAAAGCCCTCGCCTGTTTATGTCGTCATCCTCAATGCGTAGGCGTTGACACTGGATCACTATCCAGCACAGCCAGTGCATACGCTCAACAGCAGCAGCTGCTTTTATGTCACGTGTATATAGGGAAGCAGCGACCTCGGGACTCGGGGAGCCGCTGATGGGTACCATGGTCATGTTCCAGAGAAAAGGTTGATACCAGTAGGGAGGACCTTACCCCTGATACAGAACACAAATGTATTCACATCGAACCTCTATTCGCATGTCGTCTTCTCGATTACTCCCAGAGAAGGGACGTCGGTCCAGCTACTAGACTGTCCCCACACCACCAAGCTAAGTTGTCTGTGTCCTATCCTTTCCCGGTGTAAGTGCTGTCCTAACTTGCCAACCTCGGGCGATGACTGCGGGAGCCTTCACATGATCTCACATGGTGTTATGACTCTTCAGCATTCCATTTACCAATATTGGTCCTTGTGCGCGGGGCAAGGGTCCATGGTAGTTTCCTCCTGATGCTTACCTTGAACCAAGCTCGATCCTTCCAAGTCGGACATGCTGAGAAAATGGCATTGATGCTAGGAGGAAGGAGGAAGAGGAGGAGGGGGGAGGGGAAGATAAAATATAAAAGATAGTAGTGAGCGGCGCCGTCGGGAGTGATGCCTTCCAGCCTTGTCTGTGCGGTACGAGGCTGAGCCACGTACCCACAGACGTACTGTATTCCCTTTCCACTATTATTAGCACTATATTTCTTTAAACACTGGGTCTTGAGTGTTTACTATTATATAAAGGTGCTATATATTTGTTTTATATATATAGGGATTAAAGATAAAATATGTGTACCTAAAGGTTTGTTCGAGCAAGAAGTAAGTATAGCGAGGAGGGTTTTTTAATACGAAGCTTTCTTTTATTATTTTATAACTATTTAACTATTTAACTATTTAACTATTTAACTATTTAACTATTTAACTATTTAACTATTTAACTATTTAACTATTTAACTATTTAACTATTTAACTATTTAACTATTTAACTATTTAACTATTTAACTATTTAACTATTTAACTATTTAACTATTTAACTATTTAACTATTTAACTATTTAACTATTTAACTATTTAACTATTTAACTATTTAACTATTTAACTATTTAACTATTTAACTATTTAACTATTTAACTATTTAACTATTTAACCATTTAACTATTTAACTATTTAACTATTTAACTATTTAACTATTTAACTATTTAACTATTTAACTATTTAACTATTTAACTATTTAACTATTTAACTATTTAACTATTTAACTATTTAACTATTTAACTATTTAACTATTTAACTATTTAACTATTTAACTATTTAACTATTTAACTATTTAACTATTTAACTATTTAACTATTTAACTATTTAACTATTTAACCATTTAACCATTTAACTATTTAACTATTTAACTATTTAACTATTTAACTATTTAACTATTTAATTAGTTATTTAACTTAATTTAAATAGATTTATTTAACTAGTTATTTAACTTAATTTAAGTGGATTTATTTAACTAGTTATTACTAAAGGGTTCCCCCCTAGGACCCCTTATATATGTAGCCTACGCTACCTACGCTATATAGCCTTCCGTATATATCTTAGTACCTTCCGTTTTTTATTCAACTAATCCCTATACAAGGTTTAAATTCTAACTAATCTATATATAAGAAACATTTTACCAATTCACACAGTAATAGAGAAAGCTCCACTTATTAGTTTTTTCATACTTTATATAAAAAACCCTCCTCACTACGCTTAAAAACTATATAAAAAATAATAGTTTAATAAGAATTAAACTAATAATTAAATAAATAGTTAGATAATAATAGAGGATAATTAATTTAAAAACTTAAATAATAATTAAGTTATTTCGTTTTTTATTATTTAACTACTTAATTATATAAATATTCTTCTTCCTCTCCCTCTTTATTTATATTATAACCCACTGTATTATATTATATTTATTCTTAAGGCTAAAGCATTGGTATTCCTATCACATTGCATGTAGGGTAGTGAACGGCAACCCTGAACATAAGTGCGGATGGTAATGGATAACTAACAAATGGTGAATTGCGTGGACATCGCAGGCCCTCAGGACTTTAGAACACAATCAAAATAGGTCCCGTCGCGCGCTGGACATGCTTCTACGAAGCTAGAGCCGTACTGTTCAATGGACTACTTCTGTTTTCGAGTTCCGCCCGCAGGTATGCCCAGTGGAGACTGCAACGCTGCGGATGATACTGGATGCCCAGGGTGTCTTGTTGCCACACTGCATGAGCTGCTAAGGGCTTGAAAACAGGACTATATGCAGCTGCCAAAGGGGCAAAAAGTGCATTTTGTCTATGAGAAGCAAAGCAGGCTGTGACCCACGTTGACTGACTATCTGAACAGTCAGACCTTGGTGTCATATGAGCACAGCCATAATCCATTCGATGCGGTGGAAATCACTAGTGAGGAGACCCCTCATGCCCGCGACTGCGAGGGCTGTTTGCGGCCAATGTACATCAAAGATCAATTATCCTGCACCACGGGCATACTTCAGTCACTATATAAAATTGGAAATGCTTAGGATACAAAGATGAGTGAACATCTTTCATTTCAAGCGTTCAGCCCCCGTGGTTCTATGAGAACCACAAAAGAGTAAGTGGAAACAACTATATCTTGGCATCCATCAAGTTTTCGAAGAATGACTGTGTTGATACTTTCAATTTCATGATACGTCACACACTGAGAAATAGCAGAAACGCGTAATTGACTTACTGCATGTGGTCTATGAGACTCATGATTCCACTTAGAAAGGCAGCTGCCCTACTAGTTACAAGTATGGAGTCCTGAGCACTGTTTCCCAAATATAAAAACATACTTCGCGACAGGGGAGAAAACGAACAGAGCTTTCCCTATATAATGAGAATAGTTTCAAAGCTGGTATATACCTAGGTAGGCTTGAGCTTCTACAGAGAAAGTGGAAAGTGTTTTCCCGATGGAATTCTAGCTGAATGAGACCTTCAGGTGCTAACATACCTCCTTAGAGGAGGGTTTTACCTTCAAGGTATTTGTCGCCTCTGATTGAGGCAGCTCCAAGGTCACCAGCCACGGGAACTGCACAGGCAACTCCTCATCACCACCCTTCACCGCCGCATTCACGAACAGAGTCTGCCTCCCAACCTCCAGAGGAAACTCGTCGTCGCGGCAGTGACTCGTGGAACAATACCCCTGACTGCGATACCTCACCCGCCTCGCCTCCTTGAGCGCCACATCCTCGGGCGTGTCGTGCCTTCCAGGCAGGATGGTGCCGAGCGTCTCGACAACATGGGACCTGCCGTTATCTATACCAGTCAGATGCGAGGGCTCCCGATCCTGGCCCTGCTGTGCCCCTCCGTCTCTCCACGTGACCAGCTTAGCGCCCCAGCCCTCGTGGATGTGTCCAAAGCAGTGGACACGCGGCCTCGCCGCTGCCACGGCGGCGAACAGCTCCGCCGAGCCCCCCCGCTCGCGGCCGCCGGTCCGGTCCAGGACGCCCCGCGGCGGCCCATGCGTGACGACGACATCGGCTCCCTCCCCGATGCCGTACGCGTGGCCCCGGTCCGGCCTGTACTGGAAGCCCCAGTCGCCCAGCGACGGCGTGTAGGGGCTCGCGTACACCGTGAGCGCGGCGCCGTTCCCCAGGGCGAGGCGGTGCGTGCCCTCCCCGAGGAGGCGGACCCCGTGCGCCTCTCGTGCGCCTCGGAAGAGCTGTTCTGCCTCGCCGTAGTCGCCGTACTCCTTCCTCACGAGCGCCGGCTCGAGGGGCGGCCGTGCTTGGTCGACCTTGTGCCTGAAGGAGGGCGTGTCCAGGGTGAAGTCGTGGTTTCCGGGGATGACGAGCTTCAGGGGTGCGTTGGTTTGCTTTAAGAGGCCCAGGGTTGTCCGCATCTCGGCCAGTTTGGACTCTTCCGTCAGGTCGCCGCAGTGGATGGCAACGTCTGCGCGCGGGAACGGTGGGTGCTCACCGAGGGCCATCCCGTGCGTGTCGGATAAGATGAGGATGGTCGTCTTGATTGTACCTGGGCTGGCAGCTGGTCTGGGCTCCGAATTATTATCCATTACTGCTGCTGCCAATATGTATCGCTATTGTGGAAAACTTAGTCTCAAGTGCTTTATGTGGGCCTTGAAGTGGACGAATTCTAGAGTGTAAAGGTTGAACGACTTTTGTGATTGGCACTAGAAATATGACTCCTAAAGGTTTATGCATTCTTAATTTACGCTAGAATACCCTAGTATCTGATGGCTCAAGTTGGACGCAAAGAAAGAACTGACTTATCAAGAGCTTGCTAAGGCTAGGCATTTAGTCTAGGTACCGGCCTTGGGGCTCAATAGTTGCGGCAAGATCGATCAAGGTCAGACCGCATGTTTCCAACTACATTAGGGTACCTACATAGGCATATAAGTACCTATTAAGGTGACTTGGTAGGTTAAAAGACTTTGTAATGAGCTTTGCAAAATGTCGGACCATCTCTACTTGCAAGCATTCTAGTAAAGTCACCAACAAAGCACCTTGTTATTTCATAAACATGGTGTAGCAAGTACTTCAGTATTAAGAGTAAGATATTTGAAATATCTGGGTATCGGTGCTGATCGTTTGGACATCTAAACTGCTAATGGCTTCCTAATCTACTTATTAGGATAAAGATGAGTGACGGACGCTTCGAACGTACACAGAATACAAACGAAACTAGAAATAGACGAACGACACAGGCATATTCGACACAATTCTTGTGGCAAATGAAAGTTCAAATCAACAATTCTTCCCACAGACATATTGTGTTTTCGTTTGCCGCAGTTCGTGAAGTACCGTGTCACCGACATCCTATGGTATAACCTCCTATGGTATAACCTCCTAAACGGTAAACTCCAATGGAATCAATTGGAATAGAACCTAATATCTTCCTACAGGGCTCCCATTCCATGGAATAACACTCTAACAAACAGCCTCCTGGACTCATAGAGGACAAGCTCCTCGGGCTCCATACGGCACCCCCTAACAGAATATCCTCACATGGAACAGCATTCCACAACCTCCGGTAGAAGGTGAGTACTTAGGGATATAGATGCCTTGTGGCAGGCTGAAGAACAATCCTACTCAAGGTCCCGGCCCTCGTAGCTCGCAACACTGGCCAGGCGAACATTGCATAGAGGCGCGTGATCCCAAGAGTGATGATGATTAGACCTACGCCTGTGTGTGATCACAATGCCGATAGATGGTCTCGATGAACTCCCATGCAAAAATTCCTGGTAAAAATTACGTGCTGAAAACACCCGCAGGTTCCTGGTGTTGCTTTGTGGTTGATCATCAACACCCGTGCTGTGAGTGGTAACGAATGTGGCCTATACGTGGAGCAGGCGAGACTTGGTTGGTTGATGATCACTGTAGAGTGGTTAGAGTACTTGCATCATCCTGCACTCGCGTGGCAGTATCCGTAGTATGTTACGTCTCAGCCGCCGACTCACGCGCTCAGAAACAGGTCACGATATAACTCAAACCCCGTCAAGGACTGGCTGCAGGCGGTGGTGGTGGACCGTCATGGGAAAACGAACGAAAGGATGTCGAGATTGTGCGAGGGCGGCATCATTGGCGATGTCGACGATACAGGAGTCGGGGTGGTTGGGTTGAACGTGGGCCGCCCGCCCCCGTAATTGCACATGTGCACATGTGTGTGTATGTACTTAAGTATGTGTGTATGTGTTTCCGCGTTCTGATGCGTTTTTTCTTCAAGTTCGTGGCTTCAATCTACCTAGGCACGCCACTGTGGGCATGTACTATCGCAACTATTGCGCACTAATCCAGTCAGAGATACCGTTTTGGGAATCCGCAGATAGACAGGGTTACAAATCTAGTCCAACAGGCGGTGGTAGTCAGGCCATTGATGGGACTGATTGATTACTGTGTAATTATCGATTCGATAGAGCGAAAGAGAAAAAAAGAAAAACCTACAAAAGATGACGACGCGTGGTCGTCGGCGGAGATTAGCTGGTGCGGCGGCCGTTCCAATGAAGCAACGTCGCGAGGGCACAGAGTAGCTGAGTAGTGCGTCTGGTCCGGGGCGCGGGCACTGTGTGGCAGCTGAGCATGGATGGCCCCCCTTGAGTCGCCTCATCCGCATGTCCGTGTCTGCCGGCCTGCCGTCCAGCACGCAAGCCCAGCCCAGCCCAGCCCATTCCCCAGGTTTTTCACCTGCATGTGCATTGTGGAGGGAATGTTTCAAGAGCTGCCATGTGAGCCTCGGGAATGTGTTTTTGCCGGACGTGATCGCGAACGTGGTGTTGGGGGCCCTGAGACATTGCGAAGGGAAGGACGTGGTTGCCCAGGTGTCATGTCCCCATATTCAGCCACGAGGTGTCAAGCCACCTCCCTGGAGAGTTGATCCCGGGGGGCGGGACATCTACGAACCCGTGACAAGCTGAACGGGGCGGACAGGCACGGACGGATGGACAGGGGACACGGAGAGGAAAATAAAGAGTTCCCCGGAACAAGGGCCCCAGGCACGGGGCATTTGAAGATGATGTGAATCTGGCTGCTACTAGCCGAGGCTGGCTGAGTATCGACCAGGCTGCCAGGTCGACATGACCTGGACCCAAAACCCTCATCAGGGCGATGGTAAGGCTGCCCGACGAGCCCTGAGGCACAGAGTCCTGACCCTATTGTCGATCGCGCACCGTATCGAGAAGCGAGGATCTTGGCCCGCTGCGGCTGGGGGTGGCCCTGGCGATTTGGCGGGTAATTGCGGCCGTTTCCAGGCATCCCATGCCAGTCATGCAGCCATCCACTCGAATTATTCGCTGGTTGCTTCTGGAAAGATGCGGGTTGTTGCTGTGGCTTGTGTATGTCCCGCATGTGGCCTAGTACAGTACATGTGTATATATTCACGGTAGTAGTACATGCAACTAATTAATTGCATGCAGCTATTCGGTGATTACACTATTGTATTGGTAGTTGCAATATGCAGCAAGACTGACGTCAGTCTGGGCTCATTTCCGTCACATATCAAGGCAGCTGGCTGCAGGGACAGCACCGTGGTCGACGTGGTGTATATATTGTGTGTATATGTGTGTATATGTATGCGATGTATACTTGGTGTGTAACATGGGATGTGCTGGTGGTGTGGCTGATGAGAATAGATGCCCTCAGAAATGGACCTTTGGGGAGTGACCTTAAAAGTGACCTTAATTAGTGACCTGTGGGACGGGAGCAGCAGGATCGATCATCATTATGAGGTGGAGCCCCTGAATGATCTGCCCTGTCGGTCGCGTCGGTGCATGCAGCAGCAGCAGCAGACAGCAGATGTCTCCCGTCATATCGCCGAGCCTGAACCCAAAAAAAGCCTCCCTGCATGGCATCCAGCAAAGCCATCCAGTCTTCTGAGACACTCGAGCAACTCAATTGCAGCAGGTGCAGGTACAGAGGCCAGAGGTCAGAGGCCAGAGAAAGTCTGGGTCGTCTGCTGATCCCTGCCCTCCTCCCGCTTATAACCGTACCACTGAACCAGTCTATCTGTGGTGTAGTAGTGTACCTACAGAGCCCACTTGCCCACCTAGGTAGGCACCGTGGTATCCGTACTAGGGACCTGGTCTACTGGTCTCCCCAACCCCCAATCCCCCATCCACCGTCTGCCCGCAGACCTCCCACAGGCCGTGACGTGAACCCTGCCTGCTTTGCGCCACAGCTTCATTCTTGGCCCACTTGCACCTGCACTTGGACTACCTGCCAGGCCTGGCTGCCTGTCGCCTGTCGCCTGTCGCCTGTCGCCTGTCGCCTGTCGCCTGTCGCCTGTCACTCACTCACACTGCTACGTCCGTCGTCCGTCGTGCCGTCCCATCTTCTCCATCCTGCTCCAGAAATGCCCCTCCTCGGCTCGAGTCGTCCTCGCCGTCGAGTCTTCTGAGCCTCACCTTTCTGTCTCATCTGCAGCGGTACCCAACGGCAACCACCAACGATTGATTGATTGCCCCCCCTGTTGCATCATATCTTAGCTCGAACCACCCGGCAAACGAGCCCCTGACCATCGACCATCGACCATCGACCATCGCCCACCATCGACCACCGAAATCCGCCTTGCGGCTCCACGATCAGATGCCCTCGCCCAGCCTCTCCTCGACTTTTGCTCCCACCCTCCTCCCATCCCATACGCCTGCCACCGACGACTCCCGACCGGCCAATTGCGCCCGCGCCTAACACCCAACACTTGAGCACTCTGGCGGCCAACGACTCCCGGCGGATTCGCGTTCGGGTCGGGGTCTCTAGCGGTGGGAGATGCAGCCGGCACGCAGAGTAGCCGACGAGAAGAAGGCAAAGCTCAACCGCTCCTACCAGGAGCTGCTCGATGAGTTCTCGAACAGGGACCTCAAGACCGTCGGCAACTACCAGCTCGGCCGCCTCATCGGCAAGGGCTCCTTCGGCAAGGTCTACCTGGCCTCGCACAAGCTCACAAATGGATCAAAGGCATGTCATGGAAGATGCAAGTACCGGTGGAGGGCACACCTTGGCTGACTCCCACCTCTGCCCGTCTAGGTCGTGCTCAAGTCCGCAAAGAAGGATGACTCCAACCTCGCCAGGGAGATCCACCACCACCGCCAGTTCGTCCACCCGCACATCGCGAGGCTGTACGAGGTGGTGGTGACCGAGAACCTGGTATGGATGGTCATGGAATATTGCTCAGGTAAGAGGCACCATGATCCATTCCATCATGCTCATGCGCTGACAGCTGACACCCCGGCCCAGGCGAGGAACTCTACGACTACCTCCTCCGACACGGCAAGCTGCCCGTCGACAAGGTCCAGAAGAGCTTCACCCAGCTCGTCGGCGCCGTCGCCTACGTCCACCAGCAGAACTGCGTCCACCGCGACCTCAAGCTCGAGAACATCCTGCTCGACAAGAACGAGAACGTCAAGCTGCTCGACTTTGGTTTTGCGCGCGAGTACGAGGGCAAGACAAACTACCTGCAGACCTTCTGCGGCACGATATGCTACTCCGCCCCCGAGATGCTCAAGGGGGAGAAGTACGCCGGCGAAAAGGTTGATGTCTGGAGCCTGGGTATCATACTATACGCCCTCTTGTGCGGCGAGCTGCCCTTTGACGACGACGACGACGACACCACGCGGCGCAAGATCCTCGGCGAGGAGCCCAGCTATCCCGACCATATACCGCCAGACGCCCTGTCCCTCCTGAAACAGCTGCTATCAAAACGTCCCTTCCCCCGGCCCGCCCTGTCCGACATCCTCAACCACCCATTCCTTTCCGAGCACGCCCCGGAGCAGCGCGCCATCCTCACCAAGGAGCGGCTGGAACCATTCAGCTCGGCGTTGGAACGAGACTGTCTGCACCGCATGAAGAGCGCTGGCGTGAACATTGACCATGTGATAGAATCCGTCCTGGCCCAGAAATGTGATACCCTCGCCGGCTGGTGGACGCTCCTGCTGGAGAAGGAGGAGCGGAAGCAGAAGAGGAGAGAGAGGAAGCGCAAGGAGAAGGAGACGGACCGCAGGGGCTCACGCCGCTTCTCCCAGGCCTCCAGCCGCCTCGAACGACTAGCACCCGTCGGCGAGGAGGGATCATTCGTTAAGCTCGGCGACCCACCTGCGCCCAGGCCACGGGGCCGCTCCGAGAGGAGAAGCGGGTACTACCCGGAGTTCCAGATCACGGACCTCCCAGGGCTCCCTGAGGCGGGCAAGTCAAACCTCACGCTCAGCCCAGATACCGACAACCCGCCGCCCCCGATAGACAAGGATTCGATCCGCTCCGTCAGCACGTCACGCAACCGGAGGCCCATACCGCCGCCTAAGGAGGGCGTGCCCGGCGTGCTCCGCAGTGCGCGGTCCAGAGGGTCGACGCTGCACCTCGTCACGACGAGCGAAGCCCTGGTGGGCAGGGGCGGCAGCAGCAGGGGGTTGGATTCCGACACGACCCCACAGCAGAAGGTGCGCAAACGGCCATCCCAGGGGATCATGGCCCACTGGAAGAACCTCACCAACTGGCTCGTCGAGAGCACACGGCGGCACAAGAACAACAACAGGAGCCAGAGCCATTCGACCCCTGACCTGCGTGCTAAGAGCCGAGCCGGGAAGGAGGGCAGGTTGTCCAAGGAGAACAGCCCCAGGCCCCACACCGGAAAGAACCTCCCGACACACACACCACAGGCGGCCGTGTCCCAGCTGCCCCAGAATCTTGTCGTGAACGGGTTCGCAAGGAAACCTGTGGGGTCATCGGGGCAGCCGACGGCCAGCGCACTCAGCAGCCCATCTACCCCGGGCGGCTTCTCCACATCCGGCGGCCCGTCTGTCCATCGTCGCGTGCCGACCGGGCACTCGTACAAGAGACAGTCTCTCTCGCCGTCCCCCATCACACCACGATCTGCCGTCCGCCGCTCCTCGGCAGGCCTCCGTGGTCGCAAGTCCACATCCTCATCCGTGTCCTCTGTGCGGTCCATGCACCACGCCCAGCACCACCATTCCCACTCCAAGGCTTCATCCACGTCGTCTACCAACTCTGTTTCCACCAACATGTCCAAGACCCCCATGCAGACAGGCCGCAGTCCTCACCACTCCGTAAAGGTCCTCCCCGCCACGCCCACCAGCACGACCCACTTCCCCAGCAATATCCGACTCGTCCGAGGCGCAGGGCCACCCCTTGCCCTGTACAACGAGGCAGCCCCAGCCAGCGGCGGCGGCAGCCGCAGCGGTGGCAGGTTAGCAGCGAGCCCCATGATCCCACCGGCGCCGGGCTCGCCCAACCCGTTCGGTTCCTTCGGCGAGCGCAGCATGCCCTTCTTCGCCAAGCGCAAGCGCAACGTGTTCAAGGGCCCATCCCTGGCGTTCGGCGGGGGCGGCAGCAGCAACCGGAGCGCCAGCGGGAGCAACCACGGCAGCACGCCGTCGCACAGCCGCAGCGCGAGCAGCGACCGCATGGGCGGGGGCCGGCGCAGCGGCGAGATCGCCGCCGTGCAGGAGGAGGACGAGGACGAGGAGGTGCTCGAGATGGCGGACGAGATGCTCGAGGAGGACGAGGACGAGGACGACCGCGACACGGTTAAGTTCCGGAGCCTGGCGGAGGAGGACGAGGACGAGGTCGAGGAGGTCGAGAGCTTCACGCCCGTGGTGCGGGGGCCCGGGGAGGAGGTCGAGGAGCGCATCTTCGAGCCGGGCGAGCTGGAGGGAAAGGCCCAGAACGGCGCTGCCAAGGAGCATGACGAGGAGGTGGCTGCTGTGGGCGGCCACGGCGGCGCCGCGCTCACTGCTGCTGCTGGTGCTGGCACGACGACTACTGTGAGCTGAGGTCATGCATGACAGGGGGCTTTGTGCACGACTGTGAGCTAGGCGGCTGTTACTTGAAGCCTGGTGTTCGAGTATGCGGCAAGACGGAACGCATTCACGAACGACGCCGTCACCTCACCCACCCACCACCACAGCAGCAGCCAACGTCTTGGCCTGCGATTACTCACGACAACCATCATCACCACCAGCATCATGACCACCGCAATATGGACAGCAGCAGCAACACATTACTTTAATTACCACAACAAGCTTCAGACATTTTTACACCGGCGCTATGGGGGGATCCTACCACATACCAACGGCTTTTTTGGTGGGCCGCAAGATACCACATTTTCTCTTCCTTTCCATGTCCAATTCTATCATCTCTATCTGTCTTGGAGCTTCTGCTTTTTCTTCTTCTTCTTCCCTACCGATGTCTTAAGAAAGCTTACTCGACCTAAATTCCAATTCTTCCGTCCATCTATCTATCGACGAACAAACGAACCCCATTCCGGAACGGGACGCCTTGCGACGGATAGATATCACCTGCTGCTTGTTCTATGCTGGACTTTGGACTTGGTCGCATACCCATTCACCCATCTACTCGCCTACTTACGTACCTCATTCCATCTGTCCGCATGCACACCTTTCCTCCACAGTCCGATCACCTCACAGCAGCGGGTGGATAACCTTGGAGGAGGCGTTACTTGACCATCTGAGGCACCAACCCACCCAGCCACCCACCCATCTACCCGCTGATATCCCGACTTCCCTCCCTGTCTTGAAAGGAACCACCACTACCTACTACTGTACCAAAACGCCGCCTGTCCGTCCGTTTGTCTCTATGTATCACCCCATTTCTTGATTCTACCTCTGTATTTTTTCTATCTTTTCTATCTCGTGTACTTTAGCCTTAAACCAAACCCACCCGCCCTCCTGGTGGGATCTTCTTCCACCACCCCGGGCAAATTTTTTTCATTACCACCTCCTCAGTGATACCTCTGAATAAACAATTACTTGGCCCTTTCTTGGGATTCTCTTATTGTGTCTCCCCCCCCCTTGCTTTGAACGTCTCACCGGTCGTGGCCTGGCCCGGTTTGGATAGATGCTGTTTGTGCGGGGAGGTTGGTTTGTGTCTGTCTGTCTCTGAGGAGATGGGCTGTGTGTGTGTGTGTGTGTGTGTGTCCCTCCCTATGCTATGGGTGCCATGTGTGACTTGTTGACTTGTCCCCCTCTGGGGGTATTTGCTTGGTTGGTGATCACGTCGCCGGCTGGGCCCTGCTGGATGGAGCCGGCCCTTCCTGGGTGAAGCTTGTGCTCGGACTGGTTGTCTTGTTGGGGGTATTATTAAGTGTGCTGCCTGGCTGCCTGGCTGCCTGGCACGACATGAGGCGGGCCTCGTAAATACATTGTTAAATGGTGTTTGCGTGCGTGCGTGTGTGTGTGTTTGAGCTTGAGGAATTGATGCGGCATTGCATCGCATCGCATCACGACGCGACGGGCCCCGGACCATCCCCTTCCCCCCCCCCCCCTCACTCACTCACACCACACCACCCACCAGCCACGCGGGCCTCTCCCCACCCCCCATAGAAACAGCCATATCCACCAGCGCGTCGCCAAACCCGACCCCCCCAGCCGCAGCCGCAGCCTTGCCCCCGTGGCCCCGTGCCCGCCTCAACAGACCCCTCCTCCCAGCCTCGATCTTGCGCACCGTGTCGACACTGACGGCCAGGCCCGCGTCGACCTGCTTGAGGGAGGGGTCCCCCATGGTGGCGAGGGCGAACAGGCCCAGGCTGGAGTGGTAGATGTCGGGCGGGTCGGCGGCGCGCTTGCCGAAGCCGCCGATGGCGTGCTGCGTCTTGTCGAGGAGGAAGGCGCGGGCTGCTGCCAGGGCGTGGGGGTCGACGACTGCTGGTGGTGGTGGTGTGTGTTGTTGTTGGTGGTGGTCGCCGTCCAGGACGCCCAGGATGGACAGGGACCCCAGCACCCACCACGTGTAGCACGTGTCTGCGGTCTTGTTGCAGCGGCCGTTGAAGCCGACGTGGCTTGTTGTTGTTGTTGTCGTCGTCGTTGCGCCGTCCGAGAGCGAGAGGCCCGCCATCCTGAAGTTTGCCGTCTCCGGGTCCTCGTCGTCGTTGCTGTCGTCCTCGTCGCCACCGTTCTTGTCTCCCCCTTGGGCCTCGAGGTATGCGAACTGTCTCGAGACGAGGAAGGAGATGAAGCGCGGGATGTCGCCTATCCCCTCCTGGAGGATCCTGCTCTGTGTGTAGTGCGGAGACGGCGGTGGTGTCTGTTGTTGTTGTTGTTGTTGTTGTTGTTGTTGATCTTGTCGCCCCGCGGCGTCGACAGGCCGGTCCAGCAGCGCCAGGGCGGCGACGGCGCAGTAGGCGTAGCCGGCGTGGCTCTCGTGGCCCAGGCTCTCGGAGAAGCCGCCGTCGTACGACTGGCTGCGGCGGATGTGGCGCACCAGCGCGGCGACGTCAATGTCCTCGACGTACGCGCCGTCGCCGCCGCCGTCGCCCTCGGCCACGTCGCCACGCAGGACCCAGCGGATCGTCGCGGCGAGGTAGCAGTACCGCATGTCCTTGCCCCCGCCGACGATATACCTCCTCGTCCTCCTGTTCTTCTCTCCTGTGTGATGATCATCGTCCTCCTCCCCGTCGTTGTCACCACCACCACCAAAAGAGGGCACCTCGTAGACAACCTCCCCAAAGCTCCCGTCGCCGTCGACCCGCTGCAGCCGCCGCAGCCACCGCAGCGTCCTGGCGCGGTCGACGCCGGCGTACGCGCCGCCCTCCGCGTGGCCCGGCTCCGTCAGCATGGGCAGGAGCAGCAGCGCGAAGTAGGTCGCCGCGATGTTTGCGTTGCCGCTTCCCCCGGAGTGCGTGTCGTCGTCGTCGTCGTCGTCGTCGGCGCGCGGGAAGACGTGGGTCGGGCTGCCGCAGAAGCCGCCGTGGGGGTGCTGGCAGGCGAGGACCCAGGCGCGGAGGGAGCGGCGGTCGGCGGGGGTCAGTAAGGGCTTGGTTTCCGGGTCATTGTCGACGGACAGCAGGTCGAGGGCGGCGATGATGAAGAAGCCCAGGGTCAGGCGCTGGCTGTCGTTTGGGGTGTAGTGGTGCGGGAGGAGGGTGCGGGCGCAGCGCTGCCAGTAGCGGAGGTGGCGGGGTTTGTCGAGGGGAGGGTCGAAGGGGGCGGAGGGTGTTGTTGCTGACATGATGGGTTGGCTGTTGAAGTGGAAGTGTGCAGGATATCAGGATATCTGGTCTGCAATATCGTCATTCGTATTTGGTGTATATAGTCTAGGTTAAAATGTCCCAAATCTGGACGGGAGCTACCCCAAGAAACGGAGGGTACTTGCAAGAGGTACCGCGGTACGGAGGACTACACTACCGACCTGCCAAAAAGCTACCCCTGCCAGGTGGGGCCCCTCCCGCCGGTCCCTTTTCAGGGCAGCCGCGGCCAGAACTGCCAGACTGGACCCTGGCCCGGTGGGGGCGCCCAATCAGCCGGGCAGGGCTGCTTGCTGTTACGTGCAGCAGCAGGGAAGCACGGGACACAAGGCGGCATGTGAACACTGGGCAGCAAGCTGGCAGCACTGGCCAGGCAAGCTCAAGCTCCCAACGCTGTTGAAGTCGACACTACTGCAGCCAAGCACGAGGTCGCATGCCACTCACACCCTCCTACGGCCCTCCCTCTCTCGCTGTCCGAGAAGTCGGTCCACCCCATCACGCCTCGTCCGTCGTCTCCCCCCCCCCCCCCCAAAGCTTGACTGCCATACGGCGGTGCTTCACTACGTTATCACCACGTTGCCCTCCCTCGACCTGACTGACCTGGCAGCACCAACAAACACGACCACGAAGCAATACAGACCAACCCACCACCACCACCACCACCAAGATGGCCCTCATATCCGCAAAGACAATCATCACCTCCCTCTCGCTCTTCCACGTCACCCTGGGCTTCTTCTTCCTCACCAACCCCATGACCATCGCCGACCAGGCCCTCGTCTACGTCCTGGGCGAGGCCATGGGCATGCCCTACGACCGCTCCTTCGAGGCCCACTCGCCCGCCCTCGCCTTCCTCGCCGTCGTCCTGGCCACCATGGGCCTGACCGACCTGGTCTCGCTGAGCCTGCCCGAGGAGGTCGCCCTGTTTGAGCACTGGGGGACTCAGGGTATGTCGCCCTGCCCTGCCCTGCCCTGCCCTGCCCTGCCCTGCCCTGCCCTGCCCTGCCTTGCATTGTCCCCAGGGCAGAACAGAGCAGCTGACTGACTGACTGACTGACTGGCTGACAAACAAACCAATCCAGCCCCCGTCCGCCTCCTCCTCTCCTTCATCCTCATCACCTACTCCTTCCTCTTCTCGCCCTCGAGCCCCATCTTCGGCGACTCGTCCACCGCCCGCGCCCGCATGACCCACCCCCCGCCGGGCTACGCCGCCAGCACCTGGGGCGGCGACGGGCTCAAGAACAGGGTCTTCTTCGCCTTCGCCTTCGTCGAGGTCGTCAGCTGGTTCTGGGTCTGGGTCACGCTGCGCGAGGAGCGGCAGGCCGGCCTCGCGGCCAGGAGGGGCGGGCCCGGGCCCAAGAGGAGGGCGAGCAGCGCGAGGGTGTGATTTGCTTTGGACGTGTGTGCTCTCGGGGAGATGGGTGGGGTAAAGGGGAGATCCCCGGGGCCAAAAAACGGGTTGGGGGTTGCCTTGGCTCACTTTGGGATAAGACAAGGATGGAGAGGGTGGAATGGATAGTGTATCTATACGTTGGGGGCGCGTTGGGACATACCGCAACGACACGAATCACGACGACTGCATTGCAAGGAGTTTGTTTATTACAACTGGAATTTGGACTCAGCAAGTTAGTTGATAACGGGCACAAGGCACACCGGCAGACGGGGCTGGGCTTTCATTCCTCTCTTGTTCATGTGAAGGCGACAATATCACCCAGCCCGGCAGAGGGGAGGATGGATGGATATACCCAAATACACCAACCGCAAAAAATTCAAATACCCGACTTTTTCTATCTCCGATAACTCCTCGTTCTATGTAAAAGTACCTTCTTCCTCTTGCTCAAAACATAACCACATCCGCCAGAAAAAAACTCACCTCACTCCATCCCCCCCAGCGCAAACCCCTTGACCCCATCCCTCCAGCTCTCGACAACCCGCCCGCCCCACTCCTCAACCTCAGCCTCGCCAACGACCTCCCTCACAAGCCCCGCCACCCCATCATCATCCCCATCACCACCGTCCCCAAACGCCCACCCCTCCACCCGGTCAAGCCACCCCCCGAGCCCAAGCACCCCCCTCAGCTCCCCGACCCTCCCCCTCAGCCCGCCCAGGACCTCCCCCGCGCGCCCCTCGAGCCCCCGCACGGCGGCGAGGACCTCCCTGTGCAGCCCGCCGCGCCCGGACCTGTCCCGCGCGCTCTCGTCCGCGTGGCTGGCGAGCAGCGCCGCGGCCGCCCACCGCGCCGCGAGGGCCGCGTCGCGGAGGGCCGAGAGGGACAGCGGGCTGGTCAGGTGGTGCAGCACGGCGCCCTCGCCGCCGGGGAGGCGCGCCATCCCCGGGGGCACGCCGCCGCCGCCGAGGACGCTGGCGTGCAGGGCGTCGAGGGCCGCGTGGGCCGTCGCGGCTGCTGCTGTGAATGTGGCTGGTGCGGGCGCTGATGCGCTCTTGGGCGTCTCGAGGGCCGTGCGGGTGAGGGTTGATAGGGCTGCTATCAGGGTGTAGTATTTTTGTTCGTCTGGGGTGAGGAGTTGGGGCTGGGTGGTGGCTGTGGTGCGGTGGAGGAGGGTGGAGAGGGACTCGGAGAGGCGGGCGTGGGTCTCTACCTGGTGGGCCTTGTCGCGGGCTGCCGCCTCTGCTGCTTTCGCTGGCTTGTAGTCCTTTGGGGGCTTGTGGGTTATTGTGTCTAGGAAGTGCTCTGTCAGGAGGGCCAGGCGGGTTCGTTCGTCCTGGCGGTTGGCGTTAGTGTGATGTTTTCGTTCACGGTGAGTTGTTGGGTGGGCAAGAAGGGAGTTGGGGGGAGGACGTGGAAGGGAGTCAAGGGGAGAGGGCTCACCGAGAGTGCCGGGCCGAGCCTCACGATCTCGTGCAGCGGCGCGGCGTGGGGGCTCTCCAGGTTCGGGAAGGACCCGTAGTCGACGGCGTTGACGAAGGTCGTGTCGTCCGTGATGTGTGCTGCTGCAGGTCAGCGTTGTTTATTCATTGCAAAAGAATGCCTCATGACAGGAGTGCAAACTCACCCAGCAGAGGCGACTGCTCAATCCCGCCACCCTCCATCTTACCCCCGAGCGCCCGCGCCGCCCGCCTCTCCTCGACAACAGCCATGGCCAGCGTGCAGCTGCGCCGCAGCCGGTCCGAGTACGCCGCCATGTCGAGGACGGAGCAGTAGCTCCCCGCCGCGAAGGCGTCCCAGATCTTGACGGGCGACCTGTCCCTCAGGCAGCCCGAGTAATACGACGACAGCGGCTCGGTGAGGCTGCTGCTGCCGCTGCTGTTCTGCCTGCCCGCGGGGGGGTGGAACAGGCCCGGCGCCACCCCGGACAGCCGGTCGAAGAAGAGCGGGCTCAGCGCGTCCTGGATGGTCCGCTTGACGTCGGTGGGCACCCACGCCGCGTGCGCCAGCGAGCCGCACCCCAGGAGGAGGTACACGCGCACCAGCAGGAGGCGCAGGGGCATCTCGTCGGGCGTGCGGGACAGCTGCGCCGCGAGGAGCATGGCCGCCTGGAGGAGGCGGGCGGGGCGGGCGGCGCTGCCCAGCGGGGACGACAGCCGGCTGGGCGCCCCGAGGCCGCTCAGCTTGAGCAGGGCCGAGGACGCGGCCAGGGCCAGGTCGACGTGCGGGTCCTTGTCGAGGGCCCTCGTTGTCGCCTCGGGGGTCTTGTCGAGGTTCTTGTAGGCCGTGAGGGCGTCTGTTGCGACGGCCTCTAGGCAGGCTGTGCAGTTCCCGGCCGTGGTTGTTGTGGAGCAGAACCTGCACCTGAGCTGTGCGTCGCCGGCCTCGGTTGTGGTGGCGGTGGGCTCCTGTGTCAGGGGGCATGTTGTCAGGAAGTACCTGAACTTGATCTCGAGGACGCGGACGACGAGCTGTCTCTGGGCGTCTGGTGTCTGTTGCGGGGGGGGGAGAGGATCGACCCCGTCGGTCAGCTGGCTGGGTTGAACCCTACGTGCCTTGGGCCAGGGGAAGAGAGAACAGCAGCAAGCGACTTACCTTTCCGGCCACGGTCTTGCCCAGGTTGTCGACAAAGTGTCTGGCCTCCTCGAACGTCAGCCGCGACACGTACTCCTTGACGTCGTCGAACGTGGCGCGCTGCAGCAGGTGCTGCTCGACGAACAGGTACAGCTGGACGACGCGGTACGACGGCCTGCCCGGGTCGAGGCCCTGGGGCACGAGGGCGGCGGGCGCGCTGAAGGCGAGCTCGAGGAGCGCGAGGCCGATGTTCTTCTTGTACATTGGCGCCACGCCCTGCTGGACGGCGACGAACCTCTGCAGCACCTCCTGGACCTCGGCGAAGGCGCTGGACATGTCGTCAGAACAGGGACAAGGGCGATGAACGACCAAGGGAAAGGAATAGGAAAGGGGCAGCAGCTCTTGCTTACGCCTCGACGTCCCCCTGCATGCCCGCAGACCTGACAAACAGCTTCCACGTCCTCATGTCAAGGGCGAGGAACGACGGCCTGCCGTCCGCGTCCTCCTTGCTCAGCGCCTGGCGGCACGTGTTGTAGATGGTCTCCCAGTCGCCGGCCTCCCGCAGGGTCTCGAGGCCCTGCTGGAGGAGGTGCTTCCGGCCCAGGCCGAACTGCTCGAGCACGCCTATCGGGCTGCTCCTGTCAGAAGCCGAGGAGAGCGACTTGAGGTAGGCGTCCTTGCCGGCCACGTGGTAGTAGAGGTTGATCTCCTCCTCCTCGCGCAGGCCGCGGCCCGTGGCCTTTGGGTCGGAGGCTATGGCGGCGGCCTTCTCGAGCTGCATGCGCGACAGCTTGCCGAACATGACCCTCATGTTCTCCGGGCACTGCGGGCTGGTCTGCGCCTGTCAGTGTGACGGGGGCCATGAGATGTAGAACGGATAGACAAACTCACAGAAAGCAGGTGGGTCAGGGTGATGTTCCAGAACGTGTTCTTGCCATTGTTGGTCCCCGGCTGGCCCTTGTCCAGCGTGGCCGCGATCTGTATTGTATAATTGTGTCAGCAAGGGGAATGAATGACAAGCCGCCAACACAGACACACCTGCTGGGCATTCACGAGGTCCCAGGCGAGCACGCAGGCCTTGAGGCACTCGACCACGCCGGGGCTGGCCGGGTTCGCCTTTGCCCACCGCGCCCGCAGGACGCCGACGGTCTGCGCGTAGTCGAGGGGCGGCGCGGCCTCCCTCAGCGCCCACTCGTACAGCTCGATGGAGTCGAGGTCGGGCACGGCGGCCTTGTCCCTGGCCAGGGCGTCGACGGCGAACACGACGGCCGACTTTTCTGTCACCGTGTCCATCTGGGACTCTGCGCAGACCCTGACTGCCTGTGTTGTTTGTTTGTCAGTCAAGATGTTGTTCCAAGACGGGATATCAGGCAGGCAGGCCAACCTCATAGTAAGGGTCCTTCTTGGCCTTGAAGCGCTGGGCGGCGAGGCGCGCGACGTTGGACCAGAGGCCCTCGTTAAAGGCCGTCTGCAGCTGCACGTCGACGCTGTTCTTGAGCGCGGGCCGGTAGTACCTGCTGCCGTACATGGTGGGCGTGGGCGTTTGTGGCCTAGGCAAGCAGTATGGCGGTTATCATGCGATCAGCCGGTCGAATCGAATCTGTCTGGCGGCAGTTGTCGTATGTGCTCCGTACGTAATGCTGCCGAGCAAGGAGGAATGTGCCGCTCGGGGAAATATGGCTGCAGAGACAGACAGACTCGACCATGCGATCTGGTGATATTACTCGGACCTGGTATGTATGAAAGGTGTGTTTCTTGAAATAAACCACTTCATCCTCCCCTGTAAACCCGGTCGAAATGTATGGCGAGAATTTCGCACGGTGGCTCCAACGAGTGAATGCAGGACTCACTGTTGGAGTCGCAGCCTCTGTTTTGTGCCCACCTGGTCCGTGCGGCAGGCCTAAATGACCTACAAAGACGGTGTCTGTAAGCCTTACAAGGCACCTCGAATGTTTAGAGCTGACCTGGAGTACGAACAAAGGTATCTCTTCAGATCCAGTGTCGTCGATTTTTGAGACCATTCCTTCTCATTTCTGCCCATGTTTGTGACCCATCTTAGCACCCATGGGCCGATCAAGGACTAACTTTCCCATAACCTTGAAATATGACCCTTCTTCATCTTTGGCCATGGCCCATTTCCAAGCTACGAAACGCAAAACCAAGGCGGCCAAGCCTGAGCAACGCTGCATGGATCTGCGCCCTTGGGCCGCAAGCTTTTACTTTCCTTATAAATGATACAATTTTATTACAGTGATTTCTCAGCTGACGAGGCATGGTCGCATCCCGGCAAAGCTAATCGAGGGACTGCGGCTAGCCCCAAAACCAAGCATGCAGGGCACGCCAACCCAGGTCACTGATCGTCGCACGCATGCACGCCAGGATGCACCGCATGGCGGGAACCGCTGCGGCCAGGTGTGACACGCGATACAGAGGAGGACCTGGCACTTTCGACCTCGCCTGCCAGTCCAGCCGACACCCTTCCAGCCAAACGACCCTGGTGACCCCAACCAGATCTCAATGAGATATCGCCGCCCCTCCTCGCAATACCGATAGACAGGCGGCCAGTGGGCGTGTGCGCATGTGCTCGTGCTGCGGTATGGTTGGTTGCCGGTCCGGGCGGCCGTGATGGTCGGTCATCGCCGCGTCGATCGCATCCCGCCCGTCCGTCGCCTGTTCGTCTCGGCCTACCAGGGGAAACATCGTCGTGTCCCTCGACATCTCGTCCTCCTCATCGCAGTCGCTCATGCCCTACCTAACCAAAAAGCCCGCCACCCTCAGCCTTCCGCTTGTTGATCTGTCCCGCCGTCAGCAAAAGCCCAGCCCAGCCCGGCCCAGCGATGTCGTTCATGTTCGTGGTTCATGTTTCATACCCAGTTCTTCTTACACTCCCTGTAAGCCCTGCACAAAAGACTCCAGTCAGCCATGAGTGTTCCCGCTCTACCCAACGATCCCCCTCCCAACCGCCAGCCAGAACCAGCTCGGGCATCGTAACGTCGTGGGGGAAACGGGGCACACGCACTCGAAGTAGTCCTGGCACATGGCCCTGTCGCCGCCGTTGCGGTTGAGGCACTTGATGCTCTTGGAGGCCGCCTCCTGGCACGGGTCGAGCCACTTGCTCTTGCTCTTGCTAGACGACGGGACAGCACGCGCCGCGTTAGCCCGAGGGGATGGATGCGCCCAGCGCAGGGCGGGCAGGGGGCGGGGCGGGGTGGGGTGGCGGCTGCCCAACCCACCTGTTGAACTTCTCCTTGGTGTTCTCGTTCCAGGGGTCTTCCTCGCCCTTGTCAGCTTGGGGCGCCATCTTGTCGGTCGCTGGTGCCGCGGCGCATCTGGTGGTGGTGGTGGGTTGCGAAGGGACGGTTTTGTGGGCGGAAGAGGAGGGGAGAGAAGGTCGGCTGCTGGTGACGTCCTGAATTCGATGGACTGGGGACGGGGGGCAGGGAGCTGCGATAAGATAAGAGCTCCGCTGCGTATTATGTCAGCGCTCTCTGGCGGTCCAACTCCACCCCCCCCCCCCCCCTCGGATCACCATAGTACATGCAGGACAGCTTCCATGTTCATACACCCACCCCCTCGTCAAATGCAGATTATTAATTGCCAACAATTGCGCTTCAATTTTCCATGCTGCAAATTATGGACGGACTAATGTACAGGCGCACCCAACGCCATATCGAAGCGCAGACCGCAGAACCGCCCCCCTGTCCCCTGTCGTGAATGAATAGTGTTACATAAGTTCTGTACAAAGCTCCCACAATCATAAATGCATCAATCAGCCCCCCTCGTGTTGTTGACTTGTCGGGTCTTGCTCATCAAGAACCATCCGATGCCTGCTGCTGCTGCTGCTCCAGCCTCTGCCTCTGCCTCTGCCTCTCCTTCTTCTTCTCCTTCAGCAAGCCGGCATGTGAGGGGCGGAAGTCGTGGTGATACCGGCTCCGGCTCTTATTAGCCAGCCTCGCGTGCTTCTCCTTCCTGGCCCTCTGCTGCTTCAGCCTGTTGTTAGTCTGCTTCTTCTTCTTCTTCCGCTCGAGCCTCTCCTCTGGCTTCTCTTCTTCCTCTTGCTCTGGCACCTGCTCCAGCTCTTGCCGCCGCTGCTCCTCCGCCCTCCGCTCCTTAGGCGACGGGGCTTCTGAGCGCTGCGACCTCTCCCGAGCGGGCTCGTCATCATCGCCACCACCACCGCCAACAGCAACGTCGACGGGAGCACAAGGCTCGGGGCCTTCGTTCTGCGGGTCGTTGTGGTCATTGCTCGGCTCTTCTTCTTGCATGGCGAACACCTGGACGGGGGCATGCCGTGCCGCGCGGTCCATCATGTCAAAGTGGACGCGCTGGTGCGCCTCGAGCGCCGCCGAGTGGTGGCCGTGGCCGTGTCCGTGTCCATCACCAGCCGGCCCCTTCCCGAGCGTGCTCTCGAGGAACGCCCAGTCGTCAAACAGCATGCGGCGGAACCGCTCCTCGACGACGCACTGCTGCAGCTGCGCCTCGATGATGGCCGGCGTCGAGGTTGGCTGTCCGCCCGGCTGCTGGTCCGGGCTGGCCTCGGCCTCCTTGCCGGACAGCGAGTCGTTCTTATCGTCCATGTCCAGCGGCACCCCGGGGCCGGCGTCATCTGCGCCCGAGTCGTCGGTGGGCGGGCTCGACCCGACGCCGCTATCGTCGTCGTCGTCGTCGTCAGCGTCAGCCTCCTCCTCCCCGGGGTCGAGGCCCGGCTCGCGCCTGGCGGGCGAGGACACGATCAGCTCGAGCTCCAGCGCGCGGCGGTGGGCCCTCTCGAGCGCGACCTCCTTGCGCACCTCCTCGAGCGCGGCGAGCTCGTCCTCCTCCTGCTGCTGGAGGAGCACAGACTCCCTGTGCGCGCGGTTCTCCTTCTGTCTCGCCTTCTTGGCCTGCCTCTTGGCCCTTTTCGTCTCGCGGTGATCTTCCTCCCTGGGGTCGGGCTCTCGGCTGGCGTCGCGCCTGCGCTTGCTCGTCTGGGCCGAGGGCGGTGCTTCTTCGCAGTCTGGCTCGATCTTGACTGGGTCTGTCCTGGGGCTGCTTTCAGGCAGAAGTGGCCGGTCGACTCGGGCTGAGTATTGTCGGAGAGACGGGGCCTGTGCCCCCTGCACATGCAGCTCATCGGCGTCGATGGCTGGTAGCTCGGGTTCGGGGCCCACCTCCTGCTCCTCTTCCAGCATGTCCTCCAGGAGGTCATAGTCCGATTCGCTGCCCGATGACAGCTCAATCACCTCGTGCTGGTTGCTCTCCCCCCGTGGGGGCTTCTCGTCGATGGCTGGGATGTCAGCCAGCCCTCTCCCGAGGAACGGCGACAGCCCTTCACCAGCCTCCTCCTTCTTCACAGGCCGGGCGTCCCGCTCATCTTCGCTCTCTGCACTGGACGCATCGTGAATGACGGTGGCCTCCTCCCTCTTCGAGGGACTTGTGATGATTGGCGCGGATTTGACAGGGCTCCTCTGGCTGGATTGCTTGCGCGGCAGCGGTGGCGGCGGCATCATCTTGGCCAGGCTCCCTCTGAGATGACCGCCCGCCACGGGACCCCCGGCCCGCCCCTCCGTCTTGACGAGAGGGTTCTCCTGCTCGTATTCGCTTTCCGAGTCGTGGACGATGGTGGCCTCCTCTCTCTTCGAGGGGCTTGTGATAACGGATGAGGGTTTGATAGGGCCCCGCCGCCTGCCAGGCGACGGCGGCGGTGCTGGCTTCCTCACGGGGCTCTTCCCGGGGGACCCAGCCGCAGCGCGGAGAGGGGGCTGGGACCACGGCAGCGAGGAGGGCGACCTGTTGCACGCGGACATGTCGCGGAACGCACCTTCCATGAGGTCCTGGTCCGTGATGAAGTCGTCGGCGTCCTCCGAGTCGGACGGAACGCGGATCACGGGCTGGCCGGGCCCGGGCAGCTGGGGCGTCCTGTCGCGGCGCTTCGCGGCGGCGCGGGTGGTGGGCGAGGAGGGCAGCGGCGCGGCTGGCGATGACGGGCCGGCCTTGACGGGTGTTGCCTTGTTGGTCGGTGTCGACGTCGCGGCTCCTGCCCTGTCGGCGCGCGAGGGTGATGGTGGTGGTGGGTTTGATTGGGCGCGGCGGCGTGGCGATGGGGGCGGCGCGACGGCCTTGCGGGTGGCGGTCGCGCTGCCTAGCTTTCGGACTGATCGCGCCATCCTGAGGGTGTGTTTGTTGGTGGTGTTGCTTTCATCAGAGAGCCCGTCGCCGTCGCCGTCGTCGTCTGAGAGGACGTTGTTGATGTCGTACGGGTCTGGTTTGGACGTGGGAAGGCTGCGCGCGGTGGCAGGCGTGGTGGTGGCAGTAATAGCAGTGGAAGTGGCGGTGGGAGTAGCCCTGACGCGTGGGTGTTGCTGCGAGTGAGCCCTGGACGCGTCGTCAGGCGGTTCGGGGTGGTTGGAGGAGGAGGTCTGAGGGGCGGCGGGGTGTGGTTGCGACGCGGCTGATTGCTGGGAGAAGAGGTCCTCCGAGAAAGGGTCCTGCGAGTCTGGGATGACAAGCTGGGAATCCTGGAGGTTGGGTGGGACTTCTTGGTGGTGGTCGTCGTGTTGTTTTTTGGGCGACGAAGGTGGCGGGGTTGCGATGCGCGCTTCGGCTGGTGCGGCAACCAGCGTCCTCCCCTCTAGGCCATCCGCGTCGTCGCCCACCAGCGTGTCGTCGCCAGGCCCCTCTTCTTCTTGCTGCTCACTGTCAGAAGAAGAAGAATTCCCCCCCACCTTCTCCAGCGCCGGCGAGGGCAGGCTCCTGTTGGCTGCTGCTGCAGGTCGCCTCCTGGGGACGACGGGCTCCTGCGCCGCCGCCATCTGCGCAATGGCCAGCGCCCTCTGCGAAGGCGTCACCCTAGGCCCGGCAGGCCTCTTGCTGCCGCCCGCCTTTGACCCTGACGCCGCGCCCTGCTGCGACGACGACGACGACGACGACGCCCCAGACGAGACAGAAGGCGTGCGGTACGGCGCGCCCCTGGCCCCGACCTCCCCCTCCCCCTCCCCCTCGAGCTCCAGACTCTTCAGGCAGAGCAGCCGCCCCCTCTCCCTCGACCTGCTCGCGCTCCTCCTGGCCCTGCTCCTAGCCGCAGCAGCAGCAGCCTCGGCCTCGGCCTCGGCCCTCCCCCGCGCGTCCAGGCCCCCCTCGACGAGGAAGATGGTCTCCCCGCGCAGGACCTCCTCGGCGATGGCCTCGTGGCCGCCGAACACGTGCCCGTCGCGGTCGCGGGCCTCGAGGCGCGACCCGTCCAGCACGAGGCCGAGGTGCCGCCGCGCGTGGGCCGAGGCGTGCAGGCACAGCTCGCGGATCTTGGTCATCGGGAGGAGGGTCATTGTGAATGCGGGGGGGCCATGCTGGTGTTGTTGTTGTTGGGATGAGGTTGATGATGAGGATGAGGATGAGGATGAAGATGGGGGAGAAGTAGTAGCGCGTATGATCTGCACGTTTATGGGCGTCGGGCTGCGGCGGGTTTTCTTGGCCTCGGCCTTGCTGCTGGTCATCTTGGCGTTGGCGATGGTGGTGTTGTTGCTTTTTGACAGGCGGTTGCCCTGGCCCGGGGCTGGCTGCCGCGTGGTTTGTGACGGGTCGGGTTTGCTTTTGCTCTTGGCTTTGCTTTTGCTTGCGTTTGTGGTGGTTGCGGATGTGCTGTTCTTGCTTCTGCAGGTGCTGGGGTTAAGCGAGGTGTGGTGTTGTGGTTTCTGGCCAAGTGAAGGTGTGGCTGCAGCTTTTGTCGTTGCTTCTTCCTTCGAGGTTTGGTGGTGGTGTTTCTCGACCTGGGCCTTGCCCGCAAGCGATGGGAAAGAAAGGCCCCTAAGGTCCTCGACGTGGCCGCTGTCCGACCCGGCGGGGGAGATGTCGGGGGACAGGAGGTGGGATTCCTGGCTCTGGATCATCAGGTTTGCCATGCCTGCGTCTGAGAATGCCATGTTTCCTTTCTTGTCTCGTGGGTTCGTGGTTCCTCACACCCCCTGTTGAGGATCATGCATATGTAGGTGCGTGTGTATATCACAGAACCACAGGTATCACGTATTTACAAGCATGTGTTGGTTGGTCCGTCCCACAAACGACGATATCAGGAAAATGATAGATGACAGATGACAGGAAAGAAGGGAAAAGAGAAGAGAGAAACACCTGACATGACGAGGGTGGCTGGCTGTCCTGTCCCGTTAATGTCCCCCCCCTCTCGAGACTCGAGAGTTTAATGATACACGTGTGAGAGACGAGACGTTGCAGCGTCGTGCCAGAAGAACGTTTGCACCATCTCCCCTTGAATGTTCCTCCTCTGCCAGTCTGCCCCCAGATTTCAACGCGGCCGTCCGTGCCCCCACATGTCTCGAGACGCGTTGCCGCGTTTTTGACTCGGGTCGGGCAGCGTCACCGCGTCTTAATTGACTTTCTCGGATGCGCCCGGGCGGCAGGGGCTGGCTGGGCTAGTACTGGCTGGGCTAGTACTAGCTGGGCGGGGTGGCTTGTTAGCCGTTGAGGAGGGACGGGACCTTAAAACATTTCTCACGGGGAGCTGCACTATAATTCGAGGAGGGAACATGACGAGATCGAGAGACCTTGGTTTCAGTCTCGGTCTGATGCTATCTGCAGACCCCGCTGTCCTCTTCTGCTCGTTGCTATTTATTACGGTAGTGTACCTGGATATGATGATGCAGGTGAGCATGCACGCAATACCTAGGTACCCAGCCGAGTCGCAGTCCCACCAACCAACCCGCTTATCGCCCGATCAATCGTCTGTCCCACGCGAAGCATGCATGCAAGCTTGCCCCCCCCCCCGGCACGCACCCACTCACCTCACCCCAGACGCGTCCGTTTGTTCGCGTCTGCCCATCTTTCCCTGGTCCCACAGACCTCTTCCCTTCCCCCCCTGAGGATCACTCGAGTCGCCATCTCGACGACACTTTATCTACACTTTGCCAAGACCACCACGAGGACTGGTTGCAGCCTATCTTATCGACCATCTTACCCTATCCCTAATATTTTTATTGGCATGCATTTCATTAGGTACCTCGTAGAGGCCTTTGAGTTGGAGAAAAGGGGCTCCAATGTGGTCTTGGCAGAGTGGAAAGTGCCGTCGAAATGGCGACTCGAGTGATCTGATCCTCAGGGGGGGGGGAGGAAGAGAAACTTAGCCACTCACTCCAGCAGGTAGACTTGACGGGAAGCAGAACCACTCAACTTTCCCATCTGTTTCACCACCATAACCACAAATCCTCATAAAGTGTTTAATATTGTTCGAGTCTACACTTATTCTGAGGATGGAGAGGGTGGTGGTTTCATTTTTAATCCCCATACATGTAAAATGTACGTGGCGCCTTCATACAGTGGTAAACGCTCAAGACCCAGCGTTTGAAGCAATACAGTGCCAATAACAGTGGAAAGAGAATACAGCTGAGGATGGAGACTTGATGAGAATTAAGCATATATTGTATAGTTGATGATTGAGATACTAAAGTCAAGTGTTTTGGTGGTACCCCGACTTGGAGCTACCTGTAGTTTATTGTATAACGTCTGTCCAGTTGCTCAGCTTCAGACATGGTACAACATAGCCGCATCGTATTTCACATACTTAAGTACTTAAGTATGTAATACGGCACCGCACGGCACGGCACCCAGGCCCGCTGTGGCGTTGGACCGGTGCAGGTGCGGTCGGGGCCGTTCTTCAGGGCCAGCCGCACCGCCGCACCGCCGACTGCCCCGTGCTCTCCCTGACAAACCACGGCTCATGGGGTTAAAGTGCTCCCGAATTATTAATGTACAGTTGCAGTGTGGGAAGTTAATGGACCCGGGGAGTTGTTGTGCTCCGTGTGCTCCGTGTGCCCCGGAGGGTCCGGGACCTTCGCCCCGGATGGCCAGTCGGCGCCGAAGCACTCGAGTCATTACCAGTGAAATCCCAAATATCGCCCTTGCTGAACCTCACATTTTCCTTTATAATGGCGGACGATTTCAGACCCCCCCCCCCCACCTCTCTCTCTCCCCCCTACCAGAGCATCCACTATTAATCATTTTCACTCCTAAAGTTGCTGTTCACACACACCCGCGCCCGTCATGTCCGAGATCGACTACTTCCAGCGGCTGACCGAGGTCTTCACCTTCGACAACACGCCCCTCCTAGTGGGCGCATGCGTCAGCAACATCGTCGGCTACATCCAGTACGCCTATGTCGTCCGGCTCACCCACCGCGAAGGAAGGAACCCAATGCCCTACTGGATGCACTCATTCTACCTGGCCCACGACTCGTCATGGTCGTACATCCTGGCAAAGGCGGCGCCCTCGTACGGCAACCACTGGTTCCTGAGCGGCATGTCGACGGCGCTCCTCGTGTGGACGTTCCTGGAGGCCTGGACCATGTACAAGAGCATCACCACCGACCGCGAGCTCAACTTCGCCCCGGTCCTCGGCAGGAACCCGAGCCTCCCGGCGGCGGCGGCGTACGCGGCGGCGCACCTCGCGGCCATGTACGCCCTCATACACGTCGTGATCCTGCTGTTCCCCACCGGCGGCGTCCTGCACTGGTGCCTCCTGACCAACGTCCTCATCGCGACCGGCCCGCTGCACCACAACCTGCGCGCCGGGTCGAGGCAGGGCCTCTCGCTGGGCTACTCCCTCGTCTGCATCTTCGGGACCTTCTGGACCTTCTCGCCCTTCGGCCTCTTTGTCAATGCCCTCCCGGAGCTGTTTGACACCCCCGTGTTTTATGCCGTCGGCGTCGTCTTCACCATCTACTGCGCCGGGTGCTTCTACGTGGTCGCGCAGTACCCGCCAAAGACGAGGGCCATGACCAAGGGGGGCAAGGAGCCCATCTGGTGATGATGTTGTTGATGATGATCACACACGTGGGCTTGAGAGCAAGGGGCTGTCTGCAGGACTGCGGGACTGTAGAACGAAGCTTGTTGATGTCTACTACCGGTAGCCTTGTCTGCGCGGCATGAGGCTGACGCCACGTACCTACACGCGTATTGTATTCTCTTTGTACTGTTATTGGAATTGTGTGTGGTTGTTTTTTTTAGCGTTTACCACGGTATGAAAAAGCTTCATACTTTTCATATGTATACTGATTAGGAACAAAACCACCCCCTAGCTTGGGGTTTCCAAAGTTCAGTGTGAATGGCAAACACAGTGACAATTTTATCTACGATTGGAGTGGTGGAAGATAAGTAGATACATACGTGCACGCCTATCATAAACACAAACAGTGGATGTTTGTTGCCTTGAAACAGTATTGAAAATCAAACACTAACATGGGGCAATTCCACCTTGCCTCCGCTACCCTATGGTATCTTCAAGCCTCAAAAGAAAAGGCTTCTCACATATGGGTGCCTCCGCCCCTCACATTCAGCTGCGGCACGGCGTGGTCGATCCCGAGGTCGCTGCCGGAAAGGACGTCCACAAGATCTGCGATCTCGAAGAGGGTCTACGGCGCTGGAAGCAGAGCTCAAGATTGAGAGAGCGCTTAGTTATGTGCGAGCAACGTTGACTGTGCCCACACGTTTATGGTGAAGATGGTATCGAGTGTTAATCTCGTGGCCAGCGGCACCCGGAAATCCCAGTCAGACCAAGGGGGATCTGTTACAATTCCGAGCAGGGTATATTAAATAGAATAAATTAACTAGTTATTTAACTATAAATAGTAAGTATAAGAAGCCTATTTTTATAAATAATAGAGTATTATAATAGGTAGACTTAATTAATTACTTATAGCTTAATATACCCTTTAAATAACTAATTAATTATTTAAATAAAATATTATATACTTTTCTATTATAGTATTATAAAAAATAAACTAACTTTATACTTTAATTAAACTTAATTAAATTTTAAAAAGTAATAAATAGAATAATTAGTATTTATTATATACTTTTAAATACTTTAAATATATAAAACTTTTAATTTCTTAATATATTATACTTATTAATTTTATATAAAAGTAAATAAACCTCTTTTTTATACTTTTCTTATTATTTTATATTTATATATACCTATATATATATAATATTATCCTACTTAAAACTATTAAATAAAGTATTTATAAAGCTATTTAAATTATTAATAAAGTAATTTTATATTTATTTTTAAATATTAAATATATAATATAAATATCTTATATTAATATTTTATATAATATAAACTTATTAAAAATCCTTTAAGGTTTATATTATTTATATAGCTCTTTAAAATAGGAGAAATAAATATACCTTAATACTATACTTTTTATTATTATATACTCTATACTCCCTTTATTATTAAAGAGGAGAATAAGGAAAAACTAAATTTATTATTAATATTTATTATATTATCTTTTATTTAAATTATATATATTTTATATTTATTAATTATAATATTAATATATATTATAAATAAGTAAGTATTAACTATTTAAGTTATTATTTTAAATATATTTATAAATATAGTTATTAAAAGTTTTATTTATATTATTATTATTATTATTAAACTAATTAAATAGTTTAAAATTAAAGTTAATAAATTAATAAGTTTATTTTATTATTATTAATATACTTATTATATTAATTTATATAATAAACTTTATACTATTAAAATCTTATATTTATACCTTATTAAGTTAATATTATTATTTAAGCTTTTTTATTATAACTTTATTAAATTTAGTAAAGAGAAGGAGAGTAAAGGAGAAAGAGAAGGAGAATAATAATAATAATACTACTCATATATTAAATATATTAAAGTATTTAAAAATACTTATATTTTTATTAATTTAATATTTAAATAACTTAAAGTTATATAGTATATTTATTTTTATATAGTTTAAAAGTTTTATTTTATATAAATAAAGATTTTAATTATTTTATACTTTTAAAATAACTTATTTATATTATATAAATTTAATATATATTTAAAATATTTAAATTATATTATTAAAAACTTTTATTAATTTATTTATTAATATAAACTTAATTAATAAATATTTTATTTAAAATAATTTTAATATATTTCTATTTTAACTATATATTATAAATATTAATATAATAAAGCTTTATAATAACTTTTTATTTTATAATAATTAATTAAATTATTTAATTATTATTATTATAAAGTTTTTATATATTTTTATATTAATTATTAAATCTTAAAATAATTATTTAAAAGTTATAAGTTTTTTTTAATATATATAATATTAAAAGCTTTACTTTTATTATAAATATTATAATTATATTTTATTAAATAGCTTTTAATAAATTAATTTACTATAAAGTATTATAATATACCTTTAAAATAAATATTAAATTTTTTATTATTTATAAAAAAGTATTTATATAAATAATTAATATTTTAAAACTTTACTTTTATACTATATTATTAGAAAGTATATAATAAATAAGTAAGTAATATATTATTTTATTATCTTTAAATACTTTAATTTTAAATTTAGTAAATAAAATAAAATTAAATAACTATAAATATTATATTTACTTAAATTATTATTACTATATATAGAATTAAGTCTATATATTTTTAAAAGCTTTAATTTATTTTTTATAATTTATTTTTATATTTTAAAGTATATATTTAAATATTAAAATATTTAAATTATTTAATAAATTAATATTAAAGTATTTAATAATCTTTTAATATATATATTATATATTAAATAAAATCTATTAATTACTTAGTTTCTTATAATTTAAACCTTTAAGTATTATTTAATAACTTTTTATTTTTAATTTTATATACTTTTTTAATTTATTTATTATTTTATAAACTTTTAACTTATTATTTTAATAATAAAAGATTAAATAGTTATTAATAAAGAATATTATAATAATAATTTTTATTTATTTTTAAAAGTATTTTTTTATATTAACTTATAAATTAAGTTTTTAAAATATTAATATAAACTTTTTATATTATAAGAGTAATATATTTTTAATTTATATATTATATTATAAAGCTTTATATATTTCTTTAATTATTTAAAATTATTTAAAATTTATAATAAATAAAACTTTATTAAATTAAATATTAAAAATATACTTATTATATTAAATTATATAATTTTAAAATTATATTAAATAATAAAAGTTATAATAATTTAAAATAACTTTATAATAAATATTATTATATATATATTTTAAAATATATTTTATAATTATATATTTTATATATATATATAATTAAACTTTATTATATTTTAAAATTTATTTTAATTCTATTTATATATAAATATTTACTTAAATAAAAGTAATTTACTTTTAATTAAACTTTTAATTATTTTTATATTCTTTTATTAATTTAAGTATTTAATTTAATTTATATAATAAATTTAAAAGTTTATTATTAAATAATTTTATAACTTTTTTAATTATTTAATAATAGTTTATAAAGTTTACTTTATATAACTATTATATATATAAATTTAAAGTTCCTTTAAATTATTAAGTATTATTAAATTATTATAAATAATATTATATATAATATTTTATATATTTAATCTTTTATTTAAAGTTATTTATTAATTAAATATATAAATATTAAAAAAGATTAGTTATAAATTTTAAAATATTAATATATTTATTCTAAAAATATTATAATAAAGATATTTCTATATTTTAATAATATTGTTTTATAAATATTAAATTACCTTTTATTATAATTAAGTATAGTGTATATATATATATATAAAGAGGATAATATTTTTATTTCCTAAATAATCTAACTAAAACTATTTATATAAGTACTCTATTAACTAATTTTCTTAATAACTAACTAACTTTTAACCCTTAATATAAAGTTATATAATATTCTTACTATATTATAATAACTACTTAACTTAAAAGGAGACTACTATCCTTAATAAAAAATAAATAATATATATAAAAGTTAAACCTATAATTATTTAATCTTATTTTTTAAAGTCTAAAATAATATATTATACTATCTTACTATTAAATAAAGGTACCTTTAACTTATTATAATTATTATTAAAAAAGTTAATTTAAATACTTAATATTAACTATTAATTTATAAAGTTAAAATAAATATATTTATTTACTTATAAAAATACCTTAATTATTATAAAATTAATACCTTAAAACTATTAATTTAAATATTTAAATAACTACTTTTAAATATATATATAACCTTTTTAAACTATTATTTATTATAGTAGGCTATAGTATTAGATATAATAGTATAAGTTGAGGAAGGTTTAAAGGTTTATTAGGTTTAAGTTTAATATAAGACTAATTCTTATCTTTTTTTAAAAAGAGGTAAGTAGGCTTTATTTACCTTTTAATAAGCCTTAGAAAGGGGTATAGCTAAATATTAGGGTGCTTTTAGGATACTTTTTTATAGCTTTTATTTAATTATTATAATTATACCTTTTTTTAAAAGGCTATTTTTAGCTATTATTATTAATTAATATTAGTTATTTTTATTTATATCTTTTAAAAACCTTTTTTATTTATTATTATTAATTAATTTTAATAATTTATTAGATTTTTTAATAATTTTTATTATATTTTTATAAAGGTATAAATTAACTAACTTTTTTAAGTAACTATTTTTTTTAATTTTTTTTATTTAATAATTAACTTTATTAAGTTTTTAATTAGCTTTTTTTAATTATTTAATATTTTTATTATTACTTTATAATTATTATAAATATTATTAATATATTTAAATAATTAAAGTTAGGTAGTTTTAAGGGTTTTTAGTTTTTATTAATTAAGAGTTTTTAATTAATAGTTTTACTTTTAATTAATAGGTTTTATTATTATATAACTTTCTTTTTTTTTTTTAATAGTAATTATAATATTTATAAGTAGTTTTTTTAATAGCTTTATATACTATTTTTATTAGTTTATTTAATAATAAAGTAGGTTTTTATAAATAATTTACTAAATTAAATTTAATTTTAGGGTTTTAATAGTAATTATATTAATTTTATTATTTTAATATTAATAATTTTTTTAAGTTATTATAGTAAAATATTAGTAATAATAAAGTTTTAAAAAGTTTTTATTAAAATAGTAGATAAAAAACCTATAATTATTTTATATAGCCTTTAAATTTATTAAAAGTAGTTATAAAAGTTA